AAAGTCATGTCAGAAAAGAAAAAAAGAAAGAAAAATCGAACCACAAGTAGCTCAAGAAAATCAAAGGGCCACTCACCTCGTCTCGCATGACAGGAGACCAGTACACGGGATCCCTGCCCTCTTTCTCGGCAAACTTGGTCTCGCGATCGATCATCAGGTCGACGGCACCCTTGAACCAGTTATCGTTCCTATCCTTCTCTGCCTCCTGGGAGCCGCGGGCCTGCCCCTGCGCCTCCCGATGCCGCTCGACCGCCTTCCGCACCTCCTCCTCCAGGAAAGCGTTCCGGGCGCGGCGATGCCTCCGCTCCTCCGGCAGGAGACTCTTCCACCACCAGGCCAAAGTAGGCTCAGGCGCCTGGCCAATATCACCGATAATTTCCGACGCCCGCATCGTACCCCTGACCGACTCGTGCAGCGGTGCCACGGGAAATTCAACCACCGCATCCTGGACAGCGGTGCTGCTGGTGGTACCGTGACTTTGACGTCTGCCGCGACGGTCCGCCTCCTCCCGAAGCCTCCTCACCTCTCCATCCTCCATCCCCCGGGCCAAATGGAGCTGAGGCACGAGCGCGCGGTGCGGGAAGCTGTCGGCAAAGCTAAACTCGAACACGGCATCCAGGGCGGCGTAGTAAACGTCCGTCACGGCCTCAAAGGGCCTCCCGTCGGCGGCCCTCGCGCGAACGCGCCAGAGCTCGACGAGCCGCATGGCGCTCCCGTAGATATTCGGCGCCGCGACGCCATGCAGGAAGCCCGGCGTCATGAGGTCCTGCAGCAGGCGGCGATGTGACTTCCACGCGGCGTCGGTCTTGAGGTTGATGTGATGGTACGGCAGCAAGCCGCCCAGGATGGCGATGGACCAGTCCGACCTGTCCCAGGCTTTAGCCTGGCGCAGGAGCAGGTCCTGGGCCTCGCGGGAGTCGGAGAGCAGGAGGAAGGGCTTTCCGCCAAAGGGCTGCAGGACCTGGCAGAGCGGCGCGTTGTGCTTGCGGGCCTCTGCGACGAACCATTCCATTACGCTGCCGGATTTGATGGTGCGCAGCATTGAGGGCAGGTCGCCTAGGATGGACTGTGCCGCGGATTCATTGTACGGGATTCCCGGGAGGGTTTTCGGGAGGAGGGCGCGGTACAGGGCGTACAGGGCGACCAGGAGGAGGACGAGCCCCGTCCTTGTCGTTGGCGAGATGATTGAGTTGGAGATCGAGTCCGTCGATGTATGAGGCGTCGGAGATTCCATGATGAAAAAGAGGATGAGACCTGCGAGTGTTGTAACCTTTGTAGAGTGGGATGGATCAAGTATGAACGACTTGTGATGAGACTGAGGACGGACGCCTCTGCGGATAACGTGTATGAGAGTAGATGCGACTACACACACATAATGTAGAGAATTCACCCACCTTCTAGCAGAGATTCTCTGCCCCTAGACTTAGGATTCCTCGTCTCCTAGATGGTTCCCCTTATATCGTTTCCTTTTATGTGTTTTATATCTTAACAATTTCCCCTCTTATACGAAATCGGGCCCCGAGGACTCCGAAGCGGAAGTTCGTTTCCAAGTCCGCTCCGGACACGGGAAGGGGGGGGAATTGTTTCACGGGAGCAGCAGGTTTCGGATAAACTGATACTGACGACCGTGTGCTTAGCTGAGCATACTGTGGGGCATTGTGGCGCGAGAGTTAAGGTGAGGGTCACTACGAAGTATATTATATCATTACCTATACCTTTTTTCCACCTTCACAGCAACCTTTTTTTCCATCATAACCATCCTGTCCAAGTTTTTCTCTATTATGGATCATATTGAATTGTTTTCACATTGCTTACTATGAAGCAGTTAAGATATACAGAGTTTTTGCGAACGTGGGAAAAGAAAAAGACAATCCTCATGTAATATACTCTGTAGCGACTCTCAGCTAAGCCACGGTCGTCAATAATAATATCAGTTTGCACATAGGGGGCGGGGCGTGCGTGATCGAGAAGACCGCCCCTTATTTCAAATTATCCGCAGTAACATCCGCAGAACCTCTATGGCAGGTCAAGACGGCAGGCATCTGAACTCTGTTCTTTCTCGGAATTATGGTTGTTGACTCGTAACAGACAGACAAGGCGGACGTGTGGTCTGTCTCACCAAGGAGGAATCGGATCCTTATCCGCGCATCGGCTGAAGAATCGGAGCTGGTGCACCTGGTAGCGACGTCGTAGGCTCTTGTCTTTGACCACCGAGGGCACACTTTATCATCCTATCTTCGGGTATCTCGGTAGCGGCGCACGAGCCTCTGGTACGAAATCGTATAGAACCACGAGTTCCCAGAAGTGGTAGTGACAGGTCGAGTTGCTGTGGCATTGGTTTATGCAGAAGCCGTACAACTATGCAGGGTGGGGGGGGGGGATCGAGTCGTCCACTCCAAGACCACGTTTCATTCGATCGAGGTGGTTATAACAGAAGGACCTCCCCGTCCCCTCGAGTCGACAAGGGGCCACCGTGACGCGGGGGGAGATCAAAAGGAAAGGACCATGTGGAGAGGGGTAGCAAGAATACAGAGTTAACGGGACGAATCGAATCGAATTGTATCCCGTCCTGGAGAGACAGGACACCCACGCTATCCTGCTTCGGCTTGATATGCCCCGTGGGCCACGAGCCAATCATGACAAGTCGGCCTGACCCCGTCCTTTGACGTCTCACTGCTCTGATGTGTCGACATATCGTGCCTGGGCATCACCTGGCTGGCTATGAATATATGGCATTACCCTACTTGCTAGCAGCGGACAGAGGGGAATTGAGGAGGTGGAGTCTGGATGGAACGACGAGTGATGACCGACTTCACGCGGGGTTGACGTGGAACTTGGTGCACTGAACTTAAGGTACCTTACCTTATTAAGGTACGTACCTTAGTGAATGGTGTGACCTCTCACCTGCTGCCAGATGGACGTACCTGCTTCTGACCACCCACATGAGAGGTTATTGTGGTGTGGCCGCTTGGGTTGCGGCCCTTGTGATCGAAACTCTTGAGACCTTGCGTCCGCGTGGGGTGCAGTCGTGATCTGATCGATGGCGCGGGATTGTGACGTTGAGTTAATGCCCTCTGGGATTAATCGAAGGGGACAGAGTCGTGGCCAGTTCGGGAGCATGGCGGTTGTCCAGCCTGAACGATGCCCCGATCTTCTTCGTGCTTCGTACCTCTTAGCGAATGGCTTTACAAAGACTTGATGCTATTACAACGTACATATTCGTGTCATCCACACATAGGTGGCCAAGTCGCCTGCGAGGGCCCAGCAACGGCCATACGGAAGAGGCCCCGTTTAGACCAATGCAATTAAATGTAGGTTGGCCATGTCTGTTTGGACAGCGCTCACATAACTTTACGAAGTACAAATTCCTCGTACATTCGCACTTACGCATGGATACCCCGCGTGCTACCTTAGGCAAAAGGAGTCTCTTAGGTTCTCAGGCGGTTGCTCTACTTGAGCTCCACGTGGGGAACGAGGGACGGCGACGGCGACGGCGTCGGCAATAGCAATAGCAATAGCAATAGCAATAGCAACATATGCACAAAAGGCGCACAGTTGACTTGTTCTTGTCGGTCAGCCGTCGGCCGTAATAAGAACGTTGTCCGGAAAAGGAAGGCCATCCATCTGTGAGGAACGAGAAACCCTGTTTGACGACTAGTACCAACCACCAAGGAGCTTGGCAGAAAGCTAAACGTGCTTCATTTTTATAGACGAAACCGTCTCACGCCAAAATAATGAAGCGAAAGGAGGGAGGAGAGGGGGGGAGAGGGGTCATTAGGTCAACATAGGTACCGTAGGAAGTGGGATGGATGTACCTATTCGTCCGGCGAGACGGGCTAAGTAAGTACCTCGGGTAAGGACTCGACAACGCAGGCACCTCAAAGACCGGCAGAATGTCCCGCTTTCAGTATGTCACTTGTGTAGGGTTGAAGGTAGTTACGGATACACTGGTACGGACTTAGATATACATACCTTTTATGAGAAGACGGGTTCGAACAAAGGGGAAATCTAGACAGGATAGAGCGAGTCATAGAGGTTAAAGGTTGGCCCCTCCCGAGTCGGTCGGGACCGTCCCTAGAGCACCCGTCCGAGCGAAGCGCCGACGAGTCGTTGAAAGGAAGGGCTGCTAAAGCGTGCCAAAGCGTGTCAAAGCGTGCTAAAGCGTGTCAAAACGGGCGCCGTCGTTCCCTTCGTACACCTAAGTCTCAAACTCTAAGAGGCTTGTTCAGGGAACTTGAACTTTTCAACCGTTATGGCATGTTATCTAGGAGATTGACTTTACGAGTCACTTGGGGGTCCTTCTTCATCGTCTCCAAGTCAGTCACCCACTCAGTTGTCGATTCCGGGTGACCGTCGCTTTACTTCGCTCGTTGAATCGTACCTGTACGTACGCACCCCACCTAATGACCTGTCTCCCCACGTCTGGCAAATTTCTTTTTTTTTTGTATGGCTGGCGAGTCCGCTGCAAGTTGGCTGTAACTTATCCGTATATAGATAGTTATGGTACGTACTCTGTATGTTGCTTCGAGTGTGTAACGAGGAATTTCCATCGACTCGAACTCATTCGTCGCCCTTTTCCAATTGCTGCTTCTCTCGTCACGAAACCAAAGGCTGCTCGTCGGCTGTTCGGCTGTTTCTGCTCGCATTACGTGTGTGGTGAGGTTACCTAGCACCTACGACGTATATGGACACATATGTCTTCCTTCACATGTTATCCAGCTGGCCGCTGTACGAAGTGATTACGAAGTAGTAACTCCCTCATCCACGGGTGGTGCGTCTAAGGTAGTTTATAATTAGGACCCAGGGAACAGGTGCTTTTTCATCGCTTCTCCTCTGTGCTCGGGAAGCCCCATTGGCAAACGTAAGAGCAACTCAGCCCTCCGACACAAGGGCGGACGTAGCCTTTCTTTTCCCCTCTCCTTTTCTCTTGTATTCGTAACCGTAACCCTGACCGCCCCGTGGATTTGACATCGACATTGGTCGTCTCCTCTCGCCTCGTGTCTCTCGATCTCGGGGTGGGTTTCCCCAGATCTGACTCGGGTCGTTGGTTCCTCACCGCCACATCGCCAGCCATGCCGCATTGGGACTGCCGCGCCATTGTCGGAGCGGAAGCAGCAGCAGGGCTTGCAGACAGACGAAGCAGAATGTGCGACGATGAGACCGCCCTCTTTGCAGCTCGTTCGCTCTTGTTGGTCTGAGCCTCTGACCCTGTCCATGAATCGTCCGCTTCACCCTAGCAACGAGACTTTCCGCCTTACCCATCGCGGGGCTCATCCATCACCAAAACAAACCAGCTGAACCCCTAGTATTGTGCTATTTTGGACCGGGACGCAGCGAACGAAAAACAAAAGACTTGTATTCAATCGGTAATTACTCCGTACACGAGGATGCTTTGGTTATGTACTTGTTTGACCGAAACCCTCCCATTGTGTCCTGTCCGCATCGGTACGTTCTTTTATTGCTCGACGCGGACTTTGGTTTCTCCCCGGCCACTTTGAAACCGCATATTGTGGATTTGTCACCGCCCCAGGGCAATGCCAATTTCTACTTTGTAGACATGGCACCCAAGTTTTCAATACGGCGTTAATAATAATAACGAATTCATTCCCGTGGATTCTCGATGATTCTCATGTTGCGCAGTTTGTCTTATCTCCTTCATATTTCCATCCCTTCCCCTGGGGGGGGAATTTTTTTTTGGGCCTTGCGGCTAGTATCGATAACGCCTCATCCTACCCAAATGACACGACTCAGAAAGGATGAGGCAGCAGCAGCATTGACGACTGAAAATCTCCGAGATTTTTCAGCAGATTGTTCGGTTCAGTATGTATTCGTCAGCGTTCTAAATGCTCCGCAATTGCCACAATTTTTGCCTCCTTCCCCTGAGCTGAGATGCAATAAGTCTCCAGACTCGTTGCAATAACCTATCACCGCCCTACCCTACCCAACCAGTCTGGCCCTGGACTCGAACGTTCAGCTCTGCCAATCAAGCAGCGCCCGGCGCCCGAGCTCCCCATCCTATCCTCGGTACATAGGTACATACCCCCTACAACCTCGTGCGAAGTAGTATTAGTATTAGTAATGCGCCCGAGTAGTGTTGGTAGTTGCAGGTCGCCCAGTTGCCAGTTGGGTTTTCATTAAGGTTACTGAGCAGACAGAAGGTCATGATGTCCCGTTTGCTTTCTCATTTATGCGACCACGATTTTAACCGGGCCCTAGGATACAGGATAACGTAAATCAGTCGGTTACCTGGGTCGCGGTCGTGTTATTTTCAAGCGTCTTGTGACCAAGAGGTATCTCCATCGGTTGAGCTCCATTTAGGGGGAGTTTCTTCAAGGCCGTTTAACCCCCTCGTCCGTTGTCGCCCGCGCACTAGCTTTGCTCCGTAGTCGCCATCGACCAAAGAAAAACCACGACTCGCCTGTCTCACCTTATGCCACTGGACAGGAGACTGAGATAGTGGACACAGGCCAGACTCGTTAGGGTGTTGTGATTGCAGCCACTCGAAGCGGATTGTCTGCCACCATTTAGAGAGGAACGCCTCAGAGCATTGGCTCCCTTTTCTCTCCGCATTACCTACCGTACCCCCCCTTTTTTCCTAGACCCGCCCGCCCATCAATCAGCAGGGCCATCACATTCACCTCTCATCGACCGTTGTCCTTTTGCCCCCCCACCCCCCCCCTCGGCTTCATCACATCGTACCGCATACCGCGGCCCCCCTTTTGCCCCACTCTTTTGACCTTCCACGCTAGTGACCCTTTCTTTCCCCGTCTGTCTTCTTCTCTGGTGACTTCTTGTACACAAGGAGAGTGGTAGAGTACGTACTGAGTACGAAGATGCATTGGCCAAGAGCCACTCAGGATCCATTATTATCGTCCATTACAACCAATCAGCTCACCGTCTCGCCTCCTCCTTCCAAGGGTACTTGCGACCCATCCAGACCGTGACCTCATCCAAGTTCCCCCCCAAACCGACCGACCCTAAGCAACTATTCGTACTCCGTAAGTAACTACGGACCGCCTCCTTCGTACCCACCTCTCCTCATCTCCTCCCCTCGTTCCCTCAACCCAGGAACTTCACCTGCAACTCCAAAACCCTCCTCTCTTTCTCCTCCGCCTCGCCTCAACGGGAGAGGAGCACCGAGAAAACAAGCAGAACAAAACAAAACAACATACGAAGCACGCATTCGCGGATCGACGTCGTTACCTTGGCTTCCCCTTCACCGTCACCGTGCCGCCGCCTTGGCTATCGTCCTCTCGTTTCCCCCTTCTTCTCTGCTGCAATCGCCGACTTTGCTTAGCGGGCTGTGTTAAGAAAAGCAGTTGATTCTCCTTTTAAACCATTCCTTCATTTTGGCTCTCTCTCTTTCTTCCTCTTTGGATCTCTTTCGCTCAGCCTCGCGTCTTCGTTGTATTACCGTTGCTACAACGACCATTGCCCATCAACCGTCAGTCACCGTCAACCCAACCGCCCAGTGATTTGTCAGACCAGACCATCCGCTCGCCGGGCTGCCATATCCATCACACGCATCGATGCAATAAGACCGACAGCCGGCTTTTGAGCGTCCGGCGTTTACTTGCCACTTGCATCTCGCCACTTCAACGGGTTCGTCGAAACTCGACACAACCGGCCACCCAACCTACCTTCTTCTCTCACTCCCATCACCCTTCCTTCACCGTTCTTCACCATCACAATCGCACCCATATAACCGCATACGCCCACCTCGCCTCATCTGCTTGCCATGAGCCCGCTACCGCCATGTCCGTATACGGCTCTGGGTGTGCCCAAGGATGCACAGTTGTCGGAAATCCGCACTGCCCACCGGAAGCTGGTCCTTAAATGCCATCCGGACAAGGTGCAGGACCCGAAACTCAAGGCCGAAAAGCAAAAGGAGTTTCAGAAAGTCCAGCAAGCTTATGAACTTCTAACCGACGAGAACAAGCGGGCAAAATATGATGACCAGATCAGGTTGATAGAACTCCAGAAGAAGAGGGCAGCCGAGGCCATTTCATCGTCTCCTCGCACGACTACGCATTACGTCAACATCCGGACCGCTGAGCCTCTGCCCGATAGCTTGAAAACTAAATCGTCTTCTCGAGCGTCGCCGGTCACCGGAACGACGGCGTATTCGCAGTCTCGGTCGTATGAAGATGACTTGACCAGTGCCCGCTTTTTCGAGGAGGCTGTGCGCAGTGCCCGACGCCAAGCTTCATACGACGATAAACCCTCTCGGCGAGATAACGATAGGGATCGAGACCGCGACCGAGATCGCGACCGAGACCGAGAAAAAGAACGTGAACGGAGGCGCCGAAGGGAGGAGCAAGAAGAAAAGGAAAAGCTCGCTCGTGCAGCAGCCGAGAAGGAGGCGCGTCGGGCCGATAAGAAGCGTGTCGACAAAGAGCGGAAACGTGAAGTCGAGGAGAAGCGAAGACAAAAGTCACCATACGTGGAACCGTATGATGATGACGAATACCGCCTCCCCAAATCTGAGAGGGAGAGGAAGAAGTCGACTTCCTCGACGTCTAAGAAGCATGATGACAGGGACAAGCCCGAACGAGAACGGGAACGGGAACGGGAACGGGAGCACCCGGTGCATCCCGTGCATCCAGTGCCCCAAGAGGAAGAGGAAAACCCCGCGTTGCCCATGGACAAGACACAGAAGGACATGCTCAACGCCGTGCGGTACATGTTTTCTGCCCGTCAAAAGGCCCAGCCGTCTCTGAGCCGAGCGCAGACTTACTCCGAGCCACCCTACAACGTCCGGTACGCAGAGCCTCCAGTCGCGGTTCCCACACCACCGGCGCCCCAGGACTCCCCCTTTTCACCTCCTCCTGTTACGGTAGACGAGGATATCCCCCGCCGATCATCTGCTAAATCTTCAGCCAGACGGTCCTCGGACGCGCCTAAAGCCAGGGAGGGATCGACTCATAAAAAGTCATCTTCTGGTTCTAAGGATTCCATTCCGACCACCCCTATCATTATCGACTCAGCCTCTCCTCGCATGCCTCCTCAATTCTTCAAGGCCGGTACAACCCCGCCTGCAGTGCCAGAGTCGCCTCCAAGGAAGGGCCACCTTGCAAGGGCGAACACCTTGACAGAGGATTACGGACGCACTCCGCCTCAGCCGTCCATCTCGCGTGCCCAGACGTACCACTACGTGGGCGAGCCAGACCCGCGCATGCCTGATCCGCGAGGCCGGAGCCGCTCGAGGCTGCAGTCTCAGGTTTTGAGCGATGACAGCGACTCGGAGGATGAGCACGAGCGCCGCCGGAGACGCGAACGACGCCACAAGACTCACTCACCGCCGCCGCCCATGCCTGCCGACTATCCCACGCCTCCGTCACGCCACTCGACCCGTTACACTGTGAGCAATGGACACACGGCTCCTATTCCGGTCGACCGGGCGTATTACCGTGAAGAGTCGTCGCCTCCTCCTTCGAGGAAGTCCAGTAAGGCCGCATACTATTCTTCATCTCACCCCCGACCGCCTATGCCTTCGCGCGAGGCAGCCTACAGCAACAGTGGCGGTGCTTACTACTCCAAAGTCAAGACGTCCAAAGCGTACTCGCCAGAGGATGTTCAGTATTCCGACATTCCTCACGCTAGCTACTGGCCAGAGGGCTATGCCCGGGCGTAGGATGCATAGTTTCCCACTACACTCATATTCTTTCAGTTCTTGCCTTGGTATCTTTGTCCTGTATGATGGGAGCCATTGACCTCGATGGCAATGCATACAGTAATGATGACCGACATGTTTTATTGCTGGACCTTATTCCTTTTTTTTTTTTCTTGGTCTCTTTCCTTGGCTTCTTCCCTTGCACCTCAAACCACCCTACACAGAAGCAGATGAGGTGATTTGCACACGGGGACGGTGGGATCGTGTCAACAGGACATTCGTCCAGAACTGGCGTTGTGGACCTGCAGTCTTGGGGTGTTACTAATGGAGAGGTAAAGATGGCGATTGGGCCTATATGAGCGGTGTGACAGCCACGTTCATTAGGCTCGTCGCCTGAACCCTCCATGTGGCTTGGGTCTCGTTAGAGCCTTGTCGCTAAGGTTGCTCCCCAGAGTCGAAGCTGCAATCCCTTGCTATTCTACCCCTAATGCAACGGCGATCTGAAGCGACGAACGTGACGTTATATGATACAACATAACAAACCATATGATGCATACTGGGAGGCTATATCTGCATTTCATGTTCTGTTTGCGTTTTCTCTTTTTTTCTTCTTTTTTTTTTCTTCTTCGTCGTTGTGATCGTTCAACTCGTTGGTACCTTCATATTGGCCTTGGATATTTTCCGCGTCTTTTTTATTTATTATTATTATTATTATTTTGTTCTTCTTTTGCCCGTTGTTTGTTCCACTTGAGTCGGAGTTGGGCGGAGATACCACACATTCGTTTTTTTTTTTTTGGATGCCGAAGGAGTGGGAGAAAGCTACCGTGTGCCTGGAAACGCCGCGGCCAATTTCCTTCTTGACGGCCGGGTTGAAGCTAGCTGGGATGCTCGGAAGAGTGATACCAGCATCTCTCCGGCCTGTCATTCAAGGCACGCTGTTACGTTGTTTCCGACGCGGCAGCACGGCATGGACGATGGTTGGAATGACTAGGATGTGACAGCTTTGATGAGTATGAGAGATGGATCGCATGTCTGAGCATGCCCTACCAGCCACCCGCGCTCGTCTCGACGGCTAGGTGTTTTTGATTTGATGGCTAGGTAGTTGCGTTTCTCACGATGGATGTCAAATGAGTCAAGGCATTTCTGTCCCGAATTTGAAATACTGTTCCTTCCGCTTTTTTCTGGTATACCGTCGTTCCTTGTCTGTGACCTCGCTAAGGTAGGCTTCTCTAGCATCCCGCTTCTCATTCATTATGGCTTGCTTGAGTCTTCAGGATACGATTTTTACGGCAGGGCGTGTCTAAATTTTAGCATTTAATAATAACTTTGCCATCTCCTAACTACCTAACAGTTAGTTCGTCTCGGAGGAGACAGGGAGAGGAAGCATGGAACACTTTTGGACCGAGAATCATCGGCAAGGGCGGACACGTATGGCGTGGTCAAACAACGTAGGAAAGTCAACGTAAAATGAATCCTCAGATTTAATGACAAACCAAGCAAATCAAAGACACGAAACTCTTGTTATGGCTTTGCGTGATTGTTTCCTTTTCCGTCGATGTGCAATGCGAATCGCAACCGAGTGAGCGAGTGCCGTGGGGAATGCCAGGCAGGGGTATAAACATAAAAAAAGCAATGTCATCTAAACGTGAGAAAGACGACCCGCTGCATCTGTGTCGATGGTGTATGATGTCGACTATCATGGCTTTATGACGATGAGGTAAGGTAATGAACCCAGGGGTATAGTGAGAGAGGTTGCACCAAAATCAAACAATTACTGCTACGACAAGTCCGGACTCGAGTCTGACGGGTCTTTATCCACAGTCTGTTTTTGTCTGAATGCCTGTGAAGCGGGGAGGAGAGAGATGAGAGAGAGAGAGAACGGAAGCGGGGAGGCGTCTAGACGAGGACATAGAGAGAGCATATCTACGGGAGAGGGAAAAAGAGAATCGGTCCAAGTCAGCACGTCGGTCTCCTCGACCTCCCGCGGACCACGGGTTTGTGAGGAGGTAAGTGGGAAGGGGGGACGGAGGGACGGGGGAACGGGGGGACAGGGGGGGTTATAAATAAAACATATGTGCAGGGCTACTCACCAAGCTAAGGCCTATAATCATGGAGATCCAGAAAAACACGTTGTTGAGGGTCTTTCTACCCCTGACCCACTGAGTGCGCTGCAGCATGACGATGGGAAGCTGGAGCATCTGACAGATGAATCCGTAGCCTCGCAGTTTCTTGGTGATGCAGGCCATAACGACCTCGTGGCCGAGGGCGGAGATGAAAAAGGTGATGACGGTGGCGCAGGTACGGCCGATGTGGGGGCGGCTGGCGGAGTAGACGTGGCGACGGAGGAAGCTGTAGACGGGGACGTTCCACTCGCGGGAGAACTCCATCCAGTCGGTCGAGTTCCACCAGTCCGAGTAGAAGTGGCGGTCGGCGAAGCAGGTGAGCTCGGCACAGGCGCCCAGGGCGTATTCGAAAATGACGAGGAAGACGAGGAGGAAGGTCAGCATGAAGGGGAAGAGGAGCCAGGAGATGGTTTCGGCCAGGATGAGGAGGGACTCGGCCGTGGAAGGGCGGGCGAGGAGGGACGACGACGACGCGGCGGCGGCGCTCGCGGCCGGACCGTGGAGCCGGGTCGAGGCGTCGACGAGGATGGGGAGGATGAACTCCTCGGAGATGACGGTGAGGAGGGAGATGCAGCCGAAGACGGCAACGATCTTGGAGATGAGGTTCTGCCAGTCGATCTTTTCCGTGCGGGGGTACTCGAGTTCGTAGCAGAGCGTGGGGCAGACGAGGAAGTCGAGGCAGTTGGACCATGTCAGGTTCCGCGGGTACGCAACATTGCCCATGGGCGACGTGAGCTCGCGGGCAAGATCTTCCCGAAGGAGGGAGAGCTCCTCATCAGCCTCGTTGCCGTTAGAGTTGTCGTTGCCGTTGCCGTTGCTGGGTTGCTGCCCCTTCTGCTCCGACTTGTCCGCCGTCTTGTCCTTGGATATGCTCGCACGTCGATCGCGCTGAAGTTGGTGCTGGTGGTGCTGCGGCTGGTGGCCATCGTGCATGAGGCTTTCCGAAGTGGGATAAAAATAGGCCGGATCGAGGTCCCCAGCGGAGGTGGCAGAAGGGTTGTCGAGCACTCGGAGGCGCTTCTCCGTCTCGCTGAGATGGCCGTTGTAGAAGGCCCAGCTGTGCATCTTCATAAGCAGAACCATGGTGTGGAGCAAAAGAAACACCTGGGCGGTCCAGGTCCAGTCGAGGACGAAGGGGACGGCGATCCAGAGGGCAAGCCAGGCTACTTGGTAAATGCTCTGAATAGCCATGCCGCCGCGCTTCCAGGTCAACAGGCCGTTGTGGGGGCTCTTGCGGAAAATGCGGTGCAGTGGCAAGGACACGGCGGTGGTGGCCACCATCAGGAAGTCGGCGATGGCAAGATGCCACAGCTTTACGGTGAAGAGAGACCAAATCTCTACTCGCATTGGGTATCCGGTGTCCTTGATATTACGTAGCATCGTAGTAATGGCCATGATAGCCAGGCCGATCCAGAACAGGTTGAAGAAACCGTGAAAGTCGCGGTAGTCTGAGTTGGGATCGAAGTGGGAGACACGGCTGGCGTACTCGATGGTGGGGAAGATTCGGCGACGCTGTTCGGCTCGAGCGGTCTTCTTGGCGGACGATATGGACTTGACGGATGGAGGCGCATCTTGAGGCACAGGGGTTGATCGTCCGCTAGACCGTCGTCAGCGCCGCTCACGGGGCGGGGAGGAGAAAGGGGCTCAGCAATGGAGTTTCTGACCTGTTCATATCGCTTTCTGAGGGCAAAAGAACGTGATGGCCATTCTGGCCCCCCATAGAAGAGGCATTGCTAACTGCGCTCAACTGTGATTGTCCCAGCTTCCTCGGTCTGGGTCGTAGGACGTGGTCATGGTTGCCATTGACGCTCCCGCTCGTGTCGGCCGCGGTAGAAGCCATTTGGTCCGTATCCCTTCCGTTCCCGTTCTCGCACCGTCTCGTGATTCCCTGGTATTATCTAGGTAGTCTGAATCGGAGAGGAGTAACAAGTGACTATTGGTGTTGGTTGCCCGACGGCGGCGGTTGGCGACACAGGGCGTCCTCGATGATCCCAAATGTTCTACTCGAACGAATTTGTGACCATTCGTCAGATCCGATGGAAAACCGACGACAGAATCATTCGAAAACCCACGAAAAGAGGGAGAAGTCGGCGCAGGGAAGCTTTGTAGGAGTCGGCGGAAAAAGATATCGCGGTGTCAATGCGCGGGGAACCTTGACTGAGGGGAGTGCGAGGAAGTCGAGTCGAATCCGCTGTAGGACCGGAGAAACGCATAGGAAAAAAAAATAGGAAGGTGAGGAGCAATCACTTCGTTCGAGGCGTAACAAGCCGCCGGGGAATCCGAAGTCTTTCAATCTCGGATATCGTTTGCTGGCGTATAGGTAATCAAAGGGAAGGAACGAGAGGACGTGGAACGGAATTTCGGCTTCAGGCCAAGCACAATGACCTCAGAGGCCTGTTAACGCGTTTGGACGGACAGGTACCCGATATAATTAGGTAGTGTAAGGTAGGTACCTACCTTACCTAGGTACCTTAGGTAACAAAGTACTGGTCACTTGCAGCGAGTACTCCTTGGACGCTAGACGTGTAGTCATTACGTCACACCACCGGGCATTTTCGTCTCCAAAATGTCCGAACATTTCCATCATGCTCGGGAGATGCCAATACTTCGTGGAGGCACCCGTCTCTGTCGGACCCCCTGGTCAGGAACCATAATCTAAGTGTAAACTGAAGCTGGCCCACTTTAAAGTCCGGCACTCTTAGCAGCCTGGCGTTCGTACCAGTACTACCGCCCGGGCCTCTATTACGGCTTTTTACGGTGTTTTACGGGCGACTTCCTCTTATAGTATATAGCTATACTACCCGTATTCCTATATACTTTCGAATATATAGGTTATAGTCCGTTTTTAGGTATATATAGTAATAAAAACTATACGTATCGCCTATAGTTTAGACATTTAGACTATCCTATTTTATATATCTATTTTATATAGTTTTATAGTCCCCGTAGATTTTTTTCCACGCCGTATCTACGCCGTAGTTCGTATCGCTCTAACGCCGTCTAAAGTTAAGATAGTTAGTTAATCCGACCACGAGCCTAAGTGCTACTATAGTTACGGTATCATTAAACTGTTTTCCGAGTTCGGGTTCTATCCGCGGTTATATCAAAGGATTTACGCTACCTATATTACCTGCAGAGCTAACCGTCGAGCCGCCCGTCCTACACCTCCTACAGGTTCTACGGCTCCTCCACCACCCGTTCTAACCGGCCACTGATATGCCTGACCGGTAAATCCCTGGCCAGCCAGTACTATAGGACCTGTAAGCCAGGCTTTTCTCGAGGGGTGACCTTTAGGTACAGAAAATGCGGTGTAATAAAGATGTCTTCTCTAAGCTAAGGGGGCGCGCGCCCCCGGGACTTAAGTATCCACGGGGAAACCCCGTGGAATCCTCGGCTTCTACGTATAGGAACCCGGGAGATTCCCCGGTATTCACTAATTATACTCTAGGGAAGCTATAGTATACCCCGTGGGTGCTATAGTATAAGCTATGGCACGCCCGTAGTACGCCCGTGGTACGCCCTGGTATTCCCGGTAGAATCTAGGGCGTATTAGCCACCCTCTACTATAGCCTGCCCCTACGCCTCCTCCCCGAAGGGGTGGCCGTTATCATGGCCGTGGCCATAACTAGCTCCGTAACGCTCTATAGTTAATAGCGGGTCACTACTATTCTTCCTATAACTATTACCTTATAACGGCTGCTTTTAGTACCCGTCGAAATAATACCCCCTATAATACCTATAATGACTATAGTAATAGCAGAGCGCGTTATAGGGCGGCTATTATTACTAGCTAGCGTAGAGCGCGCCCGTAACCCGACCGCTATATAGAGCGTATTAGGCCGCTAGGGTAGTATTAGCCGGGTATTATAGTTAATTATTACGACCTTAGATTAATACGGGTAGAGTATAAATATTACGCTACACTCTATTAGATTAGAGAGAAATTATAGGTTAGTTTTCTATCCCCGTTATTAACTATTAGCTAACTAATACTATCTTCTATTACTTAGGAATTATCGCCTACGAACCCGAAATTTAGTACCTATTATAACTAGGGCGATATCGATATTCCCGTTATCTCTCTATTACCCGACTTCTTCTAACGCCTACTATACACGGATACTACCTAAGCCGCGGATTATCGTAAAAGGATCTGTTAATATAATAATACCTTTACGTTTACTTCTATATAATATACGGAGACCCGTTAAGGTACCGCTACCGGTATCGTAATAGCTTTCTAGATCCATAGTACCCTTTACTATTATACGGGGCCGTTAAGTGCTATAGGCCGACTCCCCGCCTTTACCTAGCTATACTTTTACGATCCGTAGGCTACCGCCGACTACCGCCTTATAAATACCTAAAGCCTTAACTCTACGCTAGACCGTTATATCCTAGGGAAGATTTCGGACTTCCTACACAAGTATAACCCCTTTATTAACCTATATAAAACGGCCCGCGAACGCTTTAACTCCCTCCGCGAATAGTGCTATATAATACTTAACCCCCGTATAGAATTAATTATTAAGCAGGGCGCCGATATATAACGCGAGAATCTGCCCATTACAGATAAGGTTACGGCTATTATACCGAATAAATAGGGTAAACGTTACTATAAGAATATTATCGTCGTAGAGAGATAGTCTAATAGTAGCGTTAACGGCCTTAGGCGGATAGACTATAAGTATCCTGCCTACCTGCTATTATCTTATCCGCTTATATATCCGCGAGGCGGTTCCGGATATTACTAGTAGTTATAGTTACGAGATATTTATAACCGTTAACGGTAGAATACTAAGGTAAAGTTCCGTTAGTTCTGCCGTTATATACTATACCCGCGATACTAGTAAAGGTTCGTGCCCTTTATCTATAGCCGTCTTTTCCAGTAGTTTTTAATAGACCTATAGGTATCCTGCGATTAGAAGAAGCTTTTATAGATCTAGTATTACTAGAATAAGTTACGGGCTAACGTATATAACGGCTTACAGGATTAGGCGCATAAGGCTAATAGCGATACCCGTAGTATTAGCCGATAGATCGTCTTACCATTAAATTACGTTAGCGGCTAGCGGTTTATCTTATAGTGCTATTAGGATTCTATAGTAATTATACAGGCTCTCGGCACTCCGACCTTTTTTATCACCTTTACGGCTAATCCTACCTGGCTAGAGATTATACAAGAGCTTTAGCCAGGTTAGACTACCGGTAACCGGCCTAATTTAGTCGGCCGGGTATTCGAGTTAAAGTCCCGCGACCTAGAATAATAACTACACGATAGTCTATTTAGTAAGTTTACGGGGATTATATAGACCGTAGAATACTAAAAGCGCGGTCTTCTATATCGTTATATCCTTCTTTTCCTTACGCCGTGGGCGGCCGAGATATATAAGGACCCCGTAACTATCGATAAGGTTATCTCTACGGAGCTATCGGACCATGAGTCGGATCCTACTAGCCGTCTTTTTAATATTATTAGTAAGAATATAATATATAGTCCTTACGGTGATAATAAGCCTTCTACGCCGTGTATATAGCCGTAGCCTAGCGACGAGAACCGTATAAAGTACTCTAAGCGGTTCCCTAAGCCATACTGCCTAGAAACGACTATACGGGAGGATAGTTATCCCGAATATAGGCGCCGTAACTCTAGCCTATATATTATAAAGAGAGGCCGTGTAGGAGAGGTCCCCCTTAATAACCGTTTTATTATTCCCTATAGCCTGTATCTCTACCTCCGCTATAGTACCTATATTAACGTTAAAATTTACGGATCTATTAAGGTAAGTTATCTTCTCCTGTATATCTATCTCTATTACGGCGTGTATACTAATATTATCTTTTACGGATCTATTTAGGCGATTAAGTACGTCTATAAGTACGTTTATAAGGGCACTAACTATATAACTACGCATATATCGGGCGAAGAGGGCGACGACGAGGTTAATATCTATCTCTAGAGTCGCTATATCGGTCCCGCGGAGGCCGTTATTTAGTTATTCGAGTTCCCCGTACACCGTGAGTATCCGCCCGTTATACGTTTTCCGGTTTACCTTAAAGGATAGTAGCCTATATACTTCGGCGATAATATAACCGTAAGCTAGATTAAGCGTATATTATAGAAGCGGAAGACTTAACTAATAGCCGCGACTTATTCTATTACTAGTTTCTTAGCCGTTATACATAGAAACCGTAGTAGTTTACTTAGTAGCCGAGGTAGCGTGGATTTTAAATCGGCCGTCTACAGTATATACCCCTAACGGCTAGAGAGGCGTACTATTTACGATTACTCTTAGTCTCCGTTAAAGGGCCGACTTCCTTTACCGACCTTTATACCGTGGAGGAGACTATCTATAATACCTACCGCGAGGCCTGCGTTACGGCCGGGCTTCTACACGATAACTGTTACTAGGTTACCTATTTTAAGGAGGCCGTTATTTAGAAGACTAGGCATGCGTTACGGGAGCTATTTATCGTCGCTCTAATCTATAGAGACGTTTCCGGTCTAGTATCGATTTAGGAGAGGTTTACGGAGTCTATATACGATAACCTGCCTTACACGCTATAGCGCTAATACTTCCGATATCCTACCGATCTAGAACGCCCGTATATCGATTACGGTCTTTATCTTATACACTCTCGGCTCCTTAAGGTAAGTAGGACTATTACGGAGTTTAGGCTGCCCGCGCCTTTACACGACTAGCGCCGTGCGACCGGTAATATATTATTTATTACGGAGACTTATAATCGCGATACCTAGGCTATGGTATATAAAGATATCCACCGCCGGTTTAACTAGAGCTAGGTTACGGTATTTAGCCAGGTTATAGCTGCTATTAAATCTTATAGCCGCGGCGCCCATTTCTTTTTATAGGGCCCTAGCGGTATAGGGAAGACGTTTATATACCGCGGTCTCTACGCGTATTTCCGGTCGCGCGGGCAGATTATACTCTACGTAGCGTCCTTTAGTATCGCGGCCGTTCTTCTTAAAGGTGGCTATGTAGCCTATTCGCGGTTTAAGATCCCCTTATAGGTTAATAACGCCTTAACCTATAGCGTGCTAAAGAATTCAGACCTTATAGCGTTATTACGGGAGACGGTTTTTATTATCTAGGATAAGGTTCCTATATAGTATAAGTTCTATTTTAAGGCCGTTAACCGTACGTTACGGGATATACTAAGCTATAACGATCACCTCTTCGGCGGTATTCCGGTTATCTTCGGGGGCGATTTTACCTAGATCCTACCTGTTATTCGTAATAGTAGTCGGGCGTAGATTATACACGCCTGCTTCTAAAGGTCCTCTATATAGCCGTAACTTAGTATTCTTTACCTAACGGAGAATATACGGGTTACTTCTACCGATCCTAATAATCGGGCATTTATTTAGTGGTTATAGGACCTCTCTTATAATACCGCTCCTTACGGGTTAATCGACTTTTTCCCTACTATCACGGTTATTTATAATATCATCCGTTTATATAGGCGTATTTACCCGACTACCTTATTAGAGTAAGCCCTATTAGACTATATAGTCTTCGTTAACCGCGTTATTCTAATAATATATAATACTACTATCACGGAGATTAACGGGCAGATACTTGGGCGATTACCTAGCTAGTCGTGTGTTTACCGGACCGAGAATTTAGTGGCTAATCGGGCAGAAGATACTAACAGTCCTACGCCGGAACTAATACCGGAGTTTTTAATATAGTTAGAGTTCGCCTCTATCCCGCCCGCGTGGCTTAAGCTAAAGGTCGGCGCGCCCGTTATACTTATACGGAACCTTAGCCCGCGGCAGGGATTATATAATAGCACGCGTATAGTTATTTTACGGATAGCGCATAATACGCTAGAGGTTAAGGTGCTATCCGGAATACACGCTAGTAAAGTAGCGTTTATCCCCCGTATCTATTTAGATTCTAATAAGGAGGATTACCCGTATATTATCCGACGCCGTTAATTCCCTCTACGGCTCTATTTCGCAATAACGATTAATAAGTCGTAAGGGTAATCGTTTAGTATAGTTAGCGTGGATTTCCGGTAACACGCCTTTATATATGGTTAGTTTTACGTTACCGTATTAAAAGTCACGGATATTAGGAACCTATTAGTATTATTGCTAGCGTAGGAGGGTTAGGAGGTGTAGGATAGTAGGCGTGTATCTAATATCGTATACCTAGAGGTCTTAATTTAAATATTCTAATAGTCACTTTACGGGGGCACGATATTAATAGTTATAATTATAGTCATAGTATTTATAGTCAGGATTCTTTATTATATAGCCTATAGTATAAGCGGGAGGAAGTAAATTAACTATATCCGAGCTATAAACTCCTAAAAGCAAAAATAACAAAATAACCGTAAATTCTCTATAAAGCAGAAAAAAAAAAGACGAAAAAATAAAACATAAAAACAAGCCCTAATAACAAAAATACGACTATATAGCTTTAACGCTCTACGGCTAGGATACTATTCTTAAGGGCCGAGATAATATTCTTATAGAACTATATTATATCTTTTTTCTACGCCGTCGTTATACCCGTAGGGAGGAGGACGCCTAGGACTTTTAACGTTACCGAAAGTAACGGGCGCGGGTAAGGGCGCGGGCGTAGGCACGGGCGTAGGCGCGGGCGTAGGCGCGGTAGAGGAGGCGGTAAAGGGGGGGGCGGAGGGAGTATACGTTACGGGCGGCGCTATAATATTAACAGGGGGCGGCGCGGGTATTACGGTTATTCTAGATAGGCTAGCTATAATAGCGGGAGGGGGGGGAGGGGGGGGCGCGGTAATCGTGGTCTTCTTAGCCTTCTTCGATAAAGGCGTAAGAGTTCCTATAGTATTATAAATCGATGAGTTAGTATAGAAAAACGAACGTTACGGCTATTTTCGGCTTACCTATAGGCGCGGCACGCTTCTTCCCTTTAAACGAGGCGGGAGTAACGGGAGGGGGGGCAATAAGAGTAATAGACGCGGGACTACTATTAGCGGTAACGGGCGGGCGGAGGGAATACTTACTACCCTCGGAATTAAAGTGGCAGTTATTATAGCTACCGCTAACGATATTCGGGACCGTAAAATAACGCGTAAATAGTCCGTCTTTATTACTATAGTATTTATAGTCTTTCTATATACTACCTACTAGAGTTATTATAACCGCCTCGCGGTTAGCCGGGCGGTTAAGGTTAAGATTTTTATCTTCTCGTAGCGCGAGGTCGCGCTTGACCTATTAATAGCCGTTAGTATATTATATAAGTTAGTAGTTTATTAGTAGTTTATAATATACCTTAAGGCCGCGTATAGTTATTAGCGCCTTAGTATCTTTATAGCCGGTATTATAAATAAGGTTAATAACCTCGCTACGGGTAACCGTATAACCTTCCTTCGTAGGCATCGTCTTCTAAACGCGCGAGCTGCTAGGGGAGGGGGTGGGCGGATTATAGGCGGGCGAGGTTATTAGCGGGGGGGCGGGCGAGGTTATAGGCGGGGGAGCGGGAGATATAGAGCGATCGCGACGAGGGAAAAAAAGTTCGTCCAGCTTAGATATATAGCCCCTAAGTAGGCGGGGGGATTCTTTAGGCGTGGGCGACAGGGATTCCTACGAGTTAATAGGGGAGTCAGAGAGGGCGGGAGGTATACTACGAATTACAGTTAGTATCGTCGCTTTCCATAGGGTTAACGCGTATATTTATACCCGTAACTTACTTAGCGGCGAAGCTTTAAGTACCGGAAGCGGAAGAGAGGGAGGGAATTAAAGGAATTAAAAAAAAAGGTTACTTAGCGGCGATATAAGGGATAACGACGGTCGATTAATTAACGGCTTTATTTCTATAAATAGAACGTTTAATATAATAAAGGGAAAACTATTTTATCGCGATACTAAAAAATCGTAATAAAAAAAGTCGTTATAGTATAGAAAATAGTAAATAGCAGTAAAATAACAGGAGGTAGGCATTTTACGGTTATTTTCGGTTATTTTTCGGTTATTTAATTATGGCGGGGCAGGTCATATGACAAGCCCCCCCCCTGCTAAAGGGGGGGGGGGGCCTCCCGCAGGGACGAGCTTTACGGCGTTGCCCGTAGGGCAACCTGCTAAGCTCGTAAGGACGATAAACGATGGCAACCCCCGAAACGACCAGGCCTTCATCCTCCATCCTTCTCCATTCTTTGGGTCCTCCCCCCTCCCCCCCCTTTTTTTTTTGGTGTTTTTATTTTCTGGTTTTAATCGTTGGGCTCCCGTAATATACTCACCGGTCGACGGCTTCATATTCAATACCTAGCAATAGCTAATTGCGATTAATGCCAGTGGTATCAACAACGTGTCAGCTGACACCATTGACCCTACTACCCGTAATGAGCATCCGAACCAACTGATGCAAAAGACTCTTGGCTACCCAGCCCAACCTCCCGTGGCTGGGCTGCGCCGTCTTGAGGTTCGTCAAGCGGGAACAGGAGCCGTATGTCGGCATCCACCATCCCATCAGGTCCAGTCTCAATATTCCATATTCCCCAACGCCATCGCAAATAACCATGTTCGGCAGGCGCCTCACGTCACCGACTCTCAAAAGTCTACGTCTCTTCTGGGGAAGAGAAGTCATCGATTTTCCGACTCGGCATCTCTCGTGGAGAAGAGAAGCTATCGACTTCCCGTCTCTAGCGTTCTGGGTCATAACACCCGCCTGCCACGACCAAGTTCATCCTTGTAAACTGCACCGACATCACCGGCGTCTTCTTCGTCGGGAACGCGCTGATCTGGTCAGGCGTGATCATCACTTCCTTGCCTTTCTTCTTACCGCCCCCTCCCGTGGTCCCCGAACCTCCCGTCGTCGCCCCCTGAGCACCCGCACCCGTGTTCATTCGGTCAGTCGCACTGCCACTACCAGCGCCAGCGCCGGTGCCGGCACCAGTACCGGCAGCCTTGGGGCCATCGGCTCCTTCTTGCGTAGGTCCTGTGCCGCTGCCTTGCTGTTGTTGCTGAGGGGCCTGTTGCTGTTGCAGTTGCAGGTGCTGTTGATGCTGCAGCTGAGCAGCCTTGTGGCCTTCGGCGGGAAGCTCCACATCCCACAACCGCACCGTTCCATCTTGTCCGCCTGAGATGAGCACGTTCGACTCTACACTGAAGTCCATGGACCAGATGCCCCCCTTGGCATGCCCGCGAGATCGCTTGAGCCGGACACCCTTCTCCAAGTCCCAGAAGATGATGTTGCCGCCAGTGTCCCCGCTGGCCAGGATCTTGCCATTGGGCGCGCATACCATAGACGACACGTACTCCGTATGCCCCGTAAATACCCGCACGCACGAGCCGGTGATGACCGACCACATACGTATCGACTTATCTGTCTCGTCCGATGCCGTAAACACGTAAGTGCCGTTGGGGTGCCACGCGATGACCGAGAGACTCGTGTCGTGCCCAACAAGCAGCCGCTGCGCCGATGCGTGGTCCTGCATCCACACGCGTGCCGTCTTGTCCCACCCTGCGCTCAGGAAGTAGTGGCCATGGGGTCCCCAAAGTACCCTGAACACAGGACCATCGTGTCCTTTGTAGATGCAGAGGCAAGACCAGAGCTCCAGCGACCACAGGCGAATATGTCCATCGGCCGAGGAAGACAACAGAAGCTTTGACCCCGTCTCTACGTAGCCGGTTCCCTTCCCTCCGTCTGTCGCCGTCGCTTCTCTTCCCTCCGCACTGGCAATGGCATCAGAAAAGGCCACACTGTACACAGGACCGGAGTGGCCAATGAGCTTGCGGTTGTTCACTTTTGCGTCCTTCTCGTGAGGCACTTTCGACTTCAGAGGCTTGCCATCCAGAGACCAAATTCGGATATACGAGTCCATGGTGCCGACCGCGACCAACTCGTGATCCTTGGAAAAATCCATACATGACACGCTGCAATCGTTAGCATTGATCGCTTTACTTGGTTCCCGGCCCCTCGGGGCAACCAAAGGGAAAACATAAAAAATATAAAAACAATTCGCTCTGCAAAGAATCATGCATGTGCAGACAACTCTTCTTACCTCCCGAGAGTGTTGTGGAATGTGAACATGCATGCGCTGACGGGTACGCCGGCACCGAGCGACCGACTCTCGATTCTGAACCGGTCGCGGTTTTCTCGGACCTTCTGCATCTCCATCACGACATCCCTAGATCGTGACGGAGGGAGCGGAAGATCGGCCCGGCTGGGAGCGTCCGCGCTTTCCTCACGCTTGATCTTCTGATCAAACTCGTCGACGAGCGAGGGCTTTCCCTCCGGAGGCGGGTTGCGTTGATCTTCTTCGGCCAGCTCAGCCCTCACGTCCTCCCGAAGCTCTTCGTCCATGGGCAGCGCTCCTAGCCGTAGGGGAACGTTCTTGTCGAGCATGTCCCTGTTCGAGACGCCGACAGAAACGCCCGGGATACCTTCGTGGAGATCGATATCTTCAAGGGACGCATTCTGGATACGGCGGTAGATGGCCTCGAAACTGAACGGTTCGATCGGTCCCCTGGCCGTCGAATCGATCTGGCAAAAGGTCTGCAAAATGTACGTAACAACGGCTCCCCCATTATCTCTCTCGCGTTCCAGAAAGTGGAATACATTGCCAGTGACATGCTGGTTCAGAGGAATCCGATACTTGTTCGCCTGGTAAAGCTTGGTAGCTGCATTCTCCTTGAGCTGTTGGGGGAGGCTTATCGTAGCAAAGGTCTTCAAGTCATCGCCATGCGTGCTCTCAAAGACCGGCCTTACAAAGTTGAGAAGGTTCTTGGCCTCGCCGGCGTAGTTCTGATTGATCAGTTCCATCCAGGAGTAGACGAAAACCGGCCAGAGCAACTTGTTAAGCTCAAACTGGAAGAAGGTTAGACGGACCATGGGACAAAGGGACAAAGTCTCGGACAAGGGAGATGGAGGGAGCCGCTTGCCTTGTAGAGGTCCAGATTATTTTCAACCCATTCCTTAAGAGTGCCGAAGGCCTTCTTGTACTTCAGGGGGCCCATGTCCTCGACCCTATTTTGAATAGGCCGCCCATCGGGCCCAAGGTGGCTTGATTCTTGCCGAAACACATGCTCGGTTTTCGTGAATCCCCTTTTGAGGAGATAATCGGTTACCTGATGAGAATCGTTGTCAGCATGCTGCTGGAGTGATCCCGGGTCCACGGCTCACTAGCGGAGATGCCAACAGGCCGCACACTCTAGTGCCGGGGGGTTCAATCCAGAATAGTCACGAGCAGGCCCAATGCCTTGTTTCACAGAACAAGCCGCAACTCACAATTTGGTTAAGATCCTGACTTGTCATTGTGGTTGTGGTAGAAGACGTTGTCGCGCCTCCGCCACCTGTCCCTGGGGTCACTGCCTGCTGCGGGTGGCTAGCGTGCTGGGGAGCGCCTGATGCAGTTCCGGTTCCAGTTCCAGTTCCAGGCCCGGCTCCCATTCCAGTTCCAGTGCCAGGTCCAGTTCCATTGCCACCAGCAGCTCCCCCGGCACCGGCATTGCTGCCGGTGCCAGTACCCTGAGGCCCAGTTGACATTCCGAACTCTTTGGGGGTTTAAAAGAGAAAGAATCCTCCTCGACGTGGGGGCCTGAAGCCTCACTCCCGCATGCTGTGGAGTTGAAGGCGAATGATGTTTGGCGAGCTAGGTGCTGTCACGGGGATGAATTAAGGACACGACGCCAGCTGAAGATACGGAGAAACAATGGTGTAAAAAGAACCTCAATGACCGAGGATTCAATAAGAGCCTCCTAGTGTCAGATGAGATAGACTACTTGAGAAGTATGTAATCCTTCTGTGTGAAGTACGCGAAAGGCAAAGTTGATGAATGGATGAGGCTCGTCTGCAAGGCTGCCAAAACAATGAACTACCGGAGTACAGAGTTGTGGATTAATATGAGATGGTTGGTTTGCTTAGTAATACAGATCCGTGTCCGTCGTGACTGCCAAATGAAGCCAGGAACACCAACCATCCATTCAGTCCATTCGGTTGATGAGAACATTTCGTACTCGAGACGTCACTGAATACCTAAAAAATAAGGTACGAATAGGATTATAATAGCTTTGTACTACCGTGCATCGTACCTGACTTACGGGTATCTTGATCTGAAGTGTATTCATTCGGAGTCCAATCTCGGCCTCAGAGTCCAAACCTACCAAGCCCTAGTCACTCCTCGCTTCTTCTTCGACTCGAAGTCCGTCACCGTGCCAGCGGGGAAACATACGAATAGGGATACAGTTTCCCTAACACCATTCAATTGTTTGAGCCCGGTGACCGTAAACAGGGGTTGTGGCTCGCCGCGCAGGGACTCATCGACATGGAAGACGACACAATGACTGGCACCGATAACCAGGCCGAAGCCTCGGCATCCGACAACACCTTCACCCGAGGGGAGCGCATTCAGCAGCTATGTGATATTGACAAGGTAAGCAGGTAAGCCCCTCCATGGGTTCTCCAGTCGGTACTTAATCGCTTACCTGCCTTATCAGGATATTGTCCAACTCATGGACCATACTGCTAAAGCCATTGCTGCCCTTGGCCCACAACCGGCATCTGTACCACCAACTCAACAAACCGAGTCTTTCAGAAGATCTATGGATGGCCTCCTGGAGACTTTGCACAATGTGGATGTGCACATGAAAAGACAAATCCTAGGCCTCGAGGAAGCGCGCATCATCCGACTTCGCCAAGATACCAAGGTAATGAATGAAGATGCCAGGATAGTTGCGAAGCCTTCGCTGGAACCTAATGGGGTTGGAAGCATTGGAAATCTGGATGTTGGATGGCTAAACAGCCGAAACAGTAAGGTTGAGCGTGACATGGAAGCCGAGCTGTGGGGGAACATGAAGAAATACCTCGAGGAGTACAATGAGGGCCACGAAGAGAAGAAGCCAACCCCCTAGCGAAAGACAAAGAGAGTGCAAACATCAAATCCCGGAGATGATTTGAACAGTGAATACAAACCCTCATATTAATTCAGTTTATTCTCGCAGGTACGGGAGTCGGTGGCAGCGTCTTGAGTGCCACGTTTTCGTTTTTGAGTTGTACCCGGGACCTGCCCAAGGAAGCAGCGGCGACAAATACAGCCGGTAATAATAATGCATGATACAGGCCGTCCAATCCATCCAATTACAGGGTAAATTATCTACGTTTTGCCGTCGTGTTTCCTTCTCGCTGAACCCTCTTTGTCCTGGGAATCCCCAGGAGTAAGTAGCTGTGGCTGTGCAGTGACCTCCTGTTCAGAAAGTGTGGCTGGTCATTTCAGTGGCGTCAGCTGCCTGCGGAATGCGGGCAAGCACGTCGTCCATCACCAGAACATCCCACCAATCCAGCGACTTGCACAAACGCCAACTTCATCTCGCTTTCTACAACCATCCTTGATCGTCATCACTGGAATCGACTTGCGATTACTTCGTCCAGATGGATCCCCTTGAGGAATCGCCTTGGGGCGATTCCGCGGCCACTTCGCAGTCGGCTCAGGCTCCAACAACCACTTCCGCTGAGCCGTCGCAGGATGACGGGAACTCGTCTGCTCCCGCTACCTCTGCTCGACCCTCGCGTACAGCGCCCAGACGGCTGGTAGCCCAACCCACTCGCCTTGAAGCTGTCGATGACGACGATCCACTTGGTCCATTGGGCCCCCTGGGCGGCGCAACGACCGATAGCAGTCCTGAGCCCAACCAAGATGCGCCTCCAGCCCCCCCGCAGAAGGAAGACATGGTCATCCGTACCACGATGCCGCCCCGGCAGGCCCGGCGCATGGGCCCAGCAGACCCCCATCGCATTGATGACGACGATGACCAGTTCAACCTTCCGACGGGACCGAGAGAACCGCCTCCCGTTCCACCCGCACAACCGAGCCCTGTGAGGACCACGACCAACCCGGGCGTCAGCATTGAGCAGGCCAGCAAGCCGACCTTCCATATCACCGTTGGCGACCCGCATAAGGTCGGCGACTTTACAAGCTCGCATGTACAGTACGCTGTGCGGACGAAGGTAAGAAGAGCGTGGCTGGCTTGTTCGGTGGTGTGGTTCCGTTCGTGACACCGTGATGGCTAATAAGATGTCACGTTATGTTCCCCAGACAACATCAAAAGCTTACAAGGAGTCCGAGTTCGAAGTGAAGCGGCGTTATCGCGATTTCTTATGGCTCTACAACACGCTTCATGGGAACAATCCCGGCATCGTTGTGCCGCCTCCGCCAGAGAAACAGGCTGTTGGTCGGTTCGATACCAATTTCGTGGAGAGCCGCAGGGCGGCGCTGGAGAAGATGTTAAACAAGATTGCTGCGCACCCGACCCTGCAGCATGATGCGGACCTGAAGATCTTCTTGGAGAGCGAGTCGTTTAATGTGGACGTCAAGCACAAGGAGCGCAGAGACCGGAACCCCGGGGAGAGCAAGGGTGTCTTTGGTAGCCTCGGCCTAAACGTCGGTGGCGGCAGTAAATTCGTCGAACAGGACGATGTATGTTTTGCGGCCTATCTATCCTACTCTACTCTACCAGGCAGGTGCTAACTGCATACACCCAGTGGTTCCACGATCGGAGGATTTACCTCGATGCGCTGGAAAACCAACTCAAGGCGCTGCTCAAGACCATGGAGAGTATGGTTACTCAACGAAAGGCGATGGCGGAAGCAGCGAATGACTTCTCCGCATCTCTGCATGCTCTTTCAACTGTTGAGCTGTCGCCATCTCTTTCCGGCCCTCTCGATGCCCTTTCCGAACTGCAACTCACTATCAGGGATGTTTACGACCGTCAAGCCCAGCAAGACGTGTTAACGTTTGGTATTATTATCGAAGAATACATTCGCCTCATCGGCTCGGTCAAGCAGGCTTTCAGCCAACGTCAAAAGGCATTTTATTCGTGGCATGCCGCCGAGTTGGAGCTCCAGAAGAAAAAGAGCACACAGGAAAAACTCCTCCGTCAGGGAAAGAGCCAGCAAGATCGCCTTCACCAGATGGGCGCCGAGGTTGCCGAAGCAGAGCGGAAGTGCCACCACGCGAGGGTGCTCTTCGAGGAGATGGGCCGTCTGATGCGGGCCGAGTTGGATCGCTTCGAAAAGGAGAAGGTCGAGGACTTCAAGAGCGGGGTTGAGACCTTCTTGGAGAGTGCGGTTGAGGCCCAGAAAGAGGTGCGTTTTACCCTCCTGCCACATTGCAACCGAACTTGGCTAACGTGAGCGTAGTTGATTGAGAAGTGGGAGACGTTCCTGATGCAGCTCGACGCGGAAGATGACGAGTCTGCTTTCTACCGCCCTCCGGTCATAGGAGGTTCATCTAATCCCAAGCCCCCGGGGCATACGGCCATCGACCGTGCCCGTGCTACGATCAATGACGACTCGGACTAGGCGTTCGTATAGGCGGCAGCCAACATGTCATCTACATTGGTTGTCTTCTTCCATGCGTTCTTGCCGACTGTCTATTGCATGGGGTTGTTTTTTTGACGGCACCAAATAGGGTAGGCATTCGACTGAGGTATGTCACAGAAAAAGAAAAAAAGGGAGAGGGGGGGGGGGCGAGGGGGGAAAGAGTGAGAGCCAACGACTTCTCTTAGGAGGCAATGGGATTACCATGCAACTTGCACAGACGTAATGTTGTTCCTTCTGTGGGAAGTAGTATTGTACATATATAAGACAGTAGACTCCCTATCGCCGGGCTTCCATCGTACAATGCACCATTCAACGCATTCTTTGGCTAATCTTCGCATTCTCGAGAGGCTCACACTTCACACCTCGAAGCGTTGATCCGGCGCACCTTCCGGCTTCAACCTATTTCCCATTTGAGCCTCCACGCCCCAAGCACATACATCGAGTAATGCCCTTCCATCAGATTACTTCTTCTTTCCCTTGCCCGCCGCTCTATGGATCTTGGGTGCTGCCTGGGTCACAGCCGGGGCGTAGCCACTGATGAGATCACCCAAGTCAAATGTTTCCTCCTTTCCATCCGCCGCCTCCTTAGAGGATGCCTCATCGGCGCCTTCGGCGGTCTCTTTGGCATCTGCAAGGTCGAACCCGCGGCCGAAACGCTGCCGGAAGGCGGCGAGTTTACCGGCCTCGTCGAGTTCGATGTTCTTGAGACTCTTCTCACTCGGCTGCCACAACATGTGGTTGCGCGAGTCCTTGTCGGCGCGGTGCATGGCGACGGGCGAGGTGGTGCGCACAGTGAAGGTGGACCCGTCGGTGAGTTGGATGAGTTGGGTGAAGGTGTAGGGTCGCCGCGGGCGGTGGACGTACGTCGCGGATCGGGTTTGGCATGCACCGGCGGCGGCATTCCGCAGTGAGGAGGGGCCATGTGTTCTTGACGGGGACAGGGCCGAGTTGAGTTGTGATTGTAGGAGGCCAGACGTCGAAGTAGGTCGACGGGCGAGGGTGGAGGGGAGGAAGTGAGCCATGTCGAATGGCTGGTGGCCTGCAACAACGCAGGTTGTCGCTAGTTACGCTGCACGGCTGACGGGTATAGGAAAAAGTAAAGGAATAGAGAGGAGGAAGTCGTATCCGCCTCGTTTCCTTGGGCACTGGTCAAACGTCTGGGTACACGGTCAAACTGTGATGATGCTTGACCCTGTCTTTTGTCGAATGGTGTCACTGGAAGCGCGAAACTCGGAAGCTGTCAAAATTTCCGCCGCGTCGGTGAGCTACTTCCAGGGGGGGTGGCAGCAAGACGGTCCAATCATGTCTCCGAATGGCCCGAGCACCAACCCCCCCCCCCCCCCCCCCCCAAATCTTATCGATAAGACAACTAGTCGACGGAAAGCCGCCATGGCTGGACGTACCTACAGAAAAAAGTCCCCGAGGGCTTCGCAGATTATATCCGAGTTTCGGGATAACGTCAACCAGGGCAGAAAGAAAAGAAAAGAAAAGAAAAGAAGAACCACAGCAATTGCCCATTACGCGGGTTAGATATGGTCGGACAAGTACGGATCAGAAGTACGATGCGATGAACAGTTATCGAGCGCTGCGTATGGCAGCCGAGTCCACGAGCATCACGTCATCCAGAACCGCGTCGCGATTTCGGCAACACCATGCATCCACGCTTTGTATGCGGCACTCTGCAACTTTCACCCGACCACGCAGTATAGGCCAGGCCACTTCGCGTAGAGGAGGTACGTGTGTACTTTATCTTTTCGCGTCAGATGCCCTGACCCAGAGGCCCGCTTGAGCGGCTGTGGTGTTGACTATAAGTTCCCAAAGCAGATGGCCGTCGGCACCTCTCTACCTCCACACATCGGTTTTCGTCAGATTGGCATAGTACGCCTCCCGAGCGCCCATCAGTCCATCCAACTTCGTCCCATGACTCTACCACAAGAGAACCGATTTCCGAAAAATTTCGCTCGCTCATGCGCCTGGTGACGCACTCGGTGGTCGTCTGCACGTCTACCGAACCAGCTGGGCCGGGTACCGAAGGCAACCCTCGCGGCATGACCATGTCCTCCTTCACATCACTTTCTTTACAGCCGACGCCGCTCGTGACCTTCAACATCGCAACGCCCAGCCGAACGTTGTCGGCCGTGCAGAAGAGTAGACACTTCAACGTCCACATCCTGGAGGACGGCGTCGAGGGCGCGAAAGTAGCAGACTGGTTCACGCGAGGCAATGCCGAGGGCCAACACGTGTTTCAAGGGCTCGTGGCGGGGGCCGGATCTCGCATCATAGGTGACGAGGAAGGGAGCCCAGGCTGCGAGGCCGAGATGGGCGCTAACGAAGCGCCGATCTTGAGAGGCGAGGGCATTTTGTACATTATTAGGTGTAAGGTCATAGACGATGCTCCGCTTCATGGCTTGATCCCCGTCAAGGATCATGTTATCGTGGTAGGGGAAGTAATGGAAATACTGGAAGGAAGAGACCGGCGGGAATGGCGGGAGGACGACTTTGGATTACTATATGCGGACCGAAAGTATAGACAACTAGGAAACGTCATGTCGAAGCAAGAAAGAGGGTAATAATACCATAATAGACGAGATAGACAGCTTATAGTGAGGTTTTTGGCCAACATAACTGACACGTTGCCTACGTGCTTCGTACAGACCATACTCAGTATATACCCCTCAAGTTTAAAGCTACCGAAAGCGTGGTTTGCCATTAGTTTCCACATAATAGGGATTCGCTGTCGAAGAGCAGTTACACCCGAAAGAGTTGAACGGGTGAAGAATAGACCAATAGGCTTCTTGCGTCACATGGAACTTCATCCCGGTTTGGCAGGTTCCTGCAGGTTAACTTCACATGTGAGGTTAAAGTTGTACCCATACGGAGTAATACATCGAATCATAGGACCGGAAATTGAGGCGTAATGGACAGCCAGGCACGAAATCGAACGGACACTTTACTTCTTTGATGCGTAGGTACTTCGTACAAATGGGCTCCAAACCTCTGCGTGGTGACTGTCCCCTTTCCTCAGGGCTATCTTGAACCCAATGAGGAGGCACCGGCCGAGGCAGAAAGCGACCCCACATTGACTGGTGCACAGTGGGGCACGGCACGGTGACAGTGGCATTGCGGCGCTCTCAGCCTTGCAGCTCTCACCGCCATGAGGGGGGAGAGAAGGTGAACGAAGATTGAGGAGGGGTGACAGGCCCACTCAAGGCTAGTACCCTCTCCCTCGAAAGGAAAGAATTCGGATATGGAAACATTGATGGATACGGGAAGAATTACTTCGTACACTAAGGTAGATATTATCTACCTACCTTGGGTATTCGTGCTTCGAATGTCGTACCTTGTGCGGAGTATGAGGAGTCAAGGAGGTATAAGGTAGAGAAAAGTCGAAAGAATCGGTTCGAAAGTTTCAGACAAGAAAGAATCGCCCGTTGCCTCGCAGCTCCTTCTGGTACTTGCCGCCTGGTTTTTACTAGAAGGTCCCTTACAAGCCGCAGGAACTCCACCGAGTCCGGTGAAACTAGCCAATCAAAAAGTCATGCCGTTGCTATAGTGGCACCAAGGGAAGGAGAGAAGGGTCTGGAAGATGGGAGGGCATAGAATCGCATAGAATTTCCCGGTCACCTCCAAGGGGTTCCATAGGTAGGTACCTACTCGTAGCTCCATCATTTTTATCCTCCTCGCCTGCGCTGTTCCTCACGTCTTTTTCTTTCCTCCTCCCACCAACTTTTTCTCAATCTTCATCTTCGATTTCTCTTCATCCGACTACTACTCTCTCTCTCCTCCATCACATCAATCCGCCCGCAGAGTTATCTCACCTGTGAGATAGCGCATACAAACAGTCTGCGAAACAGTCTGCGAAACCTTCCCTCAACTATACCCCTCTCAAGGTAAGGCAGGCTTTGCTCCCTACTTCATTCTCTTCTTTGCCCAACCGTTGAGAGAAGTTAGCCTGTACCGTGCAACGGGTTTGAGGTTGCAACCGGTGTCTTGGATATCACGTCTCTGGTCTCATCATATACTACTACACCTTCATCTGAGCAATAGGAGCTAACACGCCACATTCACAGATCCTCCATAGTGACGAACTCGTCATATTAGCCAAGATGTCAGAGACTTTCGAGTTCCAGGCTGAGATCTCTCAGCTTCTCTCTCTCATCATCAACACCGTCTACTCCAACAAGGAGATCTTCCTCCGTGAACTGATCTCCAATGCCTCCGATGCCCTTGACAAGATCCGCTATGAGTCTCTCTCCGATCCCAGCAAGCTCGACTCGGGCAAGGATCTCCGCATCGACATCATTCCCAACAAGGAGAACAAGACCCTGACCATTCAAGACACCGGTATCGGCTTTACTAAGGCTGTAAGTCATTTTCCTTCCTTTTGCCTGTTGTTGCAGACGTTTTGCTGACGCAGTTTTTTGTAGGACCTCGTCAACAACCTGGGCACCATCGCCCGCTCTGGCACCAAGCAGTTCATGGAGGCCCTGACTGCCGGTGCTGATATCTCCATGATCGGCCAGTTTGGTGTCGGTTTCTACTCCGCCTATCTCGTCGCCGACAAGGTGACCGTCATCTCCAAGCACAACGATGATGAGCAGTACATCTGGGAGTCGAGCGCCGGTGGCACCTTCTCCATCTCCCCCGACACCGAGGGTGAGCAGCTCGGTCGTGGTACCAAGATTATCCTCCACCTGAAGGATGAGCAGACTGAGTACCTGAACGAGTCCAAGATCAAGGAGGTCATCAAGAAGCACTCCGAGTTCATCTCCTACCCCATCTACCTCCACGTCCTCAAGGAGACTGAGACGGAGGTCCCGGATGAGGAGGCCGAGGAGACCACCGCTGATGACGATGACAAGAAGCCCAAGATCGAGGAGGTCGACGATGAGGAGGAGGACAAGGAGAAGAAGCCCAAGACCAAGAAGGTCAAGGAGACCAAGATTGAGGAGGAGGAGCTCAACAAGCAGAAGCCCATCTGGACCCGTAACCCTCAGGACATCACCCAGGAGGAGTACGCGTCCTTCTACAAGTCGCTCTCCAACGACTGGGAGGACCACCTGGGTGTCAAGCACTTCTCCGTGGAGGGTCAGCTCGAGTTCCGCGCCATCCTCTTCGTGCCCAAGCGTGCTCCCTTCGACCTCTTCGAGACCAAGAAGACCAAGAACAACATCAAGCTCTACGTCCGCCGCGTGTTCATCACCGACGATGCCACCGACCTCATCCCCGAGTGGCTCTCCTTCATTAAGGGTGTCGTCGACTCCGAGGACCTGCCCCTCAACTTGTCTCGTGAGACCCTCCAGCAGAACAAGATCATGAAGGTCATCAAGAAGAACATTGTCAAGAAGGCCCTCGAGCTGTTCACCGAGATTGCCGAGGACAAAGAGCAGTTCGACAAGTTCTACTCTGCCTTCTCCAAGAACATCAAGCTCGGCATCCACGAGGACTCGCAGAACCGTGCCACTCTGGCCAAGCTCCTCCGCTTCAACTCGACCAAGTCGGGTGATGAGCAGACCTCGCTTGCCGACTACGTCACTCGCATGCCCGAGGTTCAGAAGAACATGTACTACATCACTGGCGAGTCGCTCAAGGCCGTCTCCAAGTCGCCTTTCCTCGACTCGCTCAAGGAGAAGAACTTTGAAGTTCTGTTCCTCGTTGACCCCATTGATGAGTACGCCATGACTCAGCTCAAGGAGTTCGAGGGAAAGAAGCTTGTCGATATCACCAAGGACTTCGAGCTCGAGGAGACCGAGGAGGAGAAGACGCAGCGTGAGGCCGAGGAGAAGGAGTACGAGTCCCTGGCCAAGTCGCTCAAGAACGTCCTCGGCGATAAGGTCGAGAAGGTTGTTGTCAGCCACAAGCTCGTCGGCGCCCCCTGCGCCATCCGCACTGGCCAGTTCGGCTGGTCCGCCAACATGGAGCGTATCATGAAGGCCCAGGCCCTTCGTGACACCTCCATGTCCTCTTACATGTCTTCCAAGAAGACCTTCGAGATTTCTCCCAAGAGCCCCATCATCAAGGAGCTCAAGAAGAAGGTCGAGGAGGATGGCGAGAACGACCGCACTGTCAAGTCGATTGTCCAGCTCCTGTTCGAGACCTCGCTTCTCGTCTCTGGCTTCACCATCGAGGAGCCCGCCAGCTTCGCCGAGCGCATCCACAAGCTCGTCCAGATCGGCCTCAACATCGAGGAGGGCGAGGAGAAGGCTGCCGAGGAGATTCCTGCCGCGGCCGCAACCACCACGGAGACGGGCGACAGCGCCATGGAGGAGGTTGACTAAAGTTGGGGATCAAGGGTTGAATAAAACGGGATACCAGAAAAGTCATCGGAGTTGGACGGGTTTTCGGGTTTTGCTACTTTTTCTTTTGTTGATAACTAACCCCAACGCTTCCACTTGGGATCCTGGCGTCGTAGTTTTCCCTCTTCTCTCGGAGACTTGCGCTTCACTCGCATAATGTTTCCCCCGTCCTACCCATCCGGGACAGGAAGGGTGTATTCTAGCTAGCTCGTCATGATTATGAGACAGATGAGGCCCGATGCGAAAGAATTGAACGATTAGAAAAATAAAACCTTCTCGCTCTCGTTTCGTGCCCTCTGAAAGTACGATGTCGTGCTGTGGCAGCCGCCGTATGACACCAAGGTGAGTTATTGCGAGTTGGTGCCGTGTGATAAATGTGATAAATGTTAGCAAGACACAAAGCAAAGGCAGAGCACATTTATTTGCCTTTCATCATCTCTTGATTCATGTACATGTATTATTAACGGCAGTGCTATCCCACGGAATTGGGCTTCCGTTACGTAGAGTATTCGGTGAGTTGGAGCTACTCGATAGAGTGACACGAACCATTGTGGATGATCCTCATATCACCGAAAATATGTGTCGTTGAGCATGTCATTGGGCTGGATATGCGATAATGCTGTTTCCATTGCGGGTGAAGGTGTTTACGCAACTTCAAGACACTGTAGCCCTAGTCCCAGAAACTGGGACAGAAATGATTGGCTGGTCCCGAGAGACTCGTAGCCAAGGAGCAAATAAAAGGGAAAAGATTAAGGATGCAGAATCAATTTTTAATCACTATAGAATAAAGAACGAGAAGAACAGCGACACCAGCAACAAAGGAGGAAGGGCAGACGAAGCAAGCTCAATTTCTCAAGACCGAACCCCGACTCCCAGGAGCATGGCTATCTCCTGATGTCATGGGCGTGATTATCCGCCTGATACAAAGTAGGGAAAAGAATCCCTCTATTCCATGACCTGGCGGCAATAGGACGTTGATGGACCTGGTCCAGCTGTCGGTGCCAGTTTAGAGTTCCATTTCATCTCGCTGTCAACTTGTGTCCCTCGATGCTGTTTTTCCGTCCATCTGTTTTGTCTCTGCAGCAGAGCAGGGAAATAAGAAAGAAGAGACATAAACGCAAGCAATGGCAAAACCCGAAGTCACCGGGGGGGGGAAGGTCCTCCATTTCTTCCTGATCGCATAAAGTCAAACGTCATGCTATCTTTTGCATCTAGTCCCGATACACGAGAAAACAGTAAACCATTCGGCTCTGATATATTTATGGCATTACGAAGTCCTCTTCCGTTCTGTATGCCTTAGGTTTTCACACATGAAGTCGATATGACGTCGGCGCCCCAGACGTGCGGCTAATGGGGCTCTGACCCACCTCGCGGTTCAGGACTTGGCGATTATGGGGCGTTTTTCGGTCCACGGCTTCCTCTTGTCCCATTTTCTTTTTTTCTACCAGAGGGGAAAAAAAGGGAAAGGAAAATAATTAAAAATGCGACGTCGGATCCAGCCCCCACTCAATGGAATGTGCATCTTTAACCTTCTTTAGCGGCGTATTCGCGTTATTAAAGAGTACAGGTCCGGCAGTAAGCTGACGATTCTCCCTTTCACCCCCACACGTCAAGATCCATCGGAGATACGGAACCCCCCCCCTTCCAAACCACCGGGAAACTCTCCGGACATCTTCAATTAACGACTTCTTACGTCGTACATAGTACCTACAGTGCATTCCCACATTCCCACCCTTCGGCTCATCTTATTTGCTCTAGACAAACTTCACAACGTGGGAAGACTTGTACTATACGTCCTGGCTTCAAGTGTAGGCAGGACTCTGATTTTGAAGTAAGACTCTTTGAACGAGACCAGAACACGGGAAAGAGGGGGCATGATAAGCTCGGGCAGTACCTATCCGTAAAGGAGACCCTGATGTCGATCAAACCTGCGTCATACGCCTGCAGATCATTTTGTGAACCCCGGTCAACTTCATTCCACCTAGCAGGTGCTCGCATGGATTATCACTTTTATCACGACTCTCGTAGACTTCAAGAGAAGGACTTCCCACAAGATATGGACATGAATGAGATTCAGGAGACTGGCATGAAATCGCAGATTTGGAGTTGCGACCTTGAAGAAATCAAACAAGTCCCTCTTGTGCATTCCGGCGCATAAGGTGACCACCATCCATCCGAACGCCAATTATTCCAACCAACCCTCATGAAATTGTCAAGGGTCAAGGAGCGACAGTTGCCAGAGAAACAAAGCAAGAAGAAGGATAAATAAAAAGGGCCCGTTCATGCCCTTCAATGCTCCGCCGGTAACACCAGCTTCCCTGCATCCACAATGATTTGTTCGTCGATGCGACTTTCAACGTCCCCGTATTCGAGCCTTTTCCAAGTCCGGATCCGCGCTTGATTCATGTCGACGTCGAACAGTCGTACGCGACGGTGATAACCGCCGTACCCTGCGTAGCCGCCGAAACCAGCACCACCTCCGTAACACATCCACAGGGCGGGCTTCTGATCCCCGTCGACGGAAAGAGCACAGTAATCGTTGACGTGGTCACTACAATATCGAGTCAGCTTTGTTATCACTCCCCCGCCACATAGAACCCAGCCAATTGAAGCCCGAGTCGCGGATTTGAAGCAGGTGAAGTAAAGTTAAGTTTTGATGGAGAATGGAAGCGGGGTAGAAACGTACTGTCCGCAGCTGACCATGAGAACGCCTTGCTCCACCAGGACATCTCGGAATCCCGAGTTGAAGTATGGCGCCGTAACACCTTCTCGCCAGTCACCCTTGATGCGATTGTGGGAATCACGATATTCCGGCAGCGGAATATGAATAAAGGCCAGGTCCATGTGCGTATGCGTGTATTCCTTGTGTTTCTTCTTGAGCCTATTTGCCGTGTTCTTGAACCACTCGATTTGGTTTGCCTTGATCCAATCGTAGCCACGATACGCGCGCTCGTTGGGCGAGTAGGAATGCGAATCGAGAAGATATAGCGTCAGAGCAGAGTGGTCCGACTTGCCACGAGCGAGGACCTCAACGTAATAATTTCCGACGCCATCGATATCGTCCGGACCTGCGCGGGAAAGGGAATAAGGCAGAGATTCGAGGATGTTCATCTGCGCCCCACGCGCAAGCGAACCCTCGTCATCGTGGTTGCCGAAGATGGCGGCATACGGTATCTTGCGCTTGATCAGGATCTGGGCAAACTTGAAGATGGCCTGTCACGGGGTCAGCAAGTCAGTCCATAGGGGCGTGAAAAAGAAAGAAAAACAGGGAAAGAAAGGAAAGGAAAACGGAAGGGAGAAAAACAAGCCATTGCGCAGTGCCCGAGGCGAAGAATGGCGAGGCGAGGTGAGGCGATGCGCCACGTACCGATTGTGCGTCAGGTGCCGTCTCCCCGTTGACTTGGTCACCCGTCAGGACGACCAGATTGGGCTTCTCTTCGTCGAGGATCCTGGCCATGAAGTCCAGTGTCCTCGGATCCGCGTCACATTCGCCGTCGTTGTAACTGTCGGGAACGGCATCGCGACATCTTCCGACGCCGGTACTCAGATGGAGATCGGCGATCTGCATGATCTTGAACTTCCCGTTCTCGGGAATGCGGGGTTGGGGCTTTACTGGGCCCTTTTGGGTTCCGCGGCGGATGGTGAGATAAGGCGCCGGGATATCATCAGCCCCAGAAAGCAGCAGAGGTGTCCCGCCGGCCATGGACCAACCATCGCGTGCCTCGACGACATCATCACCAAACAAGACGTCGACGGTGGTCACAGTTTCCTTGGAATCGCCCAGTTTGTGATTGGATGTTCGTTTCACCCAGAGACCAAGCGGCCGCGCTTCCCATGTCTCCTCATCGTCGCCGTGGATGCCCGTGTTGGTCGGATCCAACCTCCCCACCGACATGTCGAGAACTATCTTGTCGTCTGCAAGCAAATCTTCCTCCTTTTTACGGGCGACGTGTAAATAAGCGTGGCTGGCCCACTTCTTGCCAAGGTAGAGGTCCTTTTCAATACGCTGCCACTTCTCCGGGTCTAATTTACATGAGGCGAAGGGATTCATGGCCGAGCACTGGGCAATGGTGACGTCGGTGACTATCAGGCCATGGTTGTGTTGGGGCATGTAATTGTGGATGGCTTTGGGGAGGACTCTGAACTTGCGATCGAGGAAGACGATGAAGAAGAAGCTGCAGACGCTGGCGATCGCCAGCTGGACGAGGGCGCGGACCTGTCAGAGTTGGGAAGGAGTCAGGTTTTCAATCTGTCGACGACAATGACGAGGACTCGAACACTCAGTTCGTCGGAGCTAACTCACAATGCGTCGCGTAACCATTTCGAAAAACTGCGATTTGTATTATACGGCCTCTCCTTGCCCTGGAAAACAGACGCTCGATGAAACCGTTTCGTAATCCGACGGCAAATCCGCGAAGAAAACAAGGTCCTGGCAAGAAGCCACGGGTGTGGCTAGAGTAGTGAGAAACGAAGGAAAGAAATGAAGTAGTGAAAACTGAGAGCAGCCGACTCGAAAGAGCCCGTGTTGCTCTGAAGCCTGGACCTAGGCCATCTAGCAAGGGTGCGGTTGCAGTGGGAACGATGCCACGAGGATCGACTGGTTCGTGGTCGTGGTCGTGGATTGTGTCAGTTGGGGCCAAACCTTCAGCACTTCGTCCACGGAAAGCGGCGAAGCTTTAGAAAGTAAAAAGATGCGAACAATAGTTTTTGGCACTCTAGAATCGGGGTTGGAGAGGAGATGTAAGGACAAAAGTTGAGATTTCGGGTGTCGTTACAAAAAGCATCGTCCATCCCTTGGCAGGACAAGGAGTACCTACGTACAGCCCAGCTGGACGACGATGCTGGCCACGAGTACATGTACCTTACGTTGTACGGATACGAAGTAATTACCTTGTCAATATTCCGTACTTTGCCGTCCAGTCGAGAACCTTTTTATCCATGATGTATGTGGAGCAACTGCAACCCTTTTGCTCCTGCCCGACAAATGGCCCGCTGCTGGGCCAGCCAGGGATCCGGGGAAGCTGCTCCCTGGCTCTAGCTTACAGTGTAGGTACTGTTTTGTGCTGCGTACCTATGTACATACATAAGTACCTTAGGTACCTTAAGGTACCTAAGGTACTTAGTAGCGGCCCCTGTGCGGTCAAGTTGGCCAAATCGTATGAAGGTGCTACTGGACTGTATAGGTACCGTATCTGGGGGGATAGTGGAGTAGTACACCACCTGGACTAGCCTCTTAATCCCTAATAAGAGGTCGTAGGTTCGAATCCTACTCCCCCCTAACCTATTTTCGGATAGGTATGTACCTTAGGTAAAGGGGGCTAGTAGTAGCCCCTAAACCCTTACTAAGTAGATAACCGATAGCCTAGGGACCTATCCTTATCGGGATAGCAGAATAGCCTAAGGAAGGGGATTCCTTACTAAGCTACTACCAGTATAGGGTTATTATAAAGGGGGGAAGAAAGGTATAGGGGGCTACCTAGGCTCTTAGGTTCTTTCCGTAAGGTTTTTTCTAAAGAAAGGATTTACTAAAGTATAAGGGTAGGGCGTACGTGGTATTTCCTAAATAAATACTCCTAGTGCTTTTCCTAACCGATAGTGGTGGTAGTATATCCTATACCTTTCGATACCTCTAAACAGTCTATTATAACTTTAGGGTTATATACGGACTTTAATAAACCTGAATTAATTAAATAAAAAGGTACCGTATCTCTATAAGGTACTTATATACTAGTCAGGTACTTAGATTACTATTAAATACTAGAGATAGGTAGCAATTGTCCGCGATTGAGCTGAAAAAGTACTGAAAAAGTACTCCGTGTGTAAGGTACCTAGGTACCTTAATAACTATTTCAATTGGAAGACATCCTTCTGAGCTGAGGTACCTACGCGCTTCCACGTCCACGCCTTCTGCGCACTACCTCCATCCAATGCACTTTGCGCAGCGCAGTCTTTGTCACCTGTTGTCTCCCCCAGCTGGTCAAGCTGACGAAGAATCCTCCATTCCCATTTTTCTTTTCTACCATTGTCCTTCCATCTTCTCCTTATATTGCCCATCTCATCTCGTATTGATTGCATTTCATCCATCGTTTGTCTCTCTCAATACCGTCGCTATTTTGCCAACCACTCTAACACATCTAACCGATCTCTTCTCTTCATTCTCTTACCGACCAACCCAACCAACAAACCCAACTAAACATCACGGCTCCCCGATCTTACGATGGCCGACTACAATTCTATGAAGGTGCCCGAGCTTAAAAAGCTCTTGCAGGGCCGTAATCTGTCAGTCACGGGCAACAAGGCCGACTTGGTCGCTCGTCTCACCCAGAACGACAAAGAGAATGCGCCCTGTATGTCGCGTCATGTTTTACTTTCCTCTCGCCTTAACTTGCCTGTGGCATGTCTTCGATGGCGCCGGGTTTGTCGACTAATCAAAACAAATTTGCGCTATAGCTGCTCCTGAGCCTGTAACACCTGCGCCCGACGCGAACGACGAGATTCACTGGTCCGAGGACGACGAACCGCCTCCTGCTAAGGCTGCTCCTGTTGCTACCCAGGCCGCTGCTCCTGCGCCCGACAGCGAATCCGCTTCTGCGAAGCAGTCCGAGCCTGAGCCAGAGTCAGCTGTTCCAGTGCCCGCACCCGCCGCGACCGCGACCGAAACGGCGTCTGCTCCTGCCGCCGACGCTTCCGAGTTGCCTAAGGAGACTGAGACTGAAGCAGAAGCTGAGGCTAAGGTTGAGGTTGAGGTTGAGGCTGAGGCTGAGGCTGAGGCTGAAAAGCCTAAGGAGGACTTCGCACTCCATCTCGATGCGACCGACGCGTCAGAGGAAGCTCGGAAGCGCGCCGAACGTTCCAAACGCTTCGGCATCGCCAACGACACCGTCGATGAGGAGGCCAAGAGGAAGGCCGAGCGTGCCAAGCGATTTGGCATCGATGCTGGCGACCTGGCCGGCAGCCTCGACTCGGCTCTACCAGAGCGCAAGCCGAAACGAGATCGCGGTGGAGAAGGTGAACAGGACGCCCGAGACACCAAACGACACAACAATGGTGGACGAAACGGCCGGAGAGGTCGGGGCTTCAAAGGTGGTCGCGGTCGCGGCCGCCAACAAGGCGGGGTGAATCCAGGTGGAAACGGTTCCAGAAAGCAGGGAAGTGGAACCACTTCCGACCCTGCTGAGAAAGCAAGGATGGAGGCCCGCGCGAAACGCTTTGCCGCGGCTTCTTAGGTCAACCGCTGGCGGTGACTGCCCCGCGTTTTCTCCTATTTCTGGTCGCACGCAGGGTACAGAAGGGTAACTCGGCGATTGAATCTTGATGGGGCATGGGCATGATCAGAGGAGGGTAGGACGGGAATCTTAAAGCGGTGTATTCCTCTTGACTGAAGCGCGATGCGCCGGCGCGCTCAGGCTCTCCCCGCAACCCGGGAATACGACATTCGTCGAGGTACAGGCGGACACGATTACATCAATCAGAATACGGTGGCGGCGCATTTTCTGTCATGCCGAGTTTTGGTACCCATGTCCAGAAGCCATTCGCGGGTCTCCCTCCTCCTCCCTTGTTGACACAAGTGCGCAACAAAGACAACTTGTTCTCGTCTCGATACCATATGACGAACACTGCATCAACCTAACTGTCATATACGCTGTCTTTCTACCTTTTTCTGCTTCTTTAGATCGACTCGCAGTACGCAAATTCTCAGTAGATGCCGGCATGGTTTCTCTTGAATTGCGCCTCTACCTGCACACGCTCACACAGGACCGTTTTCCCCGTGCTCAAGACAGGCTCGGATATACTCGATTACGAAACATGGTTAATTCCCCCGCTGAAACGTGCCACTCTACCTACAATCGTGCTGTACATAATAGACGCGACAGAACACGAACAAGCGACATAAGCACCCTGGTAACCCGTGGCTGTTTTGCCGTTCCGTTTTAGGGATGACGATAGGACCCCGAAAAGCGGCGCGTCTCGTCGATAGCCAGGATACCCAACGCCGGCCCGGAACTGGCTGGGAGGCAAGGGCGAGATGTCGGTCGGAGGGCACGAAGTCCACGAGCTCCCCGCGCACTGGCTTCTTCGGAAGTACCCAACGCCATGAGATGGATGCAGTATCATTGATTTGCCTTATGGCGAAATGGAAAATCTTAACTTGATTGCGGGCTCTGGCCTTGGCCATTTGTGCTAACCTCCGAGATGGAAGCTCCTTAAGCTACTCATAGTGGCCTGTAGGACAACAGGAGGAAACATACGCAGTGGAGAGTTGCCATCTCGCCAGCTCACCAGCACCGCGTCCCCTCGCAACCGACAACCGAGAGCGTGAGCACGGAACACAAAGCAGTATTAACCAAGATGGACGGCACCTAGACATGACTGGAACCGAAAGGGCAAAGGATAGGGAGAGAGGAATAAGCTGTTCTATTAAAAACGGACGGTGGGCCTTGAGGTGCACTAGACATTGATACAGGATTACTATCCAAAAGCAACTGCTCTCACAAAGCAGATGTCATTCCGGCTACCTAGGTAGGTAAGGTAAGGTAGGTACGGTACGTACAAAGTATTACACATCTTAGAATGAGGGATTCCTACGAAGTACCTTAGACTGGGTATAGTACCTAAAATGCAGAGACTCAACCGTTTTCTCCTCCAGCGAAAGTTGACGTTTTCCGAAGCCGCGAAATACGCAAACACTTTTCTTCCCATTCTGATTCTTCTCTTCTTTTTTTCTTTTCTTCTTCTTCTTCCCCCCGGTATACACAGAGTAATGAATAGTTTCACTCTTCACTCCAGTTCATTTCCTCTGGCCTGGTTATCACGAAGGAAGTTCAGACCATCCTAATAAAGATTTACCTATACAACATACTCCGTGCGTACCTAAGGTGGTGCAGAAGTCGCCCCGCATTGTCCCAGGTGGGGATGCTATGGGTTTGTGGCAAGTGCGACCAGTTCATGAATATTTGCATGGTGGTCCTATAGTTCCATAGCCCGTATGCAATTAAGCGTTCAATAGAGTTGCCTCTTTTTTATTTGTATTTTTATTTTTTATTACGCGCATGCAGCCCTAGAGAGTTGCCTCGAACTGATGCCAGAGCAAAAGTCGACTGTATGATCGTGGGAGTGTAAGCAAGTAACGGGACGGCGGGACGTGCCTGATACCCCAATACTTACCTACTCCGTAGGTAATTACCTAACTGACATCTTGTCTCCACTTTGCCGCCCATTCAATCGTCCGTTCCCGGACACGGCAACTCTGGACCTGACCCAGTACAACCAACCACCACCGTCATCACACTGAGCCTCTTTGACGTCGCCTTTCCATCTTCCATTCTTTTCCATCGTTTTTCCTCTAGTGTTTTGCTTCCTCGAACTCTCCAAACAGCTTCCCATTCCTACAAACTACTCCTTCGACTATCGGCCTCGTCATCGTCCTTATCGCCAGCCAGTTTAGAAAACAAGCTGCGAATGCCACGCTTACGGCGGTGACGCCAGCCGTCCCCTCTCCCCTCGCTGCACCTGCGAACATCTCGACCCGACTGGTATCGACGTCGAACCCTCACCATATCGCTTCGCACCCGCCCTTTCATCTTCATTTCATTCTGTTGCATTTTCGCCCTATTATCACAGCCTTGCACAGCCTTGCCCAACATGGCGCCCACCCCTCCAAACTCGGCCCTGAACGGCGTCATCATCGGTCTCCTCTCCTCGTTCGGCTCAGCTATCCTCATCGCCCTCATCTTCCTCGTCATCTACTTCTTCCGATACACAGACACAGGTCGAATCTTCCTCGACCGCATAGGCCGTCCGGGAGAGTACGATGATGAACAAGCATTTGCACGCGAGGAGGCCGAGGCGCTTGAGACCATGGATGACCTCCAGCGGACTGAGTACTTGCGAGCCAAAGGTAAATTCAATCTTCAGGTCTTCTAGTCCTCTCCCCTCTTCTGCATTTCCTTTTTTTTTTTTTTTTTGGTCTTTCCTTCTCCTTTTTCTTCCTTTCCTTAAAATCTCGACACCGACGCCACTCTCTGTACTGTTCCGTTGCTAACGCATATCATCTTCGTTTCCCAGCCTTTATTGCCGCCAATCCCCCCGAATCCCTTCAGACCGATATCTCTTTGTCGCAATATCTCGCCATTCAGGAAAAGGGGGTCTCCGCTTGGGAATTCGAGCCCGAGTTGGAAATCGCAAACTGCTTCGTTGAAGGTCGGACCGAAATCGAATTCTTTGATTCCGAATGCACCGTCATGAGCAACCTTCCCGTACCGAAACAGAACGAGGTCTACTACTGGGAAGCTAAGATATTTGATAAGCCCGAAAACACCTTGCTGAGCATCGGAATGGCTACCAAGCCGTATCCCCTGTTTCGGCTTCCAGGTATGTTACCATATAAATCGACTGCATGTGCCTCTGGGCGGTGTCGGGCGGTTTGCACGATTGTTATATATTCCCCCCTTCTCCCCTTTTTTTGGCCCCTTCCATTCATTAATTCATTCTTGTCTTGTCTTTTTTTTTTTTTTTTTACTCCCTTTAGCTGACCCTTTCACCCAGGATATCACAAGTACTCTGTTGCCTATATGTCGACAGGCCATCGCCGTTTCAATCAACCGTTTAACCCGACACCTTATGCACCCTCTTACGTCCAAGGTGACGTTATAGGCGTGGGCTACCGGCCGCGGACGGGAACCATCTTCTTCACTCGCAACGGCAGGAAGCTGGACGACGTAGTGCACGGGTTCAAATCTCACAACTTCTTCCCGGCGGTGGGCGCGAACGGCCCCTGTAGCGTTCACGTCAACTTCGGCCAAGCCGGTTTCGTATTCATTGAGGCCAACGTCAAGAAGTGGGGCCTCGCCCCGATGACCGGTAACTTGGCCCCTCCCCCGCCTTATGGTTCCGAACAGGGCGACATACTTTTGGAAGCAGGCCGGAAGGACGGATACTCCGGCAGTAGTAGTAGCGCTGTTCAGACCCATCACGTCTCCTCCCACTCAGTTCAGCCTTCCCGAGACAACGCCGGCCAAACGCTGAGTGCAGCACACGGCCATGGGCGGACAAGGAGTGGCAATTTCCGGGTACTGCCTCCGAGGAGCCCCGGTCCCACCACTAGCCCGACCGACATTTCTCTGGCGCACTTCGTCCCCACCGACGACGGAGGTGAATCCAGCAGCAGCGCGCCTGCTGTCCATCCCCGCCATGACGAGCACGTGGTTGGGCTGGGCATGCAGGATGCGCTTAACCCACCTCCCGAGTACACCAGTCCAGAGCAGTCGGAGGCAGGAAGTCGCCGGAACAGCACGGATAGCGACAATACTCCCCTCATCCGGGTGATCAATAGGAGTCGCGGCAGCTCGGCGGCCGCTGCTGCCGGATCTTCTCAGCCGCCGATACCCAGCTACAGCGACGCTATTAGGGACGGGGCCGGGAGTGCGTTAGGTAACGGGCCTGGGATCACCCGTCACGTTTCTCGATCCCGATCCCACAGCGCCCAATAAAGAAACTCAAAAACAGATCTACAGAGAGTGGCCAAGGCGGGTCGTCCTCGGCATGTCCTCGGCATCACGGCTACGAACAAGTACGGTATACCACACTATTGACGGCATAAAGCAAGTATGGAGTTGTCGGAAGAATCGACGGGACGAGACTATCATTTACCTCGGACCGGTCCTCATTTACACCAAGGCGAACTGGAGTTCAGGCTCTTTCTTCGGTTTGTTTTTGGTTGGCTTCTGTTCCTTTGATTTTGAATTAGCGGGGTTGACGGATCACGACTCAGTACGGAGGAGGGACGGGGAAACCAATGGATTGTCTTTTTGCTGGGTTGCTTGCTAGCGTCACAGATACCTTCAGCTCGAATCGACGCTTCCTTTTTTTGCTTCCTCTTTTTTTGTTTTGTTCACTCCTTGTTTTTCTTTTGTACTTGTTTCCAGCTCTACGGGATACGTTCCAGGCGCGCCTGGGCATGGCTGGATTCTCAGAGCTCAACCCCTTTAACCCTTGATGGCGCCCAATGGGGATGTACGGGTGGCGCGGCACGCCATGTCTAGCTACTTCATACCTAGCAGGAGGTCGAATACACTGTCTCGCTTTTCTGTAAATGTTGTGGTCGAGCTCCGAAGTGGGCAGTCGGGCTTGAGGCCTGTCCCATTGTGGCGAGTCTGCCCTGTGAGCATCTCCCCTGGTCACATTCCCGATCCCGTCTCTCTAACCTCACGGAAACGATTCCATCCGGGCCCATCATACTCGGCCCGAGAACGCCACAAAACCTACAAAGATGGAAGGGTTATGACGCGGGGACTATACTCCGTAGAACAGCCGCTGTTGGGCTAGCCATCTTTACGAAAGTGGCTGTTGCCTGGCGGCTTCGTCATACTTCCATTGGCTTCGACTCGTTTGGCATTGGAAACCTCGTGTCGTCAAGTGAATAGTAATCATTACCTTAGTTACTATCCCGTCCGACCATACGTTGATGCATCGACGCCACCATGGCACGTCTCTCCGTACTGCGTAATGTGCCCCTCTGTTCTGTGCCTCTTCCTCAAGGAATCAAATGTTGAGTCAGCCCTTTTTACTTTACTTTTTTTAGAAAAGAAAAAAGAAAAAAAAAGAAGAAGAAAAAGAACAACTACCTCTCTTTCCGTGAAAATTAGACAGTATATGGTGTAGTGGACACTATGTGTGTGTCATCTCCAACTACCTTACCTACCTTATGTTATGTGTTAGTTCAGTACCTTAAGATTATTAACCAAGAACCACAACGACACCAGCTTCCTCCCCTTGGGGGCCCAGATCCTCCACTAGTTTAATCTACGTACGCTCTGGTTTTCGCATTCCGTAGGACTTGGCTGTCGATTTTCACACCCATGGCACACCCTGAACATAGCCGTAGTTCTTTGCCAGAGAGAAGGGCCATCAGAGCGAGAGACATCGGAAGTCGGGACCGGGGAGGGGGGACCTAACCTTAACCTGCCTTAGACTGTATGTCTACCGCTCGAGAAGCTAAAGGAGGCGATGGCTATGGCTATGATTAGTTATTCTTAGCTTCCCCTTTGGGAGGGAGGAGCTAGCTGCACCTCGGAACGCATGGCTCCCCGTACCCTGCCTTTTTTCCCTTCCATTGTAACACGGCCGGATGCGGCTCTTGCACTGCACTTGAGAAGAACCGTGATGGGACTACGGCCAATGGGGCAGACGAGTATTTGGAAGGCAAGGAAGAATAGACAAGTGGTGGTACACGAGATGAGAAGGCTGGGGAATGGCGGGCTAGTCCAGCCGACGTGACGACGTTCATGGCAGACGGATGGATGGATGGTCACTCGACATGGATGGACTCACGCTCCACGGAACCCAACGGCTCCGAAGCACGCTTCCGCAGTGCGTATACACCGAGTCAGCCTAACTGCGTGTAAGCCCAGTTGTTCGGCTGCCTACATAGCTGGAAATCTCAATAGCGCAATCACCAGAGAAATACCTGGGCAAGGTCAATACAGACGGTAGTGCCACGTGGGGAGACATGAACAAGTTCCTTGCAGGTCTCTTAGTGGACGACCACACTCGAGAGAGATGTTTTCTCCGAACAATAACAACAATAACTGAATTGAGACATCCGCTTTTCCCCCCCGGATCTACATATATTAAAGGTATACTAAGTAAGGTATACAATTAGATCCTCAAACAGATACGAAGTACGAGGCAGTCGAAGACAAGCCGCAAGAGTCGTACAGGAACCCGGACTACTGACCTCCACCAGCCAGTCCCTTCTGCGTCTCCCTTTTGCTTCTTGCTGCATGCTCCCTGCTTTCCATACTAACGTTCTGTGCTATGGCTGAGGACGAAGGGAGAAAATCAACGCTAAAAAAGCAGCCCACCCGCTGCATTACCAAAAAAAAATTCAATCCATCAACGCCCCTCAACGCCAACTGTTTTCTCCATCCGTGCGAAGAAACAACCAGGAAAGAGTCCTTAACGCCGCCAAGTTGATTAGACGATGTTCTCGTGGGAAAAAAAAATTAACCCACCCGCAACACCGGTATCCCATTTTTGTTCCCCGGAAGCGAGTCCTAACCAGGCCAAATGTACGTCATGTCTTTCCCTAATATCCGTAAGGAGCGTGTTTTCCGTCTATAATTATGTTTTCGATATGACTCTGGGTCCGAATCGTATTGTGTCGTCGAAGGAGCGAGTGTGTGTAAAAAGAATGTGCTAAGTTGGTTCGTTATTCGTGTCCGTCAAGGAATGTCCAAAGTGGGGGTATCATGTATTTGTAAGGAGTGTCGTGAGCTATCCGGCATTGTCGTCCAGGTGCATCGTTGTTCAAAGGAGTGTTGTTCAAAGGAGTGTCGTGCGAGGGTGTGCCCAAGTCTAGCTCGGGTTCATCGTGAGTATCGTCAAAGGAGTGTGACCGTACATTGGCGTTGAATTTGGCGTCCAAAGGTATTAAAAGACCCGGTATGATTAAAAGGTTGAGCCATCGAGGGCGGAAACAAGAAAAAAAAGTGGAAAAAGGAAGTGGAAAAAAGAAGAGAAAAAAAGAAAGAGAAAAAAAGAAAGAGAAAAAAAGAAAGAGAAAAAAAGAAAGAGAGAAAAAGAAAGGGAAAAAAAGGAAAAGGGAGACGAGCCCCGGAGCCCAAGTCAGTTTGTTGATGACGAGCAGAAGATGTGACTGGGGGGCATGCTCTCGATTTCGGACATCCCATCCTCCCTCGGATCGCTGTAGGCGATAGAGCCTTCGAAATTGGACGAGGCCGGGCTGTAGCCGGCGAAGACGGGAGAAGGGATGCTGAGTTGCTGTGGGTCGGTGTAGCCCGGCAGAAGTAAAGGGCTCACATGGGCAAGCGACGGCGACAACTCGGTGCTGGCCATAGGAAGAAACTCCGGGCTGGCCATAGGAAGAAACTCCGGGCTGGCCATAGGAAGAAACTCCGGGCTGTAACTGTAGATTGCATGGTCGCCGTACGGCACATATGTATAGGATGATGCCTGAGGTACCGCGCACCAAGGGAGAGGGCCACCAAGGATGACGTTTGGAGGGTGCATCTGGGGGAACAATATCGGTTGTGCAGGTGTGCTCAGGCCCATCGCGAACTGGAGGGTTGTAGCCGTGTCCATCGGGAACTGCATCAGTCTAACGGGCGTGTAGGCGTCGGTGTTGTGGCCATAGCTCAGGTGGCCACCAAGGACGCGGCTGTACGTGGCCACGATTGATCGGGCGCAGAGGTTCCCAAAAAAGGCAGTCCCAATCTCCGGGAAAAGACGCTCCAGGAGGATCGCGACGGTATAGTAGTGCGCGATGGTGACCAGTGTGGCGGGCGTGGGTCCCTTCTCCTGCAGCAACATGACGGGCAGAGAAAAAAGCCAGGTCCGGAGGGGCCGCAGACGTTCGAACTGCTCCGCCGCCGATAGATTAAGAGCGATTTTCCGAGATCCTCTCAGGAAGCCGGCGAGCTGCTGAATGGGCTTGGAGTCCTCTCCGCACTGCTTCACGAACAGCTCGACCTTGTACAACTGATGCAGGGTATAGTTGAGGGCATCGAGGTTCTCCTTGGGCGGCTGACTCGGTTGGTGGTCCGGGCTGGGAGCGGGCGACGAACGTGGGAAACTGCTGCCCGTCTCATTGAGAAGATCGTAGAACTCCGAGCCCTGGCCCAAGCCCCACAAGACATCAGTGACCTACAGCCGTCTGTTAGCCTCTTGTCACAAATCCTGGTTTTGCCGGGGTCCAAGAGGGCAAAACATACCGAACAGGCCCCCTGCATCAGCTGGGTCCAGGTCCGCCTACATCGTTGTCAGTGTGAGTCGTCAAAAGGGACAGTCGAGAGGGGCTGGGTGGCCGGGAAACCGGCTCCGGGACAGGAAACTCACCAATCAGTGGCCTGCCACGACAGGAGAAGCGAGGCAGCGAGGGCGGCATTTAATGTCTCACCCGAGAAAGTGCCGATGGCCAACTTCAAACCTCCAAGGGCCCGGCCACGGTGCTCATATGCCATATTACCCACGATTGGACAGTCGGTCAGGGAAGCGATGTGCATGGCCGAGAAAGCTAGGAGCGAGTCCATGAGGCAGCGATGCCTTGTCCCGAGGTTCAAGATGCTGTCAAGATGACGGTCAGTTCTTTGGTTCTCGCCTGGGAGATTCTGCATGTTCGCAAGAAGCGTCGTTCCGCGTGCACTTACGCCGGAATGTAGCTGGTCCAGATGGTGAGGCAAACGACATTCATTCCAGCCATCTGGTCGAAAATCGACGAAACATGGTAAATGAGCCTGAGTTCCTCGTCCGAATAGTGGGATGGGTGGGGGGGCGAGGTAAGATTGATGCTGGGGAAGGGAAAGGTGCCCGTACGGCGCCATTCCCTGATGGCCACAACGATCTCGTTTGTCCACATCAAATCGGGCTTATCGGGGGTGCCAGAGCCTTTGTGAGGCACAGGTATGTCATTGTAGGGGCAACGAATCTTGTGCTTCGTGCAGTTGCGGCTGGTTTCCCGAGTTAGCTGGCATAACGAGGCTGGTTCAATGGGGAGAGTTGACTAACCATTGGGGGAAAACCTCATCGCATCGGATGTGTCGACGCTTGCTAAACATATACGGTTAACCATATTGGACGCCACCCCAGCATATCCCGAGTAACAATACGTACCAGGTGTCGCAGCCCTTGCGCGACTTGGTGTGGCTGAACCAACATGTTAGCCAAAGACTCGGTCTTGCCTCGACTCCAAGGACACAATCAAGACGTACCTTCGACGTGGAGGGCCACCACCAGGACCAGCCATTTTTTTGTATTACCTTGTTGGAAAGCCCCAGAAGCGAACTGAAAGAGAAAGAAATTGCAGTCGAACGGTCAGCCAGACATGCTTCGTGCACCAATTAGCTTCATCCTGGTGCAAGGAGACTCACATTAAAAATAGACGGAGAGCACAGGCCCTCTATGAAGAAGTATGAAGGCAGCGAGCGTAGTGTTGTCAGATAGGAGATGAGAAATTAGGGGGATGGCGCAACCTGAAGCCAGGTCAAGGAATAGCTCTGGGAAGCCGAGCGTTTGCCCCGGTTCCTTGATGCTGGTGAGATTGCAAATGGAGCGTTCCGTCTCCGTTGGCTCCTTTCTCCCCGAGGGTCTCGACTCTCGACTTGACCGTTGTAGAAAGCGAGGGTGGATGATTTCAAGAATTTACTGGCTGGTTGGGTGAACCTGCGTGTCGGCGGGACTAAATTCACTGTGTCCCGTGGCAGCACGGCAGCGAGCGAGCGAGTAGCCTTGAAGTATACGCGATATTCGTTCTGGTGATGTATGGAATTCGCGAGTTTTCCGCAACGAGAGCGGTCGGGTAGGAGAGGAAGGAATTATATATCTGAATGGAGGGGAAAAAGAAGACGACAAAGGAAGAAGACACAATTAAAACGCGGAAGCGAATGACAGGAGTCGACGAGGACTTCCTAACGAGTAAGTAAGGGAAAAAGCGAGTGAGTAGGGGGAGAGCGAGGGACAGCGTGCCTGGTGATGTTGACCATATGCTCTGGCTGCAGGAAAAGACTGGGCAGCGCATTCGGGCTGGGGTGGGATGGGAGTCGCCTTTATATTTCTGCAAAGAGACCGACCAAGTGAGACGTGACAGCACCGGGAGAAGTACCGCCTCAGGTGTGTCCCGCATTGGCTAAGACCTGGAAAACACATGCACCACCAAGTGCACCTGAGACCCCATCCGTAGGTGGGTCCCTCTAGCCCTGACCTCAGAAGATGAGGCGTGAGATGCGTGCCGGCTGGCCCGGGAGGTTTACACTCCGGGGAGGGGGAGGGGAGACTAAGAGAAATAGAGAGAGAGAGGTGGTATTACGACGTACGACAGGGCAATACCCACGCAGACATTACGTACCTGATTGGGGGATGTGCTGCCCTGTGAAAAAAGCAATGCAGCAATACTAGGACCCAAGGTTTGTTTTAAAACAAGGACTTCCCAAAGCTAAGGTAGAGCAGCACAGAAGCCCAACCCAAACAACACCAGCACCTCGACCCTGGCACCTGGCCATGAAGCAAGCATCCGTGGCAAGCCCCTACTGGGATGGCACTTGACAGAGCGGAATAGCTTAGACAATTCTCGTCGCTAGGTCAGGTACAAGCCCTGTGACTGAGAAGTTTTCGCCACTGCATGTACCGGTAGGTGCTACACTACCATTACCACCTAAGGTACGTAAGCAGCACTGGAATATAAGTACCTCTGTACGGATAATCAGTCACCTCAATACCTTAGGTAGGTGCACACAAAGTAAGGCGATGTCTAGTGGTTTGCACGTGGGATTGTCACTCCCTCAACGCCCGTCAGCGCTTCGGCGGCCCTCCCCGTCTCGAAGGGTCACATATTACTCAATGAAAGACGGGACGAAGCTTTCGGGCTGGCTTTATTTTGTTTTATTTTATTTTAGCGCAGGCGAGGGTTTTATGTGATTTATTTAGCGCCCGGAGCCGGGTGTATAAAAGTTGACGCTCAAGAAAGATGCCATTTCGCCCATGGTATGATATCGACAAACGCCGAATAGCATATCCTCCATCCGCACTACACTAGTATACACTGGATCTTTAGGTTTCTTGCTGTTTTGCCATTTCGAGGATCGACTTTTGACGGTCATTCTACGCGCATTATTTACGGATTATCATCACCGCCATTAGGGTTCGGGCGACTTGGGAAATCGGGCGGGTAAACCAGTTCCCGAGGTCATGTTTGATCAACTCCTCTTTCTATATCCGTGCCATTAATCTTCTGGCTACTGTCTCTGCCGCCGACTCGTCGCTCGTCATAGTTATGCTAGACTCGACCGAGTGCCGAGCCGCTGACCGTCCGTGTCCTACAGCCCAGTCTCGCCCCTTGATTACCGCCATTTATCACGTTGGTTGTTTCGCTGCCTCCTGCTCATTTTGTCTTTGAGAGCAGAATGTCATGGACCTGGTGTTCAATGTTTACGGTCATCCCTAATGGTTTGAGGAAGTCGGCCAGTGAATCTTGTTCGCGGTTTCGCAAATCCCGAAACGTGGCTGTGTTCTGGCGCGCACACACACACAGTTCCAACGTGATTATGGGCCCATCAAAAGCAAGGGTCCCCGTCCCTACGACCTACGTACGCACTACGGAGTAATTAGCATGGGTGCAGGGAGATCTCTTACTTCCCGGCCTTTCCCATGACTATTTCTTCGGTTTTCCTTATTCCCGTCTCGAGTGGGATGTTCCGTCGATCCAGCGCACCGGATTATGAGAGAACCACTATGCCAAACTCAATTGATGTCCAGACAGGGGGGGCTAACCAAATCATTTCGATCCGACTTCTGGACTAGAAGTCGGTCCAGCACTAATGACACCGCATCTTGAAGCAGCGCACACAGGAGACAGTGCACATCCACTGGGCTGATATATGAGTTGGATCGGGATGATGAATGTTTCCACCGCTCCCGGCTTGTACGTTTCGCGGCTAGGTACTCGGAATATCTATCCGTAATTAGTGGGAATAGCTAAAGGTGCCCGAGTAGAGCCTAGAATCCATGAAGTCTACGTACGTAAGTAAGCCCCTTCATCGACGCCGCGGTCACAATAGACACATCATCGTTCTAGCAATTGGCACTCGGTCTTTTGTTTGAATTTTCGTTCATGTGTGTTCCTCGGCTCGTCGTTGACCCAGGAGCGGTTTATGGGACATCTACAACCTACACGATTATCAATGCCCAGGGTCAGGATGGATAGCGCTAGTAAATGCTATGGGACACCCCGGCTAGCGAGCCAATCGGGGCTGGGATCTGTAGGGTGCTGTCAAGAACGTTCAAAATCGACTTGAGAGCACCCTGGAGCTGAGAGTCGTCAGTAGACCGCCTTTCCTCCCCCACTAGCGACCCGCCTGGTTCGAACCTAACAGTAATAAAACGAATCTGACCGAATTGCTTGGAATGGAACCAGCTTTCATAAAATCTTACTACGGCGACAGAAGGAAGAGCCAATCGCTTGAGCAAGCATGCATAGCGGCATTTGGTCAATCGGCAACAGACATTCCGGCAGGCTAGCCAATTAAGGTACCGTGTGGAATGAATATACTCACCCCGCGCTAGTGCAGAGTGACAGGACATAACCGAGTAGGAGCGAAACTTGTCCGTACAATATGTTACGTTATTAGTTAAGGGAATATATTAGGGGCGCTCTATTCTGTAACTATCCGTACTTCGAGGTACGTCTCTAGTGTATACGCAGCTTCTCGGTGAGAGCATAACTGCGCAGTTGACCGAGCGTCAAAGTGCTGACAAAGTAATAAATCGCTGGTTCTCCAAGCCGCTAGCGGTAACTAAAACGCCACGACCCAGTTCATCACGAGGCAGTAGTCCAGGGGACTTGTGGCGGTGAATTGACTCCAGACATTGCGAAACAAAAAAGACGAGAACTAAGCAAGTGCATCTGGTAACGCTTAGGCAGACCATTGCCGCTGTTCTGCGTTTGATACATGCGATTACCTGCAACCCCCCGTTGGGAGCGGAGTCGAGTATTCGTAGAAAGCTTCGGTGGGTTAATTACCGGATACCTGCACAGTGAACAGCAGAGGTTTATTGCACAACATAATAGGCCCTGGCGCCCAGGATTTCTGGACAGACTCTAATTGGCTGTCTTCCGAGTCACGTGATATATACATCCTGTCAACAGAGGCCCTGGACTAAATGAAACTGATATCTGGCTTGAAACCTAAAATCCGTGAGCCCTGCGAGGTTTTTATAAGGTTGAGAGGGATGTCAATTGGGGATTTATACTTTACCACTCATCAAACACTTGAATGGATTTCTCAGAGAGCATTTCCGGATGACTTAGGCTCCCGTATCCAGGTTCGGTGGTCTTCCCAGGTCGTCGAAATGACAAATGGTATTTCGGGAAGCCACATCTACAGAAGAAAGTGCTTGAAATAGGTGTCAAGTTCTATCAACCCCCATTCCTATTCGAGCTGATGTCATACAAATAACCGACGAGTACACAAATCGGGCAGCTTTCAGCTGGGATAGACAACAAACCAACATTCAAGGCCAAAAGGTTTTCTGAACCATGATGGCACGAATCGAGAGTTCATTCGCGAGGTGCCTTGCACAAACATTGCGGTCCGTTCTTCCACAGGTGCAAGAGTACAGAGGAATTGGTTCTGCAGTCGAGATTCTGCGACCCCTCCGGTTGTTTATTGCCGAGTTTAGGAAACCCCCGAATGCGACATCGTCCGTAACTGATCAGGATTATGTGTAAAGGCTTTCAAGAGACAGTTATCCGAGGAGATTTCTTTAGCCCTGCCTTGTTCTGGAAGCCCCCTTTAAAATGACAACTGTAGGTTGTACATCTAGCACTAGGCCCCCCGTAAGGATACTGGGGGCACGAGGGAACCGAGGCGAGGGAGAGAAAGACAGGAGAGAGACAAGAAGACCGAGTCGTTTCGCCTTATATGTATTAATGGCCTCCTAGCATGGGTGTGACTACCCCGAGTACTATACACGGTGAACTTTTATGTACGCGCTGTCCACTCGAGCCATCCGAGTCAGGAAAGAGAAGCTTATGAAAAAAAGCAAATGCCACTGCACTTTTTGTAACGATGGCCATGATAGGCGCATTCTCGCGTCGTGTACCTACTATGCGACATTCCTTATTATGTCCGCGAAGCTGTCATCACGTATATCCTTCAACCTGGAATCCTAGAATGCGGCGTCTTTCAGGGCCTGTCGGAACAAGACAGCGACAGGCGAAAATCCAGGTATTATCAATTAGAAATGCCCGCTAAGTAGGTAACACAGGTGTGCTGCTTCAAGCAGACAACAATTTCGCCGAGCTTCGCTTTTAATTTATTTCTGTTCGTCAACTTACAACGCCCCTTTTTTTTTTTTGTCGTTTCCTCTCAACGGGGTTTGTAGGAAGGGCAGAAGTGAAAATAGCCAACGATGCACTTGGGACCGTTGTTTCTTAGAGGGGCGACGATCTTATTAGTGTCCACTCACTCACCAATCGCATAGGTTGACCGGGCTCCATGATCGCTCTCCCACCAATCATGGGCTGCTAAGTCGAGACCGGCGTTGTGGCTGTGGCTGTCGGGATCGAGTTTCGATGCCTGGGCATTGTCATTTGGAAGCTGCGACAGGGGTGTGCAAGCCCCTTGGCTGGCGGCGTCCTGCATGACGCTGTCGCTGTCGCTGTGGGCCATTCAACGGCGGGCTTGGCGTATTGGCAGTCCGGGCTGTCTACGCTATACTGAATCCGGTATGGACTGTTTCTATTCTTAAAACACGACGGTAGGGACCAGGGAAGCGAACCTACAACGTACTCGTCCTAAGTAATTCATTACCATCATAACTCATTGCAAGTCAGCAAGTAGCAAACGGAGAGAGAATAAAAGAAATAAAAAGAAACTATACGCGAAGTGAGACGACGGTCGATAGCAGAAGATTGTTTTATATAGGTATGTACATAGACGAGACCCGGCCTTGCAAGTCTTCTTAGACCGTTCTGGGGGGTTCTATTAATAGTTTCAGCCTTGGAAGAGTAATAACAGAGCCGCAGTGGCAGTGGGGTTGACGATTCGTACTGAGTGCATATTAGATAGGCTATAAGGAGCGAGCGGGGGTCGTCTATTATCCCATAGTGTATTCATCGACAGCCTTAACGGCTTTTTCTCTGCCCTGAGAAATTGAGGTACGCCGCCACGTGTGAGGTTGGGGATCCATCTCCGTAACGGTGAATAGCCTACAGCATCACCTACCACGCGGTGATGAGATGTTGGACCTTCTAGATATTTAAGCACTTAGTCCATGTTGTCACGGTATTAGTTTAATCATTCTGGCGCTAGGACTTTGATGTATATCTGCCCGTGTTCTAGACCGAGAATCTTGGAAGTGGATCTTCCTCCGCCTTGCCATCTTTAAACCCAAAGGGAACCGAGGGGTATATTCTCCGTTCTAATATAGACACAGTGCTTATATCTAATAGTGCCGTATTAGGGTGCTTGGGCATCGGGACTTTTGTCAATCCGTGACCTGGTTAGTTCTACCTTACACAGGAAGGGCCCGGGTGATAAAGGAGAGGGGGCATTTGGATAACAAATTTTGCGGACCGAGGATAGGCAATCTAGTGGTTCCCCTTTTCCCTAGAAGCATAGGCAGAATTTTCCGAATAGCTAGCTTTGGAAAGCAGTAATATGTATAAGCGAAGACGGCGGCGAATGCAGATGGTGGGGGTTGATTCCCCTTTTCCTTCTGATCTTTAATGCAGCGAAATCCTAATATGATTGGTCCCAATCAAGGAGCGTTACACCACACGACACTATAGTTGTCGGGCCTTCTTCTCCTCACCCGGCTCTGTGATGCTGGGTTTGGACAACCAAGGCCGATATTGACGAGTGGCACTGGGAATTCTCTACAGTGTCAGTCGAGGAGGTCCCATGCACAAGGCCAAGAAGAGATCCGAAGTCGGCGGGGCGATCTAACGCTAGTCAATGACAAATGGAAAACAAGAAAAAGAAAAGAAATAGTCTCCCCCGGCCTTCCCCCGACCTTCCCCCAAACTCCAGGAAAGAAGACGGACATAGTTCGGATGGTATTGACTTTTTCGGGTGATTCAACTACTGACCCTGGGCGCTGTGCATCATAAACCCGAGGGCCTGCGGAGTACACTCATTGGGGGAGGGATCAGTGCCACGGCAGTTGATATAGAACACCCAGGTGAACTGATGCATGGACAACCACAAGCAGTCTCACGATATTCGCATGCGCAGAGCCCTGACTAAGGCACTTGATGTTGTACGAAGCACTGGGGGTATCGTAGCAAATCAATTCTTCAGTACCTTGTAACACGCTGTATACCTTAAACTACGACGTACGGAGTCGCAGTACATATATCGTGGCCATGGTCATTCGTCGGAACCTTGAGATCTCGCATAACACCTAAAACATGTTTGATTCCACAGCCTCTTCCACTCAGCTGGGCGTCGTGTAGTGTAATTAAAGAGACGAACTAACCATGCCAGGAATGGTGGCCCAACGCCGTTACCTAACTCTACACGTGAGAAGATCGAACGGTTTCCCCGCTCCTACACCGTTAGTAAACAAGCCCCGCCCGCGATTAGGTGAATGTCACAAAAACTTCGTAGATTTTCTTCCGCCGATTGACAGCATCCTGTACGTTGTATCTGTAAAATGAAGCGATAGGCCAGATGAATAAACTTATCAGTTAGGTATATAAGGTAGGCTCCGCTTACCAGCTCCTTAGATACGATAACCAGAAACAAGGAAGCAAAAGAAAAGCAATGGTCCCACATACTTATGGTACCTTGTATTTCCTTTCCAGTCCTACGTCACTGAACTCGGCCGAGTGAGAAACCACAGTGAGAAAGACGGTAACTGCCTCTCAAGCATGAGTGGATAAGACAAGACACAACCCTAAAAAGCCAGGCGCAGTACGCAAAACTGTCGAGGAAGGTTTTTCCACGTTGAAACTATGAAGTGCCTCGAAATCTTTGAAGAGGGCCATCGTACACAGCCTACCATATGCACGTAAATAATCGATCCCACGTACTCGGGTATGTTTTGATTTGCTGACTTTTATTATCTGGCTAATCCCGGTCTCGATGACACGTTACCTAAATAAAGAAAGGATGGATGGCTGTGTCACGCTTGCAAGGTAGCAACACGGTCCTGAAATGCCCTGCCCCGACCTTATCCGATGAGAAGGATAAGAAACGGCGTAATCTTTATTATGCGCACATGGTAACGTTTTCACGACGTACTGTAGTGGTCTCCTTTCACGCCTCACTGGGCGGGGTGTCAGTAGCGACGGTTTAGGCAGAGCGAAAAGTCAGCATTGTCCGACTGAACTGACTCGACCAGCTTTCAACCCAACCCAAGCCAACGGTGCCAACGGTGCCGACTTGGCGCGGCTGACACCTTCTCTGTAATATCCTCATCAACCCGGCTACCACGCATGTTATCATATTTTCGTCGACTCTTCAACTCATTACCATCTCGCATGAGGCTCTTCCTCTTCTAACCGACCAAGGAGTCCAGTGTATCCGGGAGGCATGCCGTCTTCTTGGGACTCATTTGTACCAGCGATGGTCCGCAGCGAGGACTATGATCCCTTCCCCGCATCCGAGAAACGATGGTACTGGCAGGGAGTCTTTTTCAAAGTCGAAGGTACAAAAGCCACAGTACTCAACGGTCTGCTCATCTCTTAGTTAGTTGGCTGATCTGTGGTATTCGGCAGATAGTCGAAGCCAATGAGGACCATTCACGCACCATGTAATGCGCCTCCCATCCGGAGAGAGATGTGGCAGCCCTGGGAGAGTCGAAAGCAAAAGCCTGGTTTGCTGCCCCTTGCGCTGTTATTAATACATACCTACTTACTGACCTTGCCGCGCCGTCCATGAACATGAACCTGTCGGTAGTAATTCGGCGTAGGCTCATGCAAGTAAGCAGGCCCCCTCTTCCGGGCTCCTTCACCTTTGGTTTATACGGCGGCCTCGCCGAGTGGTCATTTCAGAGGCGCTTCTCTTTCGCTGAACACTGTCTTTTCTCCTCACGTGGCTACATATACGAATAGGGCGGTAAGTCGGGAAATCTGCGTCGTTCTTCTGAAGCAGCCCTAGGGTGTTCAAATCGTCGAATCTCCATGAAGACTGGAGACTCAGTAGTCGGAACTCCAGAGGATATGGAGACGCAGGACTGCTACTGGGTTTGGGAGACACAGAAAACGGTTTGTATAGGCCGCGCAGCCTGAGCCCGTCAATCTACCTACAAATCAAGTCGATCAGCAAAAAAAGATGGCTATCTATCTAGGTTAAGCTCCAAGCGTTTCTCCAGATGAAACCGCTCACATTTGCCTGACCGGCCCAGCCCAGTCTTCGCGACATGACGTCCATATGCCTTTGCTCTTAAGATTTCTCCCGCCCGCCTTCTCGAGTCCCCTCCCCTATTTTTCTTCGAATGCCCCCTCCCTCTCTCTTCCTGCAAAATGATGCCCCATCGTCGTATTATCCTCCAAAGCACCACCTAGAATGGGGGGCCCAATCAAGCCTACGAGCGCTCCCATGTATTCATGACCCATCGCATTCATATAACCCTCACCCAGTTCTTCGCTTTGGCCCCAGCATATCGACCGAATGCCAGCAGGTGGCGATCTTCCATCCTCCCACCTTCCCAAGCACGCCATCAAAGCACCGAATCTCTCGGTAATGCACTCTCACTCTCACCCTCACTCTCACCCTCACCATCCCCTGACCCCCCAATTTGCTTCTCCACTTAGTTCATATGAAAGTGGAATGTATTCCCCCAAAACGCGGTTTCGTCGGTCGTCGGCTTGCTCAAGACGTTGGCCATCCAATAATGGCTCTTCGGTTTAATTTTAACCCAAGGACTAGAGGGCGTAGTGCGTACGAAGGACTTCTCGATCTGCTGGCTGCATTTGCCCGATAAAGTCGTCGAAGGATGGTATGAGTTGACGGTAGAGATTCAGCACCTTGGGAGAGAATTTGGAGTTAGCAGAGAGAAGAAGATCGGATACACGCGGGGGCGAGACAAAGGGGCAAACACACATTCTGGAAGACATCATGCAATTCCTGTTTAATGGGGTTCTGAAGGTTCAGATCCCGATACCTCGCAATGGCGACGAAAAACTGCGGGAGCGCCCTTTCAATGGCGCGTGGGTTTTGGCCCACCACCATAGTGAAGCCCTTGAAAGCGGTGGCCTTCTCCTCGGAGGACTCGACCCCTTCCATGACGTTCAGGAAGTCTTCGGCAAAGGTATTCAGCAGGGGCGCAAGCTGCTCGTGGTTGTGGAGACCCAACCGACCGAGGGCGATGGCGGCGTTTTCTGTGACGGCGTGGACGACGCCGGGGTTCGATATGATGTCGACTAGGCGCTGCAGGAGCTCAGGGACAAAGGGCCCCATCGCCTTTGTATTCTGCATGGCAATCTCGCCGGCGGACCAACAGGCGTTGTTAACGACGCTGAATCCGCTGTCCATCTCTTCGTCGAGGATGCTGTCAAAGTCCAATTGCTTCAGCAGGATGGGGAAGATGTTCGGTAGCTGCGCCTCGAGCTGCGGGAAGACGTATCTCGCGCAGTCACCCAAGAGGGCGTATGCGGACTGGCGGACGTCATCCTGCGGGTCTTCCAGACAGAAGCCGAGGAGGTCGAAGAAGGAGTTGCCCGAGCCGCTGACAAGCTCCTGAGCCTTCCGCTCCTCGATCGCCTGGAGGATGGCGCTCAACAAGTCGAGACTTGTGACGAGAAAGTCCTTGTCGGGCGATTCCAACCCGGCCCGGTTGGTTGCTTGAAGAGCCAGCTCCAGGTTCACGTGGATGATGTTGACGCAGCGGCTGAAGATGGGCTGCGCATAGGGCGAGAAGGTGTCATTCAAAGCCATGGCGACGTACGATAGACACTCTAGGAGGGGGAACAGCTCGCGGGATTGGTCGGTGACCTTTTGGTACCGATCGATGAGAGCCGGCATCAAGGTGTTGACAAAGTCGGGGCGGGCCAGGAGGGGACCGATCTGCTCCGCGAGGGTTTGTACGCAGTCGTAAAGGATGTACATGTTCCTGTCCTTGTAGCGCTGGAAGCAAAGAACAAACTGCTGCAGAATGGGGCCGACGTAAGGCTCGAGGACCTTTCCGGCCTGATCCTCCAGGTTGGCGAATGCTGAGGCCGCCGCTTCCTGAACCTTCTTGTTCTTGTCGAGCATCTTGCGTAGAATACCGTCCATCAGCGGTTCGAAGTACCTTGTTTTGGCGTTCGGGCCGTCGAGGGTGGCGGCCCAGGAAGAGTAGCGGCCGAGGGTCCAGCAGGTGATCTGCCTGACGATGGGCTCGGTGTCCTCCAGGAGGGTCAGAAGATACGGGATGAGCTCCGGCAGGTGCGGCGTGACGGCGTTAATGGCGCCCTCGGCGACGGCCCCGAGAGCCAAGACGGCAGCCTCACGGCGGGGCCAATCCTCGTGCTTGAGGTTGGTGGTGAGGTAGGGGAGAATAGCGGTGAAGACCGAGTCCTGGAAATCCCGGGAGAAGACGTCGAGGGCAGCAGCCGAGCATTTGCGGACGGTCCACCTTTCGTTGGGGTTCTCGTCCCCGTCGTCCAAGTCATCGTCAATTTCCCCTTCCTCGAAATCCTCGTCCATGTCGCCAAGCTTCTCGTAGGCGTTTCCGTTCTGGGCAGAGTCCGCCGGGCCCTCCGGACCATTCGCCGCCGATCGGGCAGCTTGTTTCTTGGCAAAGGCTGGCCTGATATCCTCTTCCCTATCCTCCTCGTCTTCATCGTCAGACGCACCCCCCAGCAGGGCGATATCCTCTCCGCCGTACACCATGCTTTCCAGGAGGACGGGGATGATCTTGTCGAGGTAGGGCGAGAGCGATTTCCACAAGTCATCATGCTCGCCAACAGCCAGCCAGAACTCGGCCGCCTCGCAGGCCAGATCCTCGTCGTCGCTCTGCTGCTGGGTGACGATGTAGTCCACAAGGCCGCCGATGTGGGGCTTCAGCTTGTCCGAGCGAGCCTCCACGAGCTGGACGAAGGCATGGCACACCTGGCGACGGACATCCGGGTGACTGTCGCTGGCAAGGACGAAGAGGTGGCTCAGCAAGAGGTCGATGTTGTTGAGCATGGCTTGGGACTTGCGCGGGATGAAGATGTTGACGGCGGTGAGTGCCTGGGCGCGAACCTTGGGCAGGGGATTCTTGGCGGCCTCGATGAGCTTGGGCAGGAGGACGTTCAGGGGCCGCTCGCCATTGACTTCACGGTCTAGGACCTTGGCATTATCCTCGCAGATCTTGGCCATGGCGGCCATGGCGCCCTCCTGGGCCTCGTTGGAGACCTGGCCGGATTCGTTGGAGAGTAAGCTCAACAGCTGCGGGAGCAGCTCAGGCCAGCTGAGGAGACCGCCCCTCCTTATGATCTCGGTTGCGATGTTTCCGGCGTAGCTTCGGATCTGAGGGTGGGTGTCCTGGATGCCCATGGGCACGGCGAGTTTGATGAGGGCCAGGCTGTTGTCGGGCAGCTCCTTATAGTTGGACCGAATGTTGTTCTTGAGCATGACGGCAGCGGCAGACCGCACGAGATGGTATTCTTCGGGCCTGCATGGCACACCGGCGGGGACACCGGAGCTCGAAAAGAGATAGGCGAGGTAGTTGTTGATGTCGGGCGACGACTTGGCTTGCGCAAGCATCTAAGGGGGGCGGGCGGGGGAGGACAGTGTCAGCTAACCCGATGTAGAGGGATGGAGGTGCAGCAAAAATATGGTTCTTCTTTTCTTTTCCCGTTACCGCAGGACGGAAAGGGGTTCTTACAGTCTCAGCCTGCTTGCGCGCTTCCTTGTCGAAGCCGCTCAGGGAGTCCTTGAGACATACTGCGAGCTGGCTCAAGGACTCTGGGGCTGGCTGCCAGGTCATGGTCTGGCGCGGGGCGATATGGAGACAACCTTAAGTGAAGCAGTGGTAATATACAAGTCGGATGTTTGTACGATGAGTACGTGTATTATTCGACCTGTTAATGGGCGAATAAAAGGAGAGCCTCAGGATAAATGTTGGCGTGGACGCCTACAAGGAGGCCGTGGTCTGGGGGCTTGTTCGATGTCTGGTTTGCGACCTTGTTGAGTAAGGTATGGTGGGGGTTCTTTGGTCTCTGCGTAATTACTTCCATTTTTTGCGGGCAATCTGAAGCGGACGTATTTGGTGGGTGTGACTGCCCGGGTCCTACCTGTCGTAGTCAGGTACCTCTGGTACCTCTGTAAGGTAATACGGGGAAATGCAATGATTCAAAATGCGGTTGGCGGGGTCCTAGCACGCGAAATTAAATTGTTAGGTAGTTAGGTAAGGTACCTTACCTTAGGGAGTACTAGAGTACGTACCAGGAGGTACCGCCATACCCGGGGGATTCTTTGGTCATGGAAATACCTAACCTAAACTTTCTTTTTCAACGGCGAAGCTATGGACATAACGTATCGTGTATATCCTCATCGTGGGTTCAATACCTTACCTTCCTTACCTCCCTTAATTTCAATTCAACAGTTGATTTTGAGAGCGCAATATGTTTATTCCATTTACCCTCCGCACAACAAATCCAAGACCGACTTTTCAACACTGAAACAGTTGCTGGGAAACGACCTTGGCTTTTAAGTATACAGATTCAAATGCAGATACAACGTACAACGTTTTGCCCTGGACAAAGGCCCTCCGCTATCTTTCTTAGAGAGGCATCGTTTCACTGCACACAGCACTCCGTATAGCGCATTCGTTGACATCAAGATGGCTCAGGGCATCGTCTGGCCCCCATCGCTCCCGCAACAGCCACCCTTCCCCTACGTCCTTCTCATCCGTCTTCGTGTTCCGCAAGGGGGGGCCGCACGAGGTGCCAAGTTGTGCGACAGGAAAGCCGGCTTCTCAGCCATTAAGCGTGTATTATATGATATTATATGTACGGTACCATCAATCCATCAATTCCATCAATTAGTACCATATCAACGAGGGCACTGGTCATGAACACCCGACCAGGCGACCAACTGGAGCTGCGAAGCGCAACGCCTGTCCGTGTGAAGAGATTACCTAGGGTTGACCACCTGGCGTGTCAGGACGAGTGTCCTAATTACGCCCCATCCCCGCCTCATCTGCCTGTTCCCACGTTCCCATACTCCTATCAGGGAGACTTATGCGGTGGCTGACGGCAAACGGCATTGCGTCTTCCCTTTCCACAACCGCTGTCACTTCGTAGATGGCGTAACCAGCCCTTCCCGGCCCATGGCTCTGTCACCATACCACCCTTTCACCCCTCTTCTCCGGGTGCTGTCGCTCTCTTTCCCTGACTGACGTGGATTTGCTTGAAGGATTCTCTCTCCCCGTGCAATGTTGCGCTCGTGGGAGGCAGATCTCCAGGTGGACCTGATGTACCGAGGCTTATTCTTGGTCGACTGGCAAAATGTTTGGTGAACAGCCTTGCTATTTCGTATCCCGTGCCTGTTTGGCAGAGTTTGGGTCTGTATTGTCAGAGCAACTGCCATGTCCAGTCTTGGCGTCGCACCAAAGCCGGCACCGTCAGATCATTAATTAACAACAGTTTCTCCATCCAGACATATCCTGACTACCAGGCACTTGCCGTGTGTGAGAGGAGGAGGATTTCGCGGCGGGAGATATGAGTAAGAAAAGAAAAAAAGAAAAGATTTTTTCTTTCTTTTTTTGAAGCTCCAGATCCGGGACTTCTCCCCCTTACGCCCCGTTAATCAGGGGCAGGTCTCTCTTGACATGCTTTAGCCTGTCGCTGACTACGCCGACCACCCGTTGGAAGACGTCCATTTCCTCCTCGACGGTGCCGCCCTCGGGGCAGTTGGCGAAGGAGGCACTGTTTCCGACGTAGACAGGCATACCAGAGCGCCGGGCGAGGAGCTTGGCTATGCGCGTGGTGAACTCGAGCGTCGGCTCATGAGAGTACAGAGTGGTGGAGATGGGCTGGGCAGGGTTGAAGCGCTGTGGATTCGCACAGAGATGCATTAAGAACAACAAGGCCTGGCTTCGTGCGGAATGGGGCATGATAAACAGGTACTTACGTCCGGTACGGCGTATATGAATGAGCCCATGGTTGGTGGCATGGTCGGCTCGTCTTCGCTTCCGGTTGTCAGGAAGAGCGTGATGGATTTGGTTCTGATGGTGAGGTGGATGTAGATGCGCGTGTCGAGAGACCGAGGAAGGGGCATGGAGACTTGGAGAGGTTCATTCTCGATGATCTCCATGTTGGACATCTCGTACGATTAATACGCAGCTCCAATATGTGGAAAGTTACCTGTCGGAGCTTTGCCTATGAGGTTTATGGCTATGGTGTGCTCAATGTGATGCTCAGACGCTGCTCATGAAGATTGATTGATATGTATACAGAGGTAGTCTTTGGGGGGGGGGAGGGGGGGGGAAGGGGGGCAGGCACAATGTCAATCTGTTTCGAGGCACTGTGTCGACACGGTACGCACACATACTCCGGAGTACGGATAACATAAGTACATGGTTAATCACTAAGCATCAATCTATGAATCGTTCAGGTACCTTCATTGCCTGGCACAGATGTCGCGATAGCTGGGTGCAGACCACTACCTAAGGTATATAACTACCTTACTAAAAGTACCTACACTAGAAGGGATTTCCCTTTTGGTGTAGTGGTCACTTTTGAATCTTCATAACAGACCATAGGATCTCGTATCCGTCGTAACCAGATGCTAGAATCAGGATCTAACGAGGGTTTAAAATTCTCTAACGAGTTTTTGAAATTCTCCTGCAGTGGCGAGTCCAATTGCCAGAGAGTGTCTATCGCTTCTAGAGATACAGATAAAGTTACAATCTAATAAAACAAGCTTCCAGTGGCAGAAGCGTGGAACAGGATCATGTCGAGCACTCAGGCCGCTCCGCTCCGTACTTCCATGTCTAGGGAATCATCTGCGCCCTTGCTAGCAGGCGACTCCTCCGGGGGGCTCTGGTCGAATTCCTGGCGTGCCATTCTGCGAGTGAAAACGGTAAGGAAACCTCCACCACCCACAATGTTCCCTACTTTGGGCCGGCAAACCATGCCCTTCTTCGACTTCTCGACCTCTGCCGACCCAGCTTGCTCATCTCCCGGCCCTGCCCCCCCTGCCCCCCCTTCACCGCCGCCGCCGTCATCATCCTCTCCAGCCCCGCTGCTCTTGCGAGCATACTTCCGCGGCATCACGCTACGGATATCCCACTCCCGTCCTCCCACGCTGTCGTGGAACCCTTCCGCCCAGGTCGACTCCGGCAGCTCGATCACGCGGTCCATGTACACCGGCTGGGTCGACTCCTCGGCCCACACGACCGCCTCGATGGCCTGCGTGATCGAAGGGGTAAACACGATCAGCTTCCCGTCCGGCCGCAGGGCCCGGATCGCCAGGTCCGCGTGCTCGGTCGCCGAGGGCAGGTCGAGGATGGCGTGCGCCAGGAACGGCTCGCCCCCGCTCTGGGCAAGGCGGGGCGCCAGGTACGACCGGATCGTGCTGACGTGGAAGTCGATGTCGAGCAGGTACTGGGCGCGGCGGAAATTCCGGATCACGCCGTGCGCCTGGCGGCTCGTGGACGGGTTGATGTCGAGGGTCTGGATGATGGCGCGGCGGCCGGCGAGGTGCGTCTCGAGCTGGGATTGGAGGTCTGGCGAAGGGAGGTCCAGCCCGTGCGGCATTGATCCCAGGTCCGGGGACGCGTCGGTGGCCGTTTCTCGAAGTAACCGGCCTTTGGCGTAGGGTGCGGCACAGAGTGCTTCCCGCAGCTCCGGGGGGACCGCTGGGTTGGCGCCGTGGATGGCCCTTGCCAAGTGGAGTGTGAGGCACCCCATGCCCGTACCGGCCTCGAATATCTCGACGGGAGGTCCCGCATCGGCCACGGGATCTTCCCCGGGGACGGGGAGATTCAGGTCTAGCATAGACACGATTAGGGTCGCATCTTGCGGGTAGATCTACACCGTCTTTTGGTCAGACAAACCCGATGCTGGTGAGGCGCGTTCGTCTGCAAGCCCCCCAAATATCTGCCTTGCACGATTTTTTTTTTCTTTCTTTCTTCTTTTAACAGGAAAGTCGTACCGGTGTCGCGACGCGTGGACTGTTCGTCACGTATTGGGCGAGTGACAGCTCGTGGAGTCGTACGTTCTTGCCTTTGCTGTCGGTCACGGAGTTGGGTAGACTCTTCCCAATGATATCTGACCCCTGCACTGTCGCCCCGTAGCCAATTTTGATCGTAGATTCCGGATGTATGGGAGGAGAGATGCTACGTCTCGAGAACCTCTTCGGCCCTTTTTGGCGCAAGAGGATCACATCGTGCTCTGGGTGGTTCAGTTCAGTGTGAGCAAGGAAGACACGAGGCCCAGGTCAGAGGTCAGAAGAAACACACCTTGCACGACATTAGAAGAGTACCGTGCTTGAAGAAGCGGTCCTGAGACAGCACTTTCGACGACTTTGCTCCTTTGGCAGACTCTGGAAAGCATTATCGATGTATTCGTACACGAAGAAAACGAAAACCAACTGTCGAAAACTGAAACTCGCACAGTAACAAGCCATAAGAACACTACCAGGGTACCTGGGTCCCGTACCGTATATGCACTGTGTCGGCGGTTTGTCACGGCATAAGCAGGTCATCGGGAAAAGGGCCTAATGTACAAAGTACACTATTTGCACTTGATTAATAAGGTAAGGTAAGCAGGGTACTTTCATCACTCCATTCTTCGTAGATCTCCGTAGATTTACATCGAGTACAGAGTACTCAAGAAGAAAAGCTATTATTGGATTCAGATTCCTCCCAAACAGACTGTTCCAACCAATCGCAAAGTCCATAACTCGCTACTCAATGCGGGCTACCGACAGAGAGACGGGGGTTTACGAACTCTTGATGACTCTAGGAAGGCAGACGATCTCTCTGTTGTGTGCTTTCGAGCCACCTATTCACCCATTGTCTGAACCTCTCACTGAGGGAAGTTTGGCTTAACTTCACATGGGATCTCTTCTGGGCGCACCGAGGAGGGGGCGAGAGACAGAGAGAGAAGGTCAGATAATTGCGGTATTGGGAAGAAGCGTAATATAGGACATTAGAGCTATGTAGGTATTGAGAGGATGGAAGGGTATCTCTGGCCATGTCATGCCATGCTGTATCATTGCGTCGCGTGACGCATTCAGTCGTAAAGAAAAGATCAAGAAAAAAAAGATCAAGAAAAAAAAGAAGAAGAAAAAGAAGAAGAAAAAAGGGCATCGCTCGCTCTCATACATGCAGTCGTTTGCCATGCTTGCACCCCCGAACCCGAACATCTATCCGTGGTCCCCGTCCCTAATGTGGCTCGTCGGTCTCATGCATCGAAGAATATCCTCTTCCATAAAACCGCTCGGGTCCACGCTCAGCTCGTCCCTCTGGAACATGTACCATCGCCTGCCAGCAGAGCCGGACGAAAGAGCCGAGAAGAAGAAAGGAAGAGGTGCGACAGTCCAGCCACGCGTCCATCATCCATCAAAGTATTAGAAGTCATCCTGACCGTTTTTTTCTGAGTCGCCAATATAATGCTGTCATAACTCGGAAATGCAGGGTGATCAAGAAAGGAAGAAGGAAAGAAAAGAGGAAAGAAAAAAAAAAGGCCAGCCAGCGGCAAACCAGGATGGAGTTGCCCGGACAATCCTGAAACCGAGTGGTGTTGTAGCGTCGCGGACCAGTGCCCTTCGCTTTGCGATAATATGTGACAGGGAGAGGAGAAGGGAAAAGTTCGAAGAAGAAAAAAAAAACCCCGAGGGCGGGCGTCAAGCGCGCCTTGAAAAGCATCTGGTCAGCGAAGCCGTCCCGTCCTGATTGCGACAGATATTTGCCGTCGCCAGCTGCAAATCTAAATGCTCGCCACACGCGTCCTCTCGGGGATACGAGCATGGCACACCGTTAGCTTCAAGCTCGTCCCCCATTCCTCGCACTCGGCCAGCAGGGCCCGGTCGTTCCATATGCTCTTCTTCTTGCCGTTGCCAGTGGTTCCGCTACCAGCAGCGCTCTCGTAACAACGGCTGTACCACCAGCGACCCACTTTGGCCACCATCTTGGTGATGTTCTCGTCGGCCGCTTCGCTGTTGTCGTTCATCATATCGGCCAAGCTACGTTGGTCCTTCGTTTTCTCTGCGCCGCCGGCCGCCGGTTTCGCGCCTTCCGCCTGGGCCTTGGGGACAATGCTCGCTACGGGAACGCCGACGCGGCAAGTCTTGATATCCGTGAAGCCCTTCTTCCCGAGAAGACGCAGGATGAGATCAGATGCGGAACCAAGGGCGGTCTCGGGCGACTTCTCATGGATACGTTCTTTGAGCCGACGCACAGTCCGGCGACCCCGGTTGGCCATGTTGTTTAGGTCGACGTCGAGAACGGAAAGCTCGATGTAACCGCCGGGCCTGAGGACCCGTCGAGCTTCGGTCACGACGTTGCGGTAGTGAGATTCGGGGGCCGCAGTCGGGAAACGGTACACCACCGAGGTGAAGCTTTCGGGTCCGAAGGGGAATTTCTCAAGATGGGAGGTATATTGGATCTGGTGGTGGTTGGGCGGACTGAGAGGGAAGTTGGTCGAAGTCCGGTGCTCAGGTGACAGTGGTGCCCGGGGGGACATGTTGAAAAAGCTGGCGGCGGGGTACGTTTCTGCCGCGTAGAAGGACCAGTCGTCGTTGCCAAGCCCGTCAATGACTAGGATAGACTGCCTCTTGAGCGACCCGACGTCGGGTCCAAGGTCGTCCTTGGTAGGGCTGAAGAGCACATGGCCGAAGGAGAGCCATTTGCTGACTGTCATGGACCCAACGCGGAGATTGACCTGCGCAAGAGCAGTATCGTCTTCGGATGATCGACAGCTGCTGCTGTCCGACTTTTGCGAAACGCGAGATGCCTGACTGTTCCTCCGCTGGGATTGGGATGGGCTCGAGGGCTTTCGATCGAGATGCTCACTGGGTTTGTCTTTCAATGCAGGCTCCGAGGTGGCAGAAGGTTCCCATGGTGTATCCTCGAACTTGGGCGCGAACGCGGCCTTGATGCGCTCCGTCATGTCAGCGCTGAAGGTGCTGGACTCGGTGGCAGTGTTCCTCTTTTCGTCTTCTTGGGTGGTCCGAAAGCTTGCAGCTGGTGATTGCACGATGGTGGGAGATTCGAGGAGTTGTGTGTTCTTTTTGGGCATAGTTCTTTCGTAACTCTCGAGGTGGAACGGTATTCCCCTCGAAGACGCCGTAGACAGAGCAGTAGGCAGAGGTGTATCCCCGATCAAGTCGTTATACTCGTCCCATATCTCGTCCTCAACAAGCGGGCCCATGTCATCCGGGATAACGACGATGGTGTTGGCGATGGGCGGGATATCGGAGCATCCAGACGATGAGCTCGTCCCGTCGAAGCTGTGGTTCGGGGAGAAGGCGAGAAATTCTTCGCGCGTCTTGAGCATTGCACCCTGGGCCGCCGTGGATGATGTCGTCTGGGTGAGCTCGGGCGCAGAGGGGCAGGGCGGGCTTGGACCTGTTGCGATGGACTTGGGGTCTGCGACCGTGAGACAAAGTGGCCTCTGTTCGCTAACTCGATTGAACGGCCGGGAGAAGCTTCGCGACGAAGCAGATTCCGTCCTGGTGTTGACAACCTTGGGTATCCTTCCGACCTGAGGGAGCCGGCTCGGCTTGCCCGTGGCGCGAATGACAGAATCATCCGGTGGGCATCTCCCAGGGACAGTCTCTTCGGGTGGTGGTCGCTTTCCATTAGCTTCTCCCTGCCATTGCCTTTCCTGAGAGGACAGGTCTCGATCTCGACCGCTTGCATCCAGCCCAGAGAGAAACGAAGTAGTAGTATGGAGACGCCTGGGATCAAGAGCCGGCGGTTCTGGGACGGCAAATGGCGCACCCAAGGCATACGTGTCTCGCAGGACATCATCCACGGTTAGCGTTTCGTTTTCTTCCTGTTCAGAGCCGTCGAGCATAGCGTAAAACGGCACGGACACAGGCTTTTGCTGAACAACCTTCACCGTTGCCGCCACGGGCTCGGGATCGTTCTTCTTGGGAGCATGCTTTGTGCGGCTGAAAGGATTCCACTTCCGGGGTGATCGCTCCCTCTTCGTCAACTTTTTGGGGGGTATTACTGCCGGACGGCCACGGATAGCCTCCTTCGCAAACTCCAGATGGGAATCGTCGGAGAACACGCTAGTAGTGTCGATACTGGTGACCGACGGAGATGTGATTCCAGAGGTGTTGATGGGCCTAGGCAATCGCATAGGAGCTTGATCGGGAGATGTTCTCAACCTCTGGACCGACCTTCTGAAAGCTAACGTTGACTTCATCACTAGGGCATCCGAATCGCTGCTATCGGATGGCCTGCGTTGATCCACGGCGGACTTCAGTCCTCGCTGAAAAGCTGGCCTCCTCGTGGCGGCGGGCCTGCTGGGACTTGAAGTGGTCGACATCTCGGAGTCTCTGGATTCCATGCTTGGACGACTCAATAGTGAGCTCTGGTTACTTTCGATTCGCGTAAGGCTAGAGCTCGCATTCCTGTTATCGACGATCTCGCCCCCGGAGATGACAACGGGATTGATGCGCTCCAGGAGAAAGGCGTCCATGGGTTGGTTGCCGCCGAGGCTGTCCTGTGACGGCCCTGGACCGCTATGCCCGTGATTCGCAGCGAGGGAAACTCCGCTCCTTCTCCTAATTGCCCCAAGTCGTCCGTACCCCTCATGGCCTGTGCCGGCAGCTGGCCCCTTCCGCGGGGGTCTATCTTTCTTCTCTGCTTGAGACGCGGCGCGGTCAGTCTTGCCCCGTCGTCCAAAGAAAGGAAACCGGCTGTTGAACGTGGATGTTTTCGGGCTCCGATTAGGGGTTGAGCAACCACTATCCGCTTGACTTGTAATGTTGGGCACCTCGGGGTGTGAAACGGGCGTTGGCTCCCTCGTCATCGGGATACGAGAGGCGCCCTTCTCTCCTTGGTCGTGGGATGATGGGCAAGACGAGGCTCCTTGTGATCCGGAGTCTACGGGCCGAGCCTCATTGCCGTGGCCATCGCTCGCCAACGAGATGGAAGAAAGGTTGCTATGGATAATCGGCGGAGGACCGTACAGCTGAGACTGTAGGTTCGAGACTCCATCCCTGCTGGGACGGACGGGAGGCGCTCCTCTCGTCGTGCGACCAGAGCCGGGGCTTTTCCTGTGAGATAGAGGGAGCTTGGAGGAGGGTGGGGAGTTGATGGATGGTTGAGCAGACTCAAGAGACACACCGGGGCTTTCCTGGCCTCGTTCTTTCGCACATTGCTGGGATGACTTGCGCGGTGGAGGGGTAGGCGGTTTCTGAATCGCTTTCTTCTGTCTGGCCTCCTTGCCTGTTCTGTTCCCATCCCGAACAGTCGCATTAGAAGACGACGAGGTCAACGATTCGCGAACGGCCGGCAGGACTTCGAGATCCGCGGATATGGAATCCACCTCATTCGTGATGCTACCAGTTCTTCTTCGCGCGACGGGTAACCTGGTGAAAACTGGACTGAGTTGTCTCGGCTTGTTCTGAGGGGCGAAGCGCATGGGGGCGACCATGCCCGGTGATTGTGACAACATGGAAGTCGGAGTTGTGTCACGACTATATGGACCCGGGCCGGGAGACTCCGAAAATCTCGTCGAAGGGCTGGCGCTGAAGGCGCTCAGCTGACTACTCGTTCCTGAGTAGGCTGGAGTCGGGGGCGGAAGATCTTGGGTGGCCAGTTTGTGAAGGAGTTCAATGCTCGGGCCCTCTGATGACGGGCCAAGCCGAGGTACTACGTCTCTGTAACGGTCAAGTTCGGGATAGATGGTGACTGTATGTGCTTGGGTCTTCGGTAGCTCGACGGTGTGTGCGACTCGGATTTCCGTTGGGCTTTCAGTGAGCCCGCGATCCAACTCCAGGCTAGGTGAGGGCTCAAGCGAGGCCTGGGGCGGAGGGAGGGAAGAGGCGGAACGTGTTCCCGAGGAGTCGGTGCGAGACGGGTTGCGCGAGCCGGCGGGATTCCGAACGATCGAGGATTGCTTCCTCCGTAACACGTTCCGAGGCGCGCTGGGGGCTTCATCCTGCACACTTTTAGACGTCGACAGTCCGGCGGCGGTTGGTGTGGACGCTGTCCTCTGGGAACCCCGTGCTTGGGCTTGGTAAGCTGGGGCTGGCCGCCCCCCGGACGGAGTCGGGATCGAAAGACGGCGGGATGTGACACTCGGCCTGCTAAGACTTGGTATCTTGGAGTGATTTTGCGGGTGCTGCTCCTGAGTGGGATCTCCTCCATTTTTCTGTGCGCCTGACGGAGAGGTTCCCGCTTTGCTGAACATGGAGCCGTTTGGCCGTACTCTCGCGAAGTCGTTCGGCCTCCTCGGCAGCCCCTGACCAGATCTGATGGACGCCATGGTGTGCTGGGAATAGAGGCCAGGAGAAGACAAGGGCGAGGTTGTTCGAGCATAGTCCGCTTTGTCTCAGGAGTCCATGTTCGTCCCCTGGACGCGAGACGAGGAGATGACTAGGTATGGCTAGCAAGAACTAAGGCGGGATGGTGACCGGAACGCAAGCGTCGGCAAGGGGGTGTAGAAGGTTGTTGTGGTGCGCGGCCAGCGGCTAGTGACTCTCCCAAGCGAGAATTGAAGGTTGGAAATAAAAAGCAACACGGTCTTCACAGTGTAAACAGGCGCCCGGGATATATGGTTGGGTAGCGTCCCGTGGTGGACTGTGCAGAGGCCGCAGAGAAGGGCAGCACGGCTGCTGTGTGGCTAGTAAGTGAACCGATTCTTCCGTGTGCAGTGGAAGGTGCAATAGTGGCATGGAATGGAGTCTATGGATCAAGGGTCTCTCGCCCTCTGGCGTTTCTCGACTCTAAGAACCCAACTGAACAGAAGGCAATCACGAAAAGAAAAGAAGAAGAAAAAACCCGAAAAAAGAAGAGAAAAGGAAGAAGGGGGAAACATCAAGAGATACGGGTGTCTGAGGAGAGAGCGACGAGGACCGATAAGAGAGCAGCACTAATATTTAGACGATTCCGCGTCGTCTCGTTGCAAGTTGCCTCCGGAATCTAAATGGACGAGAGTCGGTAGAGACTTACAAGGGGGTGAGCAAAGAAATGGGGAGCCTGGTAGGGGGGTAAGGTAAGGTATGTTAGGTATTCTTTTGCGGCGCGTGGCGTATGTATGTGCAGTAGAGGACTCGACATTATGGGTCATAGGGTAAGGTACCTTAGGGTAGGCTCAAGCATTTCCCGTGGAGTGGGAATGCCGGCTACGGGCTTGGGGATTGGGTGAAGAAATAATGACAGGGTCCAGTAAATCGGACGGGCTGTGTTGTGTTCTGCTAGCGAGTTGGCTCATCCAGGGGAGGAAATGTGACCGAGTGCGAAGAACGGAACAAATTGTATGTATGCACGCCCATGCATGCCATTATGGTACGGAGTACGGATCGAGCTGGCGGAATGAGGCGGGAGGGTTGGAAAAGGAGGGGTGGGAAGAAAAAAAAGAAAAGAAAAAGAAGAAAAAAAAAACAATCAAAAGGCCACGCCTGGCCGGCCGGGTCGTCGTCTAAACAGGCGACTGACGGGGTGGATAGAGAAAGCATACCGCTCGCTAGCATCTCTGGTGATCGGAGGGACCGAGTGCTCCCTGCTCCACCGACGAGGGCGTACATGTCCTGTTTGACTGGGTTCCACGGGCTTGGCTGCATCCAGCGAAAAGAAAGCTCGATATGCCGGCCTGCGCAGTTGTACGAGCTGTACGGATACGATACAGCAACTGGCGACATGGAAGTACAACGTAAAGAACTTACAACGTACGTTGTACGCACAGCTGCGCCGCCATGCATGCATGCATGCATGCTAACAACCGTGGAGCTGCTCTTGGAATTCTTGTCCCTGGAAGCTGCATCTGAGAGCTGCATTCAGGGTCATCCTATGGGAGTTCAAGACTGCCTTCTGGATCATGCCATTGGATAGCAACCCCTGGTTCAGATTAGTTGCTAAACAAATTTTCTGGGGAGACGAGACGTTACGAGACATCGACCACTATGAGAGGCCGATGAGGCTGTGGCGGGCGATTCCGAGCGTCTGTCTTTCCTAATACGAAAAGACAAAAAGAAACCGCTTGTTAGGGAGGATATTTTGAATAGAGTTGGTAGAACAGGATAAGAGAGGATGAGCGATTGGACAACGAAGAGGGCATTTGGGGAAACAGAAGCAAGATTTTCGCGACCCGTAAAGGCGAGAAGAGGGGAGGTTGGATCATGGAGGAAGATCCGAGATGGGAGCCTGGTATAGGAAAAGAGGAGCCCGGCCATCAAGTGCTCCGTGCTTTGTGGTGGGGGGTAGAAGGTGAGAAGGTGAGAAGGTCGAGGGAGGGGAGAAGTCGGCGACCCCAAAAACACCGAGTATCAAGCACGAAATGCTTCGTAGAAAATTGAGGCCAGTTATTAGGTATGGTAGTCTCGATGATAAAAACGGTTAGACGGTTCAAAAAGCAGCCTATTCGCACCTACTTCACCGATCTAATTTGCATGATAACCCTTTCCGATACTGCGCCTTCAGTCCCTCGGCACTGATATATAGTTACAAGTAACCGATAAACACGAAAAAGAAACCAAACAAAAAAACCCCTTTACATTGCAACGTCTGCAATATTCGTACGGATGCAGTAGGTAATAATATTATTACTCCGCAGGTCTTATCTTTACTTGATCCTCACTGCATGTCTGACTTTACCATCTCCGAGTGGCCATGTTTCTTGATGTCTCGGCTCCGTCCCACCCTACTCGCCGCCCCCCCTCCTTTTTCTTTTCTTCTTTTGTTGCCGAACATCAAATAGGAAGAGGTAATGATCGCCGCATTCGTCCATTGGCCTAGGCGAGCAGGTAGAGCTATCGTATGGTCGCCGTTGCCCCTCAAAGTTGACAGTGTCACCCCCTAAATGCATTGCTATCAACCCTTGAGAGAAAATCTTGGACAGATGAAAGGCCGCAAGAATAAGGTAGGCACCACATAAGGTACTTTGTGGTTATGACTCTACGAAGTACAGTCGCGGGACGTTAAGTACCTAGGTCGTCTATCCGGGAGCCTCCTGTTACCTTAGTTTCTTTAAACTTGAAAGAGGCCCGCGCCCGCCCGCTTCCCCACACACACACAGACACACACAGCCCCACCCACGCAAAATGCCAGGGCTCGTTGAGCTCTTAATAAACCAACCAAGGCGGATAACTATAACAGACAGGCCACAAAAGGATTGCTGCCAAGTACTCTGCAACTTTGGTTGGAAGAGGGTGGGAAGTCGCCATTACACTACACGTGTAGAAGAGGGGAGATGGACCGATGGTCCCAGGGCCGAGCGCTTATTGCCCGCAGGCAGGCGGGTCAAACAACATTGTGATTTATTCGTACGTTGTAGTGGAAGTCTGAAAGTTGAGGTCGGGGTGGGCGTCCCTTGCGTCAACGATTGGTCAAACCCCGACGAATATTATCCAATGATAAAAAGCCCTTCTTCAAGTGCCCACCTCGCTGCATGTCTTTCCTTAGCCGCACCTCTGCAGGAATATCTCAGCGCCAATCCATCGTCATCCTCTCCTCGTTGCTGGAGAAGGGTGTGGATTCCATCTTTCCTACGCTCGACTGCAGTTGGTTTTCTGTCCCATCTCAGTTTCGGGCGGCGGCTATTCTTCCATGGGTCTTGGGGTAAAGGAAGGGCCCCAAAAGGGGTGAGGGACTGGGGGACTGAGGGACCCCGATTGTACATGTTCTACGTAGAACTAGAAGATGGCACATTGGCATGCCAAAAGCAAGGCATTCGATTCGGTCTTCTGAGCACATCACATGAGCGACCAGTTATCAGGTTAAGTAAGATATGGTACCTAACACCCCAGCCATGGTACGGATTATCCACAGCCGTTTTGTTTCAGTACGGGCTTTCGCTGCCATATAGGCACTGTCGTCGTGCTTGACGAACGAGGTGCCTTCACCCGACGATTGGCAAAGAACTGCATGTCAGCAAGAGGAGGAGAGAATTGACCCCATGGGCAGCTGAAGTATGCATGTCGGCGGTGGCAACCTACATCGAGTCGGCGATCCCATGTCGATTTTTGATATCATGAACTCAGTCAGCCACACATCTACTTCATGCGGGCCTACTGTCGTACAAATATTCCTGGGGGGCGGTTTTTATTTTTATTTTTATTTTATTTTAGTTGTTGTCACAATCAACATCGGCCATGTTGGATGGAAATACGATCGGACAAGACATGCATCCTCTGGAACGAAATTCCGTTGGCTGCAAGTTCACCGACGGCAGTGGTGGGTGGGAGGGAGCCTATGCGCGAGACTGACGCGAGACTGACGGGGCTTAACGCAGCCTTAACGCAAAGCAGCTCGGTACCAAAGTTCGGCGTATGTACGTACCTGAGGGTGCGAAATACATGCACTTCGCCACATGTCAACGATCAAGTACTCGACCCCTGTCTCTTGAGGCTGGTGACGTGGCTCACCGCCCAACATGGAACATCTCAAATTCGTACAACGTGCCTCACTTCGTGCAAACGCTCGTTGGGTTGGTTCTTTTGGCCCGCCGTTGAATCTGCTCGAAAGGCCAAATAAATACTGACCTGGCCTGCGCTCAGCCACCTTAACTGAGCGGCGTGCATCAGATAATAGTACCTACCATCTGCGACCTCCTTACTTCCCAGTCTATCATTTTCCCCCTCCTCTCCGTCAGCACCAACGCCCGAAAGATATCGCGATGGATGGATATTGGATGGCCATCTCGTCCATTTGTCACTCCCCAGGCAATATTTGACGCCTGCCTGTCTTGCCGCGACCGCAATACATAGCCTGGCGGCGATATCTCACCCCCTTCTATTGGCTCGACTCGAGCCTCACGGAGGGAGACATTGCCTTGAGCTGCCTATTGTAGCTCCTCGCAGGTAACGTGATGAGCTGCGGGTGCGAGGCGAACCACACCACGAGTTTCGAAGAGGGTGTGCGAGTTCTAGTTTCACATTCTCACACGCTCCTATCAATGTCTTACTTGTTTTTTTTTTCTTTCGCTCCTGTCCCTCGCTCACCCTATACATAGATGCTTAACCTCTCCCTTGGGAATGTTGCTAGTGCTTGGGCCCGAAAGCTTGGGTCCAAAAGACGGACCCAAGGCATCTAACCCTGGAGGCCCGTTCAAGCGACGGGCGGAAGCGCCTTCACGTATTCTTGACTCGTGCGGCCTTCCTCTTCCTCGCGTATGCATTCTTGTCCGCTGTGCGTTTGGCCTTGCCCGACGAGAGTGGGGGTGGATGGCTTGCTAGTAATGCTGCGGCAAGCCATCGTCTTGTCAATTCAGTCGCCACCGGAGGCGCAGACGGTGAGTTGCAAGTACGCGCTGGCCTAACGGTCGTTGGTTATCTCCCAGGTGCCTGGGAGTATCGCTCAACTGTACGGAGAGAAACTAGGAAATGCTCAGTCGAAGCTCAATGTCAACGTTCTTTACTTTCTTTCAAAAAACCTATCGTAGTATCAGAACAATCATTCATAGCTTGTAACGCCGTAGTCAATCGAGTGTTCTCCGCCACATGAACCTCATACTAGTCTCGGACCGAGAATCTTTTGATGCCTTGGACCAAACCCACGGAATATTTGGAGAAGGCGGCCCAGTCCGGTGAGTACTGCAGGCATTCGTCGTAGGCCGGCATCGTACCAGGCAAATTGGCATCGCTCCACTGGCATTCCACTTTGCCTCCGAAAACAGATCGCCTCCTGAGCTCTGTGCCATGATCATCTTCCGCCGGCTCAACAGGCTCAACATCAATGCCACCACCTCTCTCTCCTGACTGGGTGGCATCATCCTTCCACTCAACGTCCACAATCCACGGCCCTGACCAGCTTCTACGGAAGAGCTGGAGCACGCTCACGCCCTCCTCAGGGTATTGCCCAAAGCGGCTATCTAGGCCAGCCCCGCCTCGAATGTTGAACATAGACACAGGTTGGTCGAACGAGACTTTGCATGCTTTCGACTCCTGCGCGTCGATCTTGAGGGTAGCCTTGTTCAGTCGTCCACGATGCGATCTGGTGATGTTCACAGATACCAAGCCGTCGTACCGGTCCTCGGAAGTGGACCGGCCTTCTCTGAGGTGCTCGGTGAGGTTGGGCGGGACAGAGGAACCATCGTATCTGCAGTTCCTGAGTCCGGATCTCCCAGGAGAGTCCTCGCAAATGACTGGCTTGCCAGCAGCAGAAGGCAGCTCCTTCATAATCATGCGCACGTATTTCTCGATGCCGGTGATTTGCACTGTCGTCGTCCCGTTATCCAAGAAGATGTCCTGCTGAAAGTAGACCTTATATCGGTTGTTCGCAGAAAAGGGAAAGGCAACAAGGTTATAGATCAGAGTGCCCAGGAACACGGCGAAGAGGACGGTGGGGATGTGGAAAGTTACCCTGTGCAGGAATGGGGACAGAGGTAACAGAACGAAGACGGAAAATATGGCGATTGCCAGGTAGCTGAAGAGGGCATCGCCTCCATCTGCCCCAGAAGCCTGGGTGGACGAAGACAGGACAAGACCTATCTGGCCAAAAAGGAGGATGGTGATCGGTGCCAGAATTAACAGCTGAAGGAACCATGTCCAGGTCGGCAACCGGCCAGACCAAGGCTGTTCTCTTTCGAAAGGCTTGTGGCGTCCCTCATCGTCATTGCTTGCGACTGAGACTGCGGAGATGGAACGCCTGTAAGCTTGTCCAAATGTTGTCCTTGACGTTTGGTCAGGCCTGGACTCTGCGCTCCTCAGGGGTGTCCTCTCGGTAGGTTCTGGTTCCTCTTCGTCAGATTCCTCGTGGGAAGAGTAAGTATGTTCCATTTCACCGGGCGTCGGGGCGATGAGGACGTCTGTGTGGGAGCCCTCACTGACGCCATCATCATCATCAGCTTGGCGATCGTCGTCGTGCAAGCTCCGAGCAAATTCCTGCTTCGACGGTAGGGCGAACAGTTCGAGCAGGGTGATCAAGGTGGACAGGAACAATGCAGAATTGAGGAAAACAATGGGATAGCCGGACGCAATTCGGAATCGATCCGCAAAAACCGCGACGGCGACTAGCATAGCCCAGCCAAGGGTGAAGAGCCAGATATGGACGAAACCCCGCTGCAGGGCGCTTGGCCTTACCGCGCTGGAGCCTTTCACCACCGTCCAGAGGGCGATATAGAACAACGAGAGCATCATGCCCCATCTAGTAAAAATCGTCAGCTGTGCCCAAAAGAGAAGAAGAAAAACATCCCCCCCCCCCCAAAAAAAAGCTTACACGGCATATTCGCTGCTGTAGATAATCATGGGATTGACCTTCCTGATCAAGAATCCAGATGCTAGCGTGAGACCCGTGGACACGACTAGGGCTAATGGAAACCTCAGGAAGCCCTTGAAGCCGCCGAGCGTAACAGGTTCATCTGGATCCCGATCTTGGGTGTTGACCTTCCTGGCGAAGAAATAATACTTGTCATTCTTAGCCAAAATAAAGGTGACCAGGACGAGAACGAGAGGCGACACGATGAGCAGGGTCAGAGACCAGGCGAATAGTCCCCTGAGGGCGAAAACAGCGAATCCCTTGCCAAAAACGTCAAACCAAACACCTTTGCTCGGGGTTCCGCTGGGGACTTTGTGTAGATCGCCGTCTGGACGAGGTCCCGAAAAGGTGCCGCTGGTATCGTGCGAAAGAGATTCCACAGCTGCGAGGGAGCCCGAGAGCATATGCCACAGACTGGCACGAGAGGCGTGGCGTGTATCGTCCTGGTTGGTGTGATACCTAGCGCGCGGCCTGTAGAATGCAATGTCGAGTCCACGCTGGCCGTAGACACCTTCCCAAACAACGTAGTCGGTCTGACTCCGGATAAGTCCAAGAGAGAACCCATCCGAAGCAATGACGTCGCCGAAGGGGTGACGGGCCTTGCGATACGACTGCGTCACTTCCTTGTCCGTGGCCCGGAAGAGCATGGCACGGCCCCCGGCGCCAGCGCCTTCCAAGTTCACAAAGGTCGTAGGGAAGGTCAGGAGGGGGCTGCAGGCAAAGGCCTTGGCTCCCAAAAGACCATCCTCCTCGGCGTTGTTGAAGAGAAACACAATGCCACGCTTCGGCTGTTGTCCAGGCGTGGTGAAGTAACTCAGCATCTGAAGTAAGCTCACACACCCCATACCATCATCGGTTGCCCCGTATCCAGACGCGACCCTGTTCATGAGTTGTCAGCCCCCTCGTCAGGTTTGGGTTTTTGCAGTTGCAAAGGAAGGTGAGACCGTACGAGTCGTAGTGCGCATTGACGAGAACACCTCCCCGGCCAACTACGCGCATATCCGTTTTGCCGGACTTCCACCACTCCCCGTCTTCGTCTTCTGTGCCGCGGACGTAGACTATTTTATTGGTGCCTTCAAAGTAGGTTCCTGATCCGGTGATACGGTTGCCAAGCATACCTACGCTGGTAGCCCAGGTGACGTTTGAGAGGTCGTCAACGAAAACCGCCGCGGCCGGGCCAGAAGAGCGTCGGACCGCGGGGAGGCGGGCGGCCGGGGATTCAGGACGGAGGTTAGGGTGCCTGAAAAGACGTCAGCTGTGATGTGACGGTGGCTCGACAGAATTTCTGCAGCGACTCACGAGGTTCCCAACCGCCGAACCTCTCCGGATTGTTCCTTTGTCCAGTCAACTCCATTACGCCCAAGGATCTCTTCAATTCGTTGCGCAATGTAATCTCCAACCTGCTCGTTGGCGCGACTGTTGTAAGGGTGATAGTGCTTGGTTATTTGGGTCAGGTCGAGCCATGCTTCTGTCAGATTAATGCCAGTAGAAGGCGTGGGTGAGCGTGGAGGCGGAGGAACTGCCTCATGGATATAGACAAGTGGGAAAATAAAGGCGATGTAGACAACGACGGTCCAGAAAGTGACCGGTCCGGGCGTGAACCCGAAGGGATTGCGAAACTTCATGGCGCCTGCGCCAGGCAGTTCGCTGAATCTCGACTTGGGAATTGAAACGAGGGCAAAACTGGGTGGCGGACACGTAAAAAACTGGTGATAAGGGGAGAGAAACTATGGTATTCCAAGGATCAACTCCCACGGAACGAGGTAAGGAGATGAAAGCTCAGGTCGTAGTTCGCGAGTGGACAATTGGGACAGGCTGCATTCCGGGTTTCGAGATCTCTCAAGGCAGCTATAGATATGCCTTGTAGCTATCCGGAATTCTCAGTTATTGGGACTTTCCTGTCGCAAGAGACCGGAAAGGGACGGAGATGGAAGTGACGATATGAATGAGAGGGATGGGATAGCTTTGTTGGAGAGCTACGACGTACCGAGTAATTACGTACCCAGGTATGAAGGAGGGGGCTATGAGATTCTCCAATCATCAGGCGGCATGGCCCATCCTCATGGCCGAGGGTGGTCCAAGCTCCCCGACGCCCTGTGGTACAACGTACTCCCACACAATGCGGAACGAGTCTCATCACGGATTGTATAGCCCAACACTGACATAATATAAGATATACTAACGAAAGAGATGTACGGATGTTTCAGTTAGGCCGTCAACCCTTCTTATCCGCAAGTCCAAGTTTCCATCTATTAGAAATACGGTAAACCCTGAACACAACAAAGCTCAACATGGGCGAAAGTTACCATGCACGAAGGTGCATGCAAAGCACCATATGCTGTCATCACACGTCCACTAGAGACGCTGGTCAACTCCTGTGTCAGTACCCGGACCTACTTACTCGTAATCCATCTGCGGGTTAGAGTGCTTTGGTCAGTCTACCTAAGAATACAAAAAGAAAACAAGGTTATCAGTTTGCCGGGGGGGAACCACCGTCCCCATACCAGCTCTCCCCTGGTTCCGTTCAGGGCCGAGAGCTATGTCTCCCCACGTTAGAAGTCGAAGAGGATAATTATTCGGTTCCTACGTATCAGAGCGCCGATATTGTCGACGAAATTCCTCGAGGTCAGCCGTATGGAAGCCAAAATTGGACGTCACGCAACCCCGAACGCCGTGAAGGCGCCAAAGCTCGTTCATGCCCCTGGTGGCGGAGGGGGAGGGGGTTGGTCGCTTGGAGGCGGGGGAGGGGCGTTGTCCGATGGAGGAGGGGGCGGGGGCGGAGGACCACCAACACCTCCTGCATACTGCTGGATAAGTGCATTGACGCTTCCGGGCATGCTTGGGGGAGCGCCAAGGCCAGGCGCGCCAGGCGGAGGGGGGAGTCCAGGAGGGGGGCCGTTCATCCCAGGAGGGGCAGGGGGGCCAGGGGGGGCGCCGCCGTAGCCGGAGAAGCCAGGATAGCCGCCATAGCCGTTCTGCATTCCCGGAGGTTGATGCCAGGGAGCAGCAGCAGGTGGGGCCTGGCTGACCGCAGCGGTGCTACCGCCGCCATAGTAGGTATCGCCTCCCCTGTGTTCATCGTTGCCGCGATTTCTATCGCGAGACCATGGCGCGCTGGAGCCTCCTCCTCCTGCTGCTCCTGCTCCTGCTCCTGCTCCTGCTCCTGCTCCTCCTCCTTCATGATTCGAGTCGTTGTTACGCACACGCCACGGTGCTGGGCCACCAGTCGGTCCTCGCTGCCAGGGTCTAGCGTCGCTTCGTTGGTCATTGCTAGCGCTGGTAGGAGAGCCTGAGCCTGGCCCAGCCTCGATACGGGCAGGGGGTCCACCGTTAGATGAACCGCCGCCGAGTTCTTGCATAAGTTGCTGCGAATTCTGTTAGTACATTCTCGTGAAAAGGGGGCTCAACGGGCCAACATACCTCATACTCGCGATCAACAGCATCGCCGCCACCGATGCGCCCGGCGGTGCGTGGGGGTCCATCATTGCGCCAACTGGCTCCGCGCTGTCGGTCCGGACAGTCCCTGGCCATGTGGCCTGCATTGCCGCAGACCCGGCAAATAATGCTCGCCGTGTAGTTCTGTCTTTCCGGGCAATCGTACTTGCGGTGTCCAATCTGCCCGCAATTCTGGCAAGCTTGATTCTCGTCATCACGTAGGGTGCCGTTCAGAGCTGCGAGTTCTCGAAGCTGGTTGCGCTTGAGCTCGTTCTGACCCTCAGGGATGGAAGCCGCCTGTAGATGTGGGTTAGTAAAGAATTATGCCGTGTGGGGTAGGGGCAGCAAAAAGAGATTGGGTTCCTCACTGTTTCAATGACGTTGTGGATCAGCTTCTTGGCCTTGTTGACCTTGTCTTCCGTGTCGGCCATGATGAGGCAGTGCAGATCTTCTTCCTGGTTGCTAGAGTGGGCAGCGTCTGAACGGCCCTTGCCCTCTTTGACCGATCCCTTTCCTCGGATAGCGATCTTGGCGCCCGATTCGGTTTCCATCTTCTTCAGAGTGTTGCCACGAGGGCCGATGAGTAAGCCAACTTCATAGGGAGAGAGCTAAGTGTTAGTATCCGTTTCAGAACAAGAAGCAAGTATTAGGACCGGAGCTCTCGTAGATAACAAGAGCCAATCCTAATAACGAGACGTCAGGCCAGGCGTGTGGCCAGTCGGCCTGTCTCCATTTTTGAGCAGGAATAGGGAGGGGGGAAAGAAGATATTAGTCAGGAAGGTTAGAGGGTTAGCAATCATACTGAAGTTAATCTCTGGATAGTCGTTCACAGGCACATAGACCTTCTCCTGGGTCTTAGTGGGTCTACGATAATCCTGGGGCGGGTGGTAGTTAGGAATCGTTTTCATCGCCTTTTCGATGAGCTTGTGGCGCTCGTCTTCAAGGCGCTTTCGATAACGGTATTCGCGCGTGTTGATACGTCGACCATGGTTGTCGTACTGGGGTGGAGGTGAGGGGGACCTAGAAAGACGTAGGTTAGAGTATGGTAGGAAACAGCATGCCGGTGGCGCGAGAAGGGACTCGAAACCTACCTGTCTCCATCAGCTGGGACGACATCGTCGATGCGAAGCTTCTGGCTAATCTCCTCAATTCGTAGATGCAACGTGTACGCCTCGAGCTGTTCACTGGTCATGTTGGCAGATATAGCCGTCGGCAGGCCCATCAGGCCAGCAGCCTTGTTTTCAGCAGCATCGCCCCATCGATTTCTCTTCTTTCGCCGACGTGGTTCATCGCTCTCGGCACCTAAAAAGGACAGAAAGTTAGCTCGGCTTTGTGCTGTCGATTTCAAAGGGGCGTCTGGATGGCGGAGACAAAGACTTACGAGGCTCAGGACTTCGGCCACGCTTGAGGTCAGAGTCGCCATTTGGCACACCGTCAACCTCATCTTCTGCGTTGAAGCGGCGCCGGCTGCCCAACGGTATGTTGTTCGATCCTGTGATGCCCTGGTTTCTCCACGACATGGTGAGTGATGTGGGAGCGTGTGTTGTTGATGGAAGGAGCCCAGCGTTGTTGGATCGTGCGCGACGAGCCAACTTTTCTAACGGGCGAGGACTTTGGTGGGTCTCTCGGTGGCGATGTTCAGTCACGTGATATATAGGTCACGTGTCGTCGATTGATTTCGATTTGTGACTTGTCTCTTCAGACGTGGGAACTACCCATACTCTCTCTACTTTGACCATCCATCACATTTCAACTCATTCCCCACACTGGCCAGTCCTCTGTTTCATTTCTTCCGCGCGTCCTCCTTCATTCCGCTCTGAACCCAAGCGCGCGCTGCCGCAGCCTGTTTCTCCATATCTTCGGGGCTCAGCTTTTTCTGCTCAAAGGCCGTATGCCTGTCTGGCACATGGCGGCCCTTCTCGAAACCGGGCCGCTCAAGGAGCTTATACAGCCAAGTCTTGAGGGTGGGGAACTCCTCGATGTCAATGCCAGACCAATCTATACGTTGTTGTTTAGTTCCAAGTCGCAAAAAGCCCTTAATGTGAGCAAAGAGGATAGGGGGTAGTGACACGTACGGGCGGAGGCAACCCATCCCCAGCAAGAGATATCGGCCACGGTCACGCGATCACCGACGATATATCCCGAAGGAGAATTCTGGAGATGAGTGTCGAGGGTGCGGTAAAGGCGCCGCGTCTCATTGACATAGCGATCGATTCCATACTGGATCTTCTCAGGGGCATAGCCTGTGCACGAAAGTAGTCATGGTCAGCATAGCGTCCCGCCTTTAGCCTCCCGTCCAGGGTCCATAAGTCGCTATGGGAACCCACGATTGAAGTGGTTAGCCTGTCCTTGCATGGGACCCAGGCCGCCCATCTGCCACATCAACTATTGCCACCCACAAGTCAGTCCATCAATGTCCTGTCTCTATCCATACTCCGTACGGGGGTCGAGTCGCAAATGCAGATAGCATGTGACTTACCCAGTTGTTGACTTCCCAATACTCGCGAGAGCCGTAGGGGTATGAGACTTTATGATCCTTGTCGTACCGTTCCACGAGGTATTGCATAATGCTGCCGCTCTCGAAGACACGGATCGGCTTTCCATCATCGAACGTGTCCGTGATGGCTGGGATGCGGCCGTTTGGGTTGATTTCCAAGAACCACGGCTCCTGTTGGGGCATATGAGTTCTCCAAATTCGATTCCCGCGGTCCCCATAACATTCACCCGTGACTGGTATAATCACGGATTGGCTCTCATGAGGCTGTACTCACCTTTTGGATGTTCTTGCTAATGTCAATCCTGGTGACCTGTGGAGAGCCAAGTTAGCCGCGCCTTAGACACCTTTTTGTACATTCGACTCCGGGGGGGCCTTTGTTCTTTTATCCTTTTCCTGTCTTTTCTCCATTTTATCCCCTTCGCCCCGTTAGCCAGGCTTGCTGGCGGCGTACGTACCTTATAAGGCAGGCCAAGTTCCTCCAACAGAATGGAGACTTTGATGCCGTTCGGCGTGCCGAGAGTGTAAAGGTGAATGTCGCTCTTGGGGGCAGCCATGGTGACTAGATGCTTGGCAAGATGCGTGAGCCTTGCAGACATACAAACAGCTGGTAGATGCTGTGGTATCCTCTTTGAAGGGCAAACCAAATGTTTGAATTGTATAAGCCTCGTGAGAGGAAGGGTCAAATATTTCTATGGGCGGGGATGCTCGATGATTCACGTAGAGAAGGGGAGCCTTCCAAGTAAGCAATTAATAAAATGCTAGCATAGATGTATTATAATAGACTACCTTAAGGTAGTACGGAATGCCCCTCACTGCACCTTCCCCGATTTCAAGTATCATCTACCTCCACTGTGCAGGTGGACTCGTCGGCCATCTATCTCCATCCCCTCATGTCGTGGCACATTTCCGCAAATGGCGTGGACATGTTCCTTTTGCTTAGAAATCTACCTCTCGTCTCGGCTTCCCCACATTAAGCACGTCATGGTCAACCTTGGTTTAGTCACAGTAAGCACTTGAAGGTGAATTTTAGTGTAACAAGATATCTATCTTGGGTAGCTTTATTAGCTTCTTCCCCCGCACGTCGGAAGTTCGGAGTATTTCTCACAAATGCTGGTGGCCGCTTCTCATAGGGAGTCAGTGATCCCGCTTTCACTATAATATCTTTCCCCTAATGTATCTGGCATCATAGTAATGGTCATGAGGCCTTGGTATTTGCGCTTGGTTGAAAATGAAACCTCCACTAACATCAGCGGTGGCTCGATCACCACCACATAGCAACTACTTTCATCTCACGTTACGGATGACATGGCTGAATGTGCCGATATCTCTCATCCTCACCCACCGGATGGGACATCGTCAAGTCTCATGACACGAATCCCATGTATCCGTTTCATCAAAGAGCCACAAGAGGCTCTCCCCTAGCATCCGGCTGGTTAATGCCCGCTCCATGCTCCCCGTGCCCATGTCCACTCGTATCCCTCGTACCATCCTGCCCACCTCCCTCACTCCGTCCCATTCCAACGTCCGCTTCCGAATTAGTCGGCTGAGAATCTCCTTGTGTTTCTGTTGCCGCTACCGCTGCCGCGGCGGCGGCGGCTGCTGCTGCTGCTGCGGCTGCTTCCTCGCGGCGTTGTCGTTCCGCCCGAGCTTCAGCTTCTAGTTGAGCAATGTGCCTTTCCGCCACGCCAGGCGCAATGCTGGCGAGGAAGAGAAGGCCGGCTCTCTCGAGTCGTCGAACCTGGTCCATGAGCCAGTTGGCATTGGCCCGCCTCCCCCGATCCGCCACCATCCGCGCAGCCGCGTGCATGGGATCCGGGCCCGTGTTATTCTGTCCGGCAGCAACGGCCGGCTGACCATCACCACCGGGCGGAGCAGGCACCGCGTCGCGCGCATGGTTCGGTTGGGCGAAAGGTATCAAGTTGTCCATGTGTCGTCTAACGGGAGCTGCTGCCTGATCGAACAAGCCGTTGAGCAGGCCCGTGTTGATGAGAAATATACAAATGGCGATGCCAATGACTGTCACCCACCGACTCCAGGTGGCGCTGGGTGAAGTGAACCACCATATGAAGACGCCGAGACGAACGAGGAGCCAGAAATGCGGCCACATTTGGGCCACGACAGGGGCGATGGCGGGATTATGGGCATGGACAGGCGCGACGGCTGGCAATGCTTGCTCTTGCTGTCGAGGATGCTGTCGGCCCTGCGGCTGCTGCGACTCTGGTGGTTGGGGCGAAGGTCCCGCGTCTCGTACTTGCTGTGGGTTGTTGCCATGGTGGGCGGATGGTGTGCCCAAGTGACTTGGAGGCCACGGTCCTTGCTGCAGTTGGATTCCTCCAGGTCGCGGGAAAGTTGACGCCAGTTGCGGAAGTGGCGAGCGACCGGCGGGGGTATAGTACATGTCGGACAAGCTGTTGATGAGGAGGGCTCGAGGTCCCTCGGGCGAGGATAATATATAAACCTCCGGACCAGATGGCGGTGCCGCTCGATGGGTGGCATTTGCTGTCGGAACCGTGCTGGCCCCACTAACCGACCGTGATCCGGGGTCTGGAGTTGCTCTCCGGCTGCCGGCCCTGGACCCGAGAGACTGATAGAAGGGCGTAGAAGTAGGCGGGTTTGGCGCCAAAGGGCTTCCAGAAGTCAACGCCGGGTCGCTTCGCTGCATCGCGTTGGTCATAGCCTGAGTCGCCTGACCGGCATCGGCGCCCCTGAGGATGTTCTGCACCTCCGCCACCGATAGAGGCGTCCATGTCTCAGTATTAGTGACACGATATGGCTGCCCATCCGGCAATGTACCCTCCCTGACGACTGTGCGTGTGTACGGATGCACCCCGGGGCTTGTTCGGCCCCTAGGAAGGGCATCACCATGAGTCGAGACGGAACCTGGGCCGCCGGGCTCCCCAAGACCCTGAGCCCCAAGCCCCGGGATACCTCTGCCCGGTTGGTTTTGACTCAGCTGTTGGTGAGCGATGGCCCTGCTGATGGCCTCCCTCTGCAGACCGCTATTCCAGGCAGCCATGGTCTGCGACAGCTGGGATTGCATCTGATGCACCTGCTGAGGCGTAAAAGTCGGAGCGTTGGGCACCACGAAGCCAGGGAATGCATCTCGGCTGCCTCCTTGATTCCTTCTCGAGGGACCCGGTGAAGGAGTCGGCGCGAATCGATAGTGAGGGGACTGTTGTCGCGAAGCGGGAAGCGAGCTGGTGTAACTTGCGAAGGTGCGATGGTCGCTAGAAGCCGGGCTCCGTCCGCGAAGCGAGGGGGCTGGGGGTGGTTGAGGGTCAGGGAGGCCGCGAAGAGCGAGATGGACCGTTTGTGAGTTGTGTTCGCGAAGCTAAAACCACGCGAGAACAGCAGGTTAGTGTTGCCTCTGGAGAGATTCGAAGGCAGACGGTGGTGTGAGGGTCCTTACCGTGTGCTCGCCCATTATTTGACCCAGGGTCTCGTCATCCTGCTGCAGGACCCTCCCCTTGTAAATCAACCTCTGTTGTGCATCGGTGGGCTTTATCGGCAGCAAGTTGCGAATTTTCTCCTTTAATTGGCCAACCGTCGTGCTTGCTAGAAGGCCGGGAAAGCTCAGAGGAGGGCCAGTTCCGACGATTGTCGACGGCGAAATGACGTTCAGATTCACCGAGAGCGGATCGCTAGCCGCTGCCTTTGGCGCTGGTTGCGGGCGGGAAGCCGACCCTTCCGAAGACATGGTCGCCTTATAACTTGATTTCGCAGTCGATGAAGGAGGTCCAGAGTATTGGAACTCGAGCGAGAACTCGAACGAGTCGTGAAACTGTGGTCGTTATTCGTATCGTCGGAGCACGTGCGCGGTCTGAGGTGTTTGTCACTAGAAACAGTGGGTGACGTTCATCTCAGAAGAAAAGCGAAGCGCGAAGCACGAGTAGCAGAACGAGCTCGCAGGGGTATATCATTCAAGGGAAAAGAGAAGCAACGGTCAGATGGACGGGATAAGACCATATATTCCGCAGTGGCAGGATGCAGAGGACAGCGATGCTAAAGGTTGCGGATGGTCATATTGGACGTTTGGTGGAAGTCGACGTGTCGTTTTAGGAGACTAAAAGGTAAGGTAGAGGGTAAGTACAGTACCTATGTACGTACCTTGAGGAGCGATTTTAGATAAGGTAGGTACCTTAGGTACCTTAGGTAACTTAATAAAGTACCTTAAGGTACCTCCATTGCCGCTTGAAGAAGGTACTTCTTCGGAGGCAGCGCAGAATGGGAAGATGCATAAATATTTTAGTATACTTACTGTATGTGTATGACATGCAAGCCATTAGGTAAGATACGACGTACATCGAACTCCACACAATATTTCGACCGAAAGGGCAAAGTTAACTCCGTACGTATATCGCACGTCAATGTGCCTTGTTTCCGGGCTGCCCTACCTCGACAAAAGTTCGGAATGCGCTTTTCAACGATCGTCTTATTTCAGTTACCCTTTCTTTCTTAAACCGTCCTTTTCTTCCCCAAGTGATACATGGAATTATAGTGAGCCAAGTGCCGAGCTACTCTTGACCATGGCCTCGCGCTTCTCTGGCTCCGGCCAGCTACGAACCACACTGGCCACACTGGCCACCAGGTCCGTCCGCGGGCCATGCTCATCGTGCGTTCTTGGGAGAGGGAGACAGGCTTCCTTCTATGCGCGTCGACGAAATCCGAACTCGAACCTGAACCTCTTTTCAGTACGATCGTTTTCTCAACGGTCTCAACAGCGACCTCGCTTTTCTTCCCGACTCCGCGCTGCCCTCCGGGACTCCAAGACACAATGGTACCAGCTACCTATTGGTGTCGGCATTGGCTTTGTGGGACTGATGCAGTTCTACAAGGTCACGACAAGAGAGAAGGAGAAGGAAGAACTCGATGAAGTCACTGGTGCGGCCGGCAGGAAGCCGAATGGGAGGGAACGGATCCGGCCAGATGGACCTTGGCAGGTCCGGGCCATGTCCACCTTGCCGCTGAAGGCCATGTCAAGGCTATGGGGCAGGTTCAACGAGCTGGATATCCCGTATTACTTACGGGTGCCGGGATTCAAACTCTACTCTTTCATCTTTGGCGTCAAGTGAGACTCCGCCTTCTCCAGAACCGTCCACGATCCGCTGGGTTTACCAGAGCTAACATGGGAGGGGGTTGTTCTTCGTAACAGCCTTGACGAGGTAGCGGAACCTGATCTACGTACATATCCCAATCTTGCCGCCTTTTTCTACCGAAAGCTCAAGCCGGGAGCTCGTCCCCTGGATCCGAATCCCAACGCCCTCCTCTCCCCCTCGGATGGCCGCATCTTGCAGTTCGGTCAGATTGAAGGCGGGGACATCGAACAGGTGAAGGGCATGACATACAGCATCGATGCCCTTCTGGGGAAGCACACGCCGACGCCGAGCGTCGCCCACGGTGAGCACGGTCGACCGAGTGAGCGCCACATCTCCGAAAACGAGGGCCTCATCAAGACGGACGAGGAGTTTGCTCGCGTGAACGGCATTTCCTACACCCTGCCCAGCCTGCTCTCTGGCGGTCGCCCGTCCGGCAGCACGCAGACGGAGTCGCCACCCGACGAAGCCGAACGGGAGGACTCCCCTGCCGCCATCTCGGCCGTCCGCGCGGACCTCGCACTAGGCGAGAAGCCCTGGTACGCACTCCTGGCGCCAGAGGAGAACAGGACGGCGTTGTATTACGCAGTGATCTATCTCGCGCCCGGAGACTACCACCGCTTCCACTCGCCGGCGAACTGGGTGGTCGAGCGGCGTCGCCATTTCGCCGGCGAGCTCTACTCCGTCTCGCCGTACCTGCAGCGGACCCTGCCCGGGCTTTTCACGCTCAACGAGCGCGTCGTGCTCCTCGGTCGCTGGCGCTGGGGCTTCTTCTCGTACGTGCCCGTGGGTGCCACCAACGTCGGGTCCATCAAGATCAACTTTGACCGCGAGCTGCGCACGAACAGCCTCACCACGGACACGGAGGCGGACCGTGCGGCCGAGGAGGCGGCGGCGCGGGGCGAGCCTTACCTGGGGTTCGCCGAGGCGACGTACGCCAGCGCGAGCCGCGTGCTAGGCGGGCATGCGTTGCGGCGAGGAGAGGAGATGGGCGGGTTCCAGCTGGGGAGCACAGTGGTGCTGGTCTTTGAGGCGCCGGTCGAGCAAGGATCCGACGCGGGAGAGACTAAGGGAGGTTGGCGGTGGAACGTGGAGAAGGGCCAGCGGGTGAAGATGGGCCAGGCTCTTGGGTATGTGGATGAAGAATGAGGGGGAGGCCACGGCAATGGACAAGACTACTACATAGACGAGAGCCTCGCCTGTCATTCCATTGGAGGAGGAGAGAGAGGAGAGAGCAGGGGCGTATAGTTTGGAGAAATTTCGCGGAAGTCAATGAGATAGATCCTGTATATTAATAAGCAGTTGGCTCATGTAGGATATCGTATATATGTATCAATACCTTGTCCATCGATCCCATTGCGATCACGGTGGTGAAGAAACGTTCTTAACAAATGTTCCCCATACAGACAAACAGGACGCGGAAGGAGGGTTGTTTAAACGTCATCATAAAATTATGGCAGAAAATCCATCTTGCGGTGTCTCTTGTGACCGTGTATGTACGAAAAGGTAGCTGCCGCTATTTACATGCGATGCCAAGCAATAGGTTGCAGTGAATGAGAAGCTATATAAATATATTCAAGGGGGAAAAAGGAGAAGAAGAAAAAAGAAGAATAAAGAAGAAAAAAAGAAGAAAAAAAGAAGAAAAAAAGAAGAAAAAAAGAAGGGGCAAAACTAGGTCCCAGTTGATAAACAGCCAACCCAGAGCTAAACCCGCTCATTCATCTGCATGCTTGTCGCAAGGGAGGGAGGTATCCTTTACTTAGTCGCGGAAAGACTTCACAGTCTCCTCGGCGGGCTTGGACTCCTTAGGATAAGTCTCGCCCGTGCGGCCGCCGAAGACGAGCTGGGCGTTGAGTTGCCATGTGCGAGGGACGTTCCACTCGGCGGCGATGTTCTCGTCAGCGAGGGGGTTATAGTGCTGGAGGTTGGCGCCGAGGCCCTCGGCCTCGAGGGCGGTCCAGAGGGCGAACTGGAGCATGCCGGCGGACTGGCCGGCCCAGCCGGGGAACCCCTCGGCGTACAGGGGAAACCTGTCCTGCATGCCGCGGACGACGTCCTGGTCGATGAAGAAGAGGATGGTGCCGGCGGCGCCCTTGAACCAGGCCATCCGCTCGGCGGTGGACTTCCACTGTTCCTCGGGGACAACGGCGCGCAGGACCTCCGAGATCATGTCCCAGAGCTTTTCGTGGTGGGCCCCTTGCAGGACGACGACGCGGTTCGACTGCGAGTTGTAGGACGAGGGGACATGCTGCATGGCGACCTTGACGATGTCGTCGACCTGGTCGGCGGATAGGGAGATGTCCTTGGAGAGGGGGTAATAGGTGCGACGGTTCTTGACGTACTCGAGGAACGTCGACGCAGTGAGGTTCGCCATTCTGCTGGGTGTGGAGGTGGTATAGGAGTGGGAGTGGGAGTGGGAGTGAGAGTACTCTCGGTTGGAGGAGATGGCGGGCCGGGCAAGACGTGGGAGGGGAGTCCGGAGGAAGTTGTTCTTGTGTTTCGGCAGAGAGTTGAGGAAGGAGAGGGAGGCAAATCCCGCAGGGTAGAGTCTCTTGGATACTTGGTGTAGTGAGGTTCTTGCGATGCTAGCCATATATATGAACGGGGCGATAAACGCGGTTGGAGTCGGGATATTAATGGGAGCGGCAGGATCCTGGAGGGACCACTCGATCCCTTAAATAGTTCTTTCTTTTCTTTCTTCTCGGGCCCATGGTTTGTTGGAGCCCTTCTCTTGTTTTTACTGAGTACCAACGATCGCAGCGGGGTCCACAAGGCAAATGGGTAGCGCTTCGGTTTCTGTTGACCCGCCAAAGAGGAACGGGGAACGGAGAACGGGCAACGGGGACACGACGAGACAGACCTGGGAACCCCGACTCGGCGATTTCCTGTGCAAGAAGTTGTTAGCACACGCACAACACGCCAGCAGAATTCTTTTCTCCGGTTGGGTCGTATCCGGGAGAAACGGCAGAAAGTTCTTCTTGCATCGTCTCGCATCATCACATATGAATATGTACGAGGTAGTGGTTTAGCAATGCAAAAGCGCATGATGTGATGTGTGGATGTGCGTGGGGAACGGCATGGGGGACGGAGTGATCACGGAGAGATTGTGGTTCAATTTGATATTGAATTTGTAAGCCCCCAGTACCTAGGTAGTGCAGTACCCATTGGGAACTGTACTTTTTTCTATAAGGTACCTTTACCTTATGTAGCGTCCGGTTTCCGCGTTTTCTAGTATCTTCGGTGGTTATGCGCCCATATATGCTGACCAAGCACCGCGGGTTGAGACCCCTCCATCGATATGATTGTACAGGGGACTCGGACATCGTTAGGATTTCACGATACCCATCACCAACAACCGCGCGGTAGGGTCCACTTCTTCTGGCCAGAGGATTTGGGCGTGTCAGCTTTTCAGCTTTCCGCTCATGTCGTCTTGGCGACAGCGGTTATGGCGCACCATCCCATAGAGTGGCTGATGTGGCTTAGGCTGCGAGGACATTCTAGTTCTCCTTCAACTACTCCCTACATAGGTACAATACAGCATTGATCACCCCGGAATGCATCACACTGATTTTAGCAAAGCCAACATAGACTAAACAACCTTTGGCGATACAGATACATTGAATTAAAGAAAATAAGAAAGAAGGGAAAAGTAAAAAAAAAGTATCAAAAGCTCATGTCTGATTTATCCTTCAAACAACTCCTAGAAGATGCCGTCCATTTTGGCTCCTGAGAGCCTCCCTAGCCATATTCCTCTTGAGGCAAACAAAGTAATCATGAAAAGAAAACGACCGGCAGTCCAGCCACAAATCACCACTTCTCTTCCCATACTCCGTGTTGTTGTTGATTCCCATAATGTTGTAATACCCCCCCACCAAGATCGTACGCCTGCCGAAGCACCGAGACGTGGTGTAACATGACATTCCTCACCACGTCTCGGCGATGTATTGGCCAGCCTCCGTCTTCAGCTCCCAATATCTCCGAGCCTCGTCACGCTCTAGGTTGCCTTTCTTCATAGCCACGTCCACGAGCGCCTCTTCAACGCCCTCCCCCATGCCCTTGCTGCTGCCGCACACGAAGATGCGACCGTCCACGGCATTGGCGATGTACCACACCAGGTCGGCCTGGTTCCGCACCTCTTCCTGCACGTAGCGGCTCTCGCCGCGCCGGCTCTGAATCACCCGCTTGACCTCGTCCTCGTGGACGCCCCACTCGCCGCTGTAGATCTCGTCGACGAGCGAGTCGCGGATGCCCTGCAGCACCCAGACCTTGTTGGCGCAGTTGGCCGTCTTGAGCCGCCGCTGCACGAACCCGCGGAACGGCGCGATGCCGACCCCCGCGCCGATCAGCAGCATCGGCCCGTCCGAGACGAACTGCCTGGCGAGCGGGTTCGCCATGAGGCCCTTGAACATGGGGATGTAGAACTCCGGGTTCTTCTCGCCGCGCCGCTGCGCCGCCAGGAACCCCTGCGCCTGCCGCTCGAAGAAGCCCGACCCGATGCCCGTGCGCTGGCCCCGCCGCCAGTCCGCCGTCTCGTGCACCGTGACCGCCACCTCGACGAGCCGGTGCACCTTGCCGTCGCGCGTCTTGAACGATTCGTGCGGGTCGTTGGACAGCGAGTAGAACCGCGGCATCAGCGGCTGCAGGACCGACAGCAGCACGTCCAGGGGCGGGCGCGAGCTGGGGAACGCCTGGAGCAGCTGCGGCAGCGAGATGTGAGGGCCGGTGCGGAAGTCGCAGAAGACGCCCTGCCCCTCGGCGGAGCAGAGGAGCGCGAGCAGCTTCTTCTCGTTCTCGTCCTCTGCGAACTCGGCGAGGACTCTCAACAGAGGCTTCGTCGGGGGGTAGGACTGGATGTCGGAACACCAAGTGAGCAGGTCGCGCCGCGTCGTGACGAGCTCTCGTGCCTGGTCCTCACCCCAGACGGTAGGCCACCTGCCCTTGGTCGTCCGGAGTAGCACAGGCTTGTCACGCAGGAAGCGAGGCACCAGCAGGGCGTCGAACACGTCGTCTACGAGACTTGCATCGTTGGGGGCCGTGACGCCGATGGCGCCCCCGACCTTGAAGTCGACGCCGTCTTCCTCGGGATAGCTGGAGATATCCAGGTCGAAATGGTACGTCCTCTTCTCGGCACCGGGCCTGGTCAACTCCCTGGCCGTGTCAATACGCGCCGCAAAGACATGATGCGGGGGGTGTGGCTGGACAAAGCTAGGCGGTTGGATAGTCGTATCGACATCTTTTACTTTCACGGCAGATACTGCGGTTTGCGGTGACGGGGGCGCCGCTGCCGCAAGGACGGTCGCATCGGCATCTCCGTCGGCACCTAGGGAAACAGCCGAGTCGGCGGGAGACGACCTGGAAAGAACACGAGGCACCGGCTCGAAGTATACTGTCTGCTCGGGCATGTCGATGGTTTTGGTGAGAATGGTAGGCGTCTCGCCGATCCTAAGGGCCAGCGACCTAAAGGCATCGTTGTCTGGTTGGGGGAGTCTCTCGTATTCAATGCCCTCCTTTTTCTTGCCGCCGAGTTTCATGCAGCAGCCACCACCGCAACACCTCTGGATCAGCTCGGCCGTGGACTCGCCAGTGATACGTTGAATGTCGGCGGAGCTCTGGGCAATCAGCCTTGTCGACGCACGACGACGTCGGGGAGGCTCTGGCAGAGGCAGCTGCTCGTCCTGATCCTCTGATTCGTCAGAGTAAGTGAGTGAAGGGGCAATGGACGGTGTTCTTGGCTCCTCAGGGGCGCAGCCCGTGCTGCGCGCGATGAGGGCCGGAATCTTGATGTCGGTGGAGGTCATTGTGTGTGGGCGATTTCGCTGGAACTGGCGTATAGAGGGGTGGTAAAGTGGTGTTGGAAGGATGGATTGGGACTGCGCTAGTAAAAGGCACCGCAAGGGAGCCAGAGACCGCAGCCGGGGTGATGCGGGCAGCAGCAGTTTTGAGTGCGGCTTCAGGATGCGGGAACTACCGAAAGTCGATGGCCTCGGATGGAGGCAAGTGCTGCGATGGTGGTGCCACGCGGGAGGCCGTCGACCGATACTTAGGACGCAGGAAATAAAGCTGGAAAAGAAAAGAAAGAAAGAAAAAAGGGAAAATCAAAGAGAATTAAATGGGTGATATGAAGACCCAATGTTGCATCCTACACAAGGAATGAGGATGGGAAAGCGCTGGTAGTGAGAGAGAGCTTGTGAGGATGGCGGGCGAGAAAAGAAGTTGTTGAGGTGGTGCGAGGCATCGGATCAAGAACGAACCGGAGTCGGAATCCAAGGGCTTTTCGAGGTGGGGCCAAAGGGGGCAAAAGTG